AACGTCACATCTCTGCCAAGTAGCTTGGGAGGAGAGCTAATACGGCAGCCACTATTGGCCCGGGCTTGGTCGAGATCCGCCAACTTTATTTTGCGGCCTTTTTTTGTTGTTATTACTGACATGACGGTGGGCTTTTCTCTTTTTGCAAGCCAAGACCTTTCAGGATTTCCTTTTCTTTTGTGTTGTCAGCGTGCGGCTCGGCACTACCACGGTAGGCCCTGCGAGAACCGCAGCGAGCCCGCACACCGCAACCTCAAGAAACCACCACTTTGTATTCTCATCGCAAATGCAACCCACCAGCAGAACAGGCTGCAGTCCGTCTCGGCAAACTTTGGCCGGCTGCCGAGACGGACTGCATGTGTGTGTGTGTGTGCTGTGTGTCTGAGTGTCAGTGCTTTTATCGAATCGCTTCCTCTGGCACGGACCTTTGCGCATGACCACCACACACGATAAGAGAGCATCAGTCGACGTCTCTCTTGTTCCCCCTTTTTTTTTGACCTAGAATTTATTGGCTGCACCCCCATGACACAATTGCGACTCTGAAGCGGTTCTGTCTCGTCCGCGGCCCTCCGGTTCACCCCAGGCCCTTCGTTGCCTCGGGCCCTTTTGTCAGTTTCCTGGTGATGCGGCTCTCGCACCCTATCTGTCCACCGATCGGCTTGCCAGCCGCCGCTCGTTCGCCCATCGCAACTTTGCCGCAGTAAAATCTCATTGGGTTCCCTGCCAGTACAAGCCTCCGCGGCATCATCCTCCCTATCTTCGTCCCTTCTCCGCGGGCTCGAAAAATCACCGTTGCAGTCCACGTCGTTCATGAGACGGTCAGTAATACCACGAACCTCTTCGTAATAGAGTTTCATTCCATCAGCAAACAAGAGCCTACCCACGCCCGCCCCCAACCGAAATCGGCAAACTCGGCCCGTGGAAGTGTTATCGTGGCCAATGCTTAAGCTTATTTCTCGCGATGCGAGTAGGGCGTGTGCATAAACAACTGCAATGCTCTTCGTGATCCTGGCCTTGCATGGCAGGACGAGGGCAAAGAGAGAGCCGCTTTCATCGCAACGTCTCTGGTCGTCCGTCCCTATCTCCTTCTGGACCACGTTTCTCTGACCGCATCGGCTCGTCCACTTGCCGAACGGACCCTCGAGCCGGGGCCTTCCTGATAGCGAGTCGTATCCTCTCACGCCAACAACATCCAGTACTAATACACTAACACGATCCAACGCCAAACATGCAGTGCTAATAAAATAGTCACGGGTAACACCGGGCGCCATCGACTCTAGTCACTACACTTTCTTCTTTGTTCCGCCCGATTGCTCGGCGCCTGGCCCGAGCTCCCCGGAGCGGGTACGGGTATTACTGTCCTCTTCGTAATGGCGCGCCGGCTGGTCGACCGGCATAATAATCACCAAGGTGATTCGCCCCTGCCCTGCCCCTGCCCTGCCCTGCCCTGCCCTGCCCTGCAGGAAATCACCCTCCTCTCTTCGATACACGGCGCATGTGGTTTGTCGAGCCCGGCCGTCGTGAGCCGATTCAACCGGGCGGCCGCATTCCCCCCCTCCCCGCCGCTTAGCGGAGATGCGATCGCGCCGGCGCCGGAGCATCGGCACAGTTGCAACAAGGCGGATGCGGATGACCCCCTTTCCATCACCGAATGCTGCAATTACTCATCCTTAACGAGTCGTTAGTTCCTATTGTTATTACGTCCCGCACCCCTTCTAGCCTGCCTGTATTGCATCCATTGTGATGGCCCCCAGCGGTCGAGGGTGGAGAGATATGGCATCGTTCCCGAGGCATTGACCGTTCCAGTGCATTGGACGCCTAGATAGGCAGCTGCGACGAAGGAAAAAGAACGCACGTACAGCCCCCCCTACTCTACATCTTACTAATATCTGCTTCAAGTCGGCCTCGCTTGCTCAGCACTGCATGCTCGGTGCAATAGATGCTGCGTAAAACACGAAGCGTTTTGTGCGCAGGGGTTTTTCATTTGATGCTTCATATTTCGTCTATGACGCACAACTCTCATTTCCATTATGTTGGGCTTTTCGCCTTGACCGCCTACTCGCTCTGCGGTAAACATGGGAGGCAACAATAGTAAGGCTGGACATAGTACTCTCCTCTTCCCCACGATGGCTGCACAAATCTCATGTTTGGCATGCAGTGCCCACCGCATCAGCAACGATTCCCAAGCCCTGGGATGAGCCTTCCCCCGAGCTCGGCAAGGCGGAAGCCACTTCTGGACTCCTTGCTGGTAGTATGTGCGTGCAAGTCCGTAAGATCAAGAGAACGGGTGGCCTTCCCTCCGGCCCGCCTTGCTCTCCGATCTTGGTGGTAATGCAGTGCAGGGCTGCAGAAGATCACTTCTTCCTCGGCTTCTTCAAACCATCACCCCCCAATGCTCAATAGGGCAATCAGCATGGTGGCTGTACAGACTGAACCATGTTGCATTTACTGCATGAGCAAAAAGGGCCTTTTTTTGCAAACCCTTGCCCAGATTCCGAGTTTGCCGTGCCGACTCAACCACCCGTTCTCCTGACTGACTCCGGATACTTCCTTTCTCCTTCTGCATACGGCGAAACGGGGCGTGTTGGGCCGGGCGACAAAGTGGCGTGGGGGAGAGAGATGCCTCACGCAGATTGCAAAGATTGATGAGGGAGGGACAAATAGGAAGCGGTGCCGTCATGCAACAGGCGCCGACGCCTGCAGAGAGAAGCAGCCTCGAGGTTGATAATACATACTGGTAAGTTGCAGCCCACGATGAACCCCAAGACTCGGTCGCCCATGTCCCCGCAGGCAAGGCTTCTACCCAGTATTTAGGCAATATTGGTCGCCTCTTTCATCACCCCTGCTCGCCGTTTCTTCCGTGCTGTTTCCGCTCCAGCGCATGCCTTATCAGGAGATTTTCAATTTCACACAAGTCATGTGTGAAATAGCTGCAAATCGAGAAGCCGTTTCTCCCGGCCGTTCAACACCACCATGACCAATATCAATCAATAAGCCAAAGCCATCTCGTAACAAGGCACACCATCTCGTCTGCTTCTCTTTTCGGCGTATTATTAGTATACGCCTCCCCATCCCTGTTAAGCTTACACACACCCTCTCCTCATCAAAACACGGTTATCGGCTCAGCTAGTCATGTCATCGCATGTCCCCTCCCACCCCCTTCTTTTTCCCCTTCCCTCTTCGCCGGTACGCCGAAAGCTTAGCTCTGCTTACCCGTGTCTACCGACGGGCTTTATTTTCTTATGCGGGCAGTGTGTGAGTGAGCATGTCGCCCTGTGGCGGAGCAAGTTGCATCCTCCCTAGCTCTTACACCTCGAATCGCTTACCCTTTCTCTCCCTGTGTCATCCATGCCCTCTCACATCGATAAACTCCAGGTCCTTCGCTTCTCGGCTCTGTTAGCCCAAAAGAAGCCAATTGATCCTTCTTCCTTCCAAGCCAGCCGAGCCCGACCCTCCGAGCCGGCTTCGTTCCGTCTCTTTTCTTCTCTCGTAATGGGCAAATGATGGAGACGACTGGGTCATCTCGCGTCCGCTAGCCTTGCCGTCCCAACCGATCCCGGCCCACATTGACAATAAGTCAACTTCTCCCCCAGGAAAACAAATTACCAAGAAAAGGTCCCCCAGCTTGAGGGGGCGTGTTGTGGAAAGATGACCCTGGTTGAAATGCCCCTTGGATGCCGTGGCTTCCGAGCACATGCAGCCTGGATCAACCAGGGGGGAGCAAGGAAATACCTTAACGGTATGCTTTATGCTTATTGTGGGCGAGGAGAGCGAGTTTCCCTTTTGGCATGATTGCTCCACAGCCATGGTAACGGTACATGACTGAGGAACTGAAGCACGAGCAACAAGTTGTTGTTGCCCTGAAAGTGAAGCTTCGCGGTAGACTTGGCAATGTGATTGTTGTCCTCGACCCGGGTCTTAAGTCGGGTAATTATGATTACATTAAGCAAAACCCGCAGCTTATTAATGTGCAGTTTGGTAGTTGATGACCCTGGCAGTCGGGCTGACCACAGCCGAAGCTGGACTGGAGACGATGGCTGAGATGCGTCGCCCATGCCACAGTGCTGTCCGAGTCTCGCAAGGAGAAACGAGAGGCAAATGATGGAGGCATAAATCGCCCAAGCCCAAACAGTCGGCGGCACTGCCAAAATATGACACAGCGTGTCGAGATAACCTGCTAGCGGACCCTCTTCCAATCCCGCGCGGCGCCGTGGATGACCACTTCGTCGATGCCCAAATCTCGCTTTCAAGGGCGGGGAGCAAGCAATGAGTAGTTGTTGGAGCAGGCCAAAGAAGCGTGCTGTCCGGCCATTCCTCGAGCCACCGGGATGCAGTTCGTCAAGATGCAAAGACTTTCCTTGTGCTAATAAACACGGCTGTCAGTAGCGACATGTACACGGCGGCCTGGATGGCCGGATCTAACTTTGTTGATCGTACATACAGTAGAAATACAAATATGATGACAGAAAATTTACAAGAATCCAGCCAGTTGCAACAACATCCAAATTCATGAACCCGACCGCGAGAGTGTGTAGACGGGCAAGATCCAGTCTCAACCACAGCGGGCACATTCCTCAACAATCAACAATACCTCGACTCCGTCATCCCCCCCCAGGGACCAGCAAACAGTGTGCTTTCGTGCCTACTGCCACATTTGGGCAACTCTTACCCAAAGATCGCGGGTGACACAAAGCACGCGACCCATCCCCCCTTCCCGTCGCCACGTGGCTTCTCGGCCGGAGAGGCTGGCTTTCGATTTTGTCGTGTATTCCCCCAAGGGATCTGCGGCGGAAGCATTTCCCGAGAAGCGAGGGCAGCACCAGACGAGCACAAAACGCCCGTGCAGATGCCTTTGTCAAACTTGCCACCTCCGTGTGACGATACACACGGGTGGGTGAGACAAGCAAGCAAGCAAGCAAGCAAACCTGTCCACATTTCGGCGAACGATGGGGAGTTCTGCCCCAGCCAAGGGGAAAAAAGAAAGAAGTGCTTGCTCTTTTTTAACAGTCACAGCGCTCGAAGTGGCGTGGAAAGGGCACTACGTCGCGGACGTTGGGTACGCCGGTGAGGTAGCTGAGCAGCCGATCGAAGCCGAGGCCGAAGCCGCCGTGCGGCGGGCAACCCCAACGCCGCAGGTCCAGGTACCAGCCGAGGCTGCTGCTCCCGGCGGGTTGGCGCGCGGCGGGGACGGGCAGCCCGTGCAGCCTCATGCTCTCCTCGAGCTCCGGCAGGCGGTGCTCGCGCATCGAGCCGCCCGCAAGCTCGCCTAGGCCCGGCACCAGGAGGTCGAAGCAGTCTACCGTCTGGCCGCCCGCCGGCGCGTCGGCTGACTTGAGCATGTAGAACGCCTTGATCGCGCGCGGGTACTGCGTGACGAAGACGGGGCGGTAGGCGTCGCTCGCGGCGTCGTAGCCGACCGTCTCGGCAATGTACCGCTCGTGCTCCGACTGCAGCCCGGCGCCCCAGACCGGCTCGTGCTCGAAGCGCCCCGCCACGGGCCGCAGCATCTCGATGGCCTCGGTGTACGTCACCCGCGGCCACCGCCGCGCCACCGCCATGCCGCGCCACCGCCGCGCGAGCACCTCGGCGCTCTCCAGGTCCTCAAACGCCAGCTTCTCCGCGCGCTCGCGCGCATCCCCCCGGTTGCGGCGCAGCTCCCCGGCCGCGCGGCGCTCCCGCAGCCCGACGGTCAGCGACACGAGCATCCGCTGGGCCAGGTCCATGACGTCCTCCATGCCGTCGACGAAGCTCATCTCCGCCTCGAGCATCTGGAACTCGCTTAGGTGGCGCGATGTGTCGCTTCGCTCGGCCCGGAAGGTGGGGGAGAGCGTCCACACGTTGCCGAGCGCCTGCGCCAGGGCCTCGAGGTGTAGCTGCGTCGACACGGTGAGGTACTTGGGGTCCCGGAAGAAGTGCTGGTTGCCGCCCTTGCCGTTACCGCCGCTGAAGCCGGGGACCTGCACCGTGAAGGCCTCGCCGGCGCCCTCGCAGTCGGACGAGGTGATGATGGGTGGGTGCGTCTGCTGGAACTGCTCGTGGAAGAAGAACTGCGTTAGGAGGGCAGTGGCGTCTGAGCGGAAGCGCAGCAGGGTGCTGTTCAGCGGGGTGCGGGCCCGGAGGTGTGAGATGCTGCGCAGGCTTTCGGGGGTTTGGTATTTGTTTTGGATGGGATACGTCTAGGCGGCTTGGGTGTGAGTGAGAGCACACCTTGGCGGGTGAGCCTGTGGGCAGGAGCAAGCATACCTGGGGGTTGGACGGGCCGAGGATGTCGACATGTTCGACTTGCAGCTCATAGGCCGCCGGCTCCGTCTCCGGCGACTCACTCGCGTCGGGGTTGGCGGCCTGATCTCGCCCGACACCTGACCCGTCTTTCCAAGTGCCGCGCAAGCGGACTGCTGATCCTGGTCGAATTCTGGGAGGAGCGTTTAGCGAGAGGTCAAGGCTCGGAGTGGCGATTGTAGTTAAAGGGGGGACAAACTCTGATGCGAGGGACTTGTCGACGACGGCCTGTACTGGACGCATGGAGGAGCCGTCGGTGACGTCGACGAAGCGGACACCGGCGCTTTTCCGCACTGAGCGCACCCAGCCGCAAACTTGGACGTCCGAGATGGGCTGAGCCGGCCGAAATTCCTTGAGATCCGCTACGGTCTGGACACGGCTTGCGGCGGACACGGCGCCGGTCGGGAGGGAGGCCGAGTAGGCTCGCCGGGGAGCGCATGGCTGTCCGCAAGGCGGGCGAGGCCAGCGCAAGCGGCGCGCTGCAAACATGGAGAGCTTGCTCAGGGTACTATCATGGATAAGGTCCTCTCCCTGCTGGTTGAGTGGTGGCGGGCGCCGGGAGACGGGGAGGCTGCAGGAACTGGTTGGCGGTTGAGGCAGCGCGCGATGGTCCCGATGAAGAATGCGGCAATCCGGGGCAAAAATGGAGGCGGCGGTATTTACTGTGGTGTGATGCTGCCGGTGAAAGTGGCTTTCGTGCTTGCGTTGTCGTTGGTTGACGTTGAGGGTTGGTTGAGGCGGTTGACGAAAAATGAGGTTACGGTGGATGCCTTGGCCCTGTACCGTAGAGGTGCCTGAACGAGCGTCTGTGGTGGGTGGTCAGGAGCTGTCGCTCTAGTTGCCGCTCATCGTTTTCTTGTACATGAGAAGAAAGGTTTGAAATATATTCAAAAATGATTTATTATTACTGCGTCTAGTAAAACTAGTCTGAAAGTTGAAGAAATAATTTCCTTCTTCCTGGATGGATGCGTGGCTTTGATATGTACATATGTATGTATATTGTGGCGTGAGGACGGGTGACTTGTTACGCGCTTGAGTCCCCCAAGGACGGTACCTGTTGTGGCTTGACGCGCCGCAGCGACACCCAACAAGTACAGTGGATGTGGCAGTGAATGTGGCGCTACTTCGGGTGCCTCGGTACAACCACCTCGATAAGGTAAAGAAGGCTGCTGTTGAGTTGTACAAAGTCAGAATTATATTGCGAGTATATGCTCGTTTTGCCTTTGGATTATCTCAAATAATTCTGAATTTTATTCCTATTTTGTTCAATTTACCACCCTTCATCCATTTCGTGGAAGACTTGTGAATGTGTCGCCTCGTCCAAGCTCTTGTCCGCCATTGCCTGGAATGTTGAAGTAACCTCTTCTCTTCCTACCCACCACCACCACCACCATCACGAGCTCCTCCTCCTTCCAACCAGTACCTTACCCATCTCGCCCGTCTTGCCCAAGAAGACATGGTGCGACGTCGTGGCTTGACCGGGGCGGCTGCTAGGGCTCCTGCAGGAACCGGCGCCGAGCAGCGCCGTGGCATCCTCCCCCAGTCCGGCTAACCTTGTCGCCAACGATTTTCGGTCGGTTCGCTTACGCAGGTCTTGCCTACCTACTTACTTACAACCGATGACACGGGGCCAGACATGAGCGCGTGTCATCATCAATGAGCCTTTTTTTTTTGACATGTTCTTTTTTTCCATGTCAGCCTTGTTGACATGGGTGTAGATAGGCGATTCGTGTTGCATCCTGGACTGGGTGGGTACCAGGTATAAGTCTAAGTAAGGTACTGGGAGTGATGACTTGGCACGAATTCCATGCAATACATAGTACACCGAATGACAGGACAGGCTACTCGAAACACCATACCAATCCCGGCAGACCGAACCGTCAGTCTATCAAGTATCGCAAAAAGTTTTACAGCTCCGAAGAGGTAGACAGCAAGGTAGTGTAGCAAAGATGACGCTCTAGCCTCGTTGTCTCCGCCTGCCTGTCGTCTTGGCATCCAGTTGCCTCCGTTTGATACCCACCATTGGCACACCACGTTTCTCATCGCCCATCATCAGCATGCATGCAGTACCATATCTCCGACTAGATATACAAGGTATGTCGGCTTATGCCAGGTAATAATCCGCAGGTAATCCGCCGCTAACTGTGAAGCCAGCCCCCCCACGTACCACCAGAAGCCGTCGAAGCCGTTGGCTCGCTGACCCGATGCCCTCGCCGACAACGACCAATACTTGTAGCAAACAACAGCATGCTGCTTTCCTCCTCGGCCCATACATACCTTGCGAATATTCGCCTTTCTCGCCTTCTTCTGCAAGTTTACGCGCACTCTACTCCTACCAAATAAGGTGACGGTCAACACCCGCCCGCCCTCGCACATACCTATGTACGGAGTACCTATACATAACATGTCCATCCTTCTGTGCGTGCGTGTGGCTCGGCTGCTGTCTCAGGCCGTCTCAGATCGCTGTTCGAATTAGCCGGGGGCGGCTCGCAAAGGAGAAGAAGAAAAAAAAAGGCCGCAAAAGGGCAGGGGTTTTCTTTTTCTTCAGATGCCGAAACATTTGAGCAACGGCTGGCAAGAAATGCCACCACCCTTCCTTGTGAACCCTGTCGTTTCGTTGGGCGACAGCTGGACAGAACACAAGCCACCCTCTCCGCTGCACCGCCGAATCTCGCCCGCGTGCTGTGTGTTGAACAAGCACAGATAGATGATAGATGGGTGTGCCACAGATCTATCCCAGGTCCAGGGCCTGCGGCTGGACCTCTTGCAGCTGCACGAGATGTCACTCTCCCTCCAACTTCTCAAGCCACAGGTGGGGGAACGAGGGGTGGGAAGGAGGTGTCGTCGGTCGTCCCTCATGCTCCCAACTTCCGCTGCCGCCTCCTCCTCCTTCCTCCTCCTGGTCGTCCTCCTGGTCGTCCTCCTCCTGGTCTTCCTCCTCCTGGTCGTCCTCCGTTTGAGTCTCCCACCCCTCCATTCCGGCCGTAACTTGTCCCACCCTGCCTCTACCTGCCTGCCCGATCCTCACCTGCCAGTGCCGACTTCGCAATCCCATCCATCCTTTGCAGACCTGCCGCCAACACGCCTCTGCGCTGTCCCTCAGCTTGTCACGAAGTGTCTGGGATGGAATGCCCAGCTTCCTGGCCTGTCCCCCAGTCAGATCTCACAGCTATGATGCAGCTGTCCGCTGCTCGCTGTCCGCTGCCCGCTGCCTACCGGGTGGGCTGTCTGGCACGGCTACCTACCTCCTGCCTACCTTGCCTCCTACCTACTGTACCTACCCAATTGGCCCTTCCACCCTCTCTTTCTCACCACCAATCTTTTTTCGCTCTCATCTCCTCCTACTCCTCCTTCTTCTCCTCCTCCTCGGTCCCGCCAACTCGGATGGATGCTAGTCCTCTCTCGCGTGGCCCCCAGTCTTTTGTCTCGCTGTCAAACAGCCACTTGGTTATCCGTATCCGTACTCTCGCCTCTTGTTCATGGCGCTGATTGTCTGTCCGTGGACGGGTGCTGTGGCTGCTCAATCAGTGCCCGGCTCTGCTCGCAACCAGGCCCTTGTCCCTTGCACGCTTCTGCTTCGCTTGTTCTCGGGTTGCTCCAAAACATTAGTGGTCTATTCTTGATCCATGTTGACTTGTTGTGCCGCGTGACAGCTCCCCGTCTCGCCCTTCCCTGCTCGCCTCACTCGCCTTTTGCTCCCGGCCGGCGCTTGTTGTCGGTCGCCAACTCACTATCCATCCATCCATACACCAATCCATACACCACCGGTACGCAACACAAGCCACTACCCTGCGTGCCGTCTACGCTATATAAACGCCCTCGTCCCCTCATTTGCCGAGAATTCCTCCATGATTTTTTGTTGTAGCGGCGAACCCGTCCTCTTAACCGTTGGCTAGTTGACACTCATTCTCATTCCTGCTTTACTGCACTTATACCAGCGCTACACTCATCCGACAAGATGGTTCCCGGCAAGTCTAGCCGCTCTAGCCGTCCAAAGCCGTCCGATGTTGCCTTGGATACGAAACGCAATTTCATTCCCCTACTCAATGCGAACTACGCTCACATCTATCCGCCTTTTTCGGTTCTATATAGAGAGCCTTTGCTGCAGCTGCCCGTGAAGCGGCAGCCCAGTATACGCCCGCCCTCGTTCCATATCGAGTACGGTGACCCCGTCGAGAGAGCCATAGAGTATGCACTCCTGGCCACGCAAGAAAACGAGCGTAAAGGTGGCCCTCGAATTCGCATCCCATTTATCTGCGCCGCCAATGAGCGTAGACCTGGAGGCGACTGGGAAATCGGCTCGCTCCTCTACGAAGAGAAGCTCTGCAGGCGCAGCAACCTATTTGCAACCCTCTCAACGCCGCTACCGCAGACCAGGGAGGAGAGCAACTACCCCATTCCAACCATGGGCGGTATATTTTCCGACGCAGTCGTCGTCTGCCGCGGACCTCATGACCGCTATGAGAAACTCGACCGCTGGTACGACCTGCCTGTGCTGTCGATGCCGCCAACTCGCTGGCCAAGACTGAAAGACAACGGAACATCGTACTCATTCGACGCGGAGCGCCAGCAAATGAAAGACAAGATCCGCGGCGCTCTACGAATCTGTCACTATAACGGCTACGATCGCGTCGTCGTGGGCGATTTCGGCCTGGGCAACGGCTGCCGCAATCCGCCACAGCAACTGGCTGAGATTTGGCGTGAGGTCCTCCTCTTCGACCCAGAACTGCGCGGTCAATTTGAAGACGTCTTCTTTATCTTTGAGGACCCCGACCTGAATACTAGACGGTGCATCATCGAGGAACTGATCAAGAAGGAGCAAAAGAGCAGGACCAAGTCGAGGAGTGGCGGCGTCGATCTGCGATCGCTGCTGAGGGACGCGCCTCCGGACATGGTCACCTTCCAACGTGTGTTTGATGCAGACGAGATTCAGCGCGTCATCAGCGAGCCAGATCCTCGGTATGGTCTCCAGATGATTACCGGCTGAGCCAATCAATCCAGATGGGAATGATGCCTGCCCAGCTGGGCTACAGGGGTGCGGATGGGTGGCGACAGCATCACAGCCAAGAAGGCGGGAAGGGGGGCCGAACACATTGCGTGCATACGGCTCCAAGACATTTTCTCACCACCCCGGCCGGGGGGTTTCTTGTCATTGATTGAAACCTGCAGGAGCCGTGTCTCGCCGCCAAGTGAAGAGCCTTGGCCTGCTCACGTGGGCTGTCCATGAAAAGGATGAGCTTGGAGGACAAGTTGTCCCCCAACGTTGATGACGTTTTAATGGAGAGGAGGATGCCCTATTCTGAAGCTGCACACCACCTCTCAAAGTGTTGCTACGTATTCTCTTTTTTTATTTCTGCTTTCTTCTATATATAAAATACATGCTCGGCACGGTGCCTTTGTTCCTGACATGGCCGATATTGCAACGTGTACTAGATGAATGCAACGAGGGAGACGAGGATGACGAGCGGGTAGTGGCTGTTGTCGGTGTCTGTGTGTTGCTGGTTCCGATGTGACGACACGACTCGGCCGAGCCCTCATGTTTGGTTACATGAGAGTAACGTTGGAAATGAGTTGTTTTAGGTTTTCGCTCTCTAGTTTGCGACATTTCCCGACGTGTTGGTTTCTTGTCACAGCTTATAACCGATCCATCCATGCCAACAAGAGGTAAAAAGCAACAACTTGGGAATATACGAAATTACGGTTGAAAATATAAACGTTGAAAAGACGATTACCCCATCGAGAAGGCGTCCTACAGTTTTTTTCTCTGCTAGTAACATTTGAAAGAAAAATATACAACTACACGTTATACTTTCTTGGCATTCCCGCTGACCCCCTCCCCCTTGTTCACCCCCGCCAAGACAAGGAGAGGTTGAGGATCGATGACTCCGCTCCCATTTGGGAGATATGCAAGAACAATGGTGGGATACGTAAGAAGAAAGTTTTCGCTGGGAATTTGACGGAAACGAAAAGCGAGTCCTGGTACATGTTAGTTGCCAAGTTATGGAGTCGGGTGGGCGGCGTATGCGGCGCCAACGCATGCGAGGCGCAGCAGGTGACTTGTCCCCTGCGTCTGGCTGGACGACTGCGTCGTAGGTCCTCCTCGCGGTGTAAGTGTATGTGCCTGTGAGAGAGTGAGAGGGTGTGAGATTGGAGATGGAGAGAGAGAACGCTGTACGTACAAATCGGAGGCGATGAGGGGAGAGGAGGGGGCCGAGCGTGTTGATGAAACGAAAACAAAGACAGACAAGCCCAAAAACATTATACACTTTCATGTAGGTTTCACTCACCCACCATCAACGATGGCGGGGGGGTCGGATGTGGCCCTTGCCCGGCTGTAAACGTCCCTGGTCTTTTTTTATTTTCCGCTTTCCCCTCCCCCTTGTCTCTACAAGAAGGGTCAGTTCGCAACCCAGCGTAAGCTTTTTCTGCCAGCATCACAGTCAGTTGCTGCTCCTCCATCCATCCGTACCCCGAACTACAAAGGGTGCAGATCCCCCAGGGCTGCATCTGCGGGCTTCCTTGTTAGTTTAAATTAAATGTACTAGAATAGAGTGCTGTCAATAATGAAAGGAAAAACGCCACGTCGGGCACCCATGATGATGACAAGAAACGAGGCGGGGATCGAGTTCAGTCCCCCTTTCCTTTTCCGCCTTCTCTTTCTCCTCCAATGTGCGAAAAGGGCCTATGCGTGCGCATGGTGGAGAAAGAGGAAGACGGGAGAAAATCGAAGGGGAAAAGGAGGAGAGGCACAAGGTAGAGTGTGCCCAGCAAAGATGCGAGTGAGATGTGGAAAAGGCACGACACAGCAACTTGGCGCCCAGGCAAAATGACAACCAGCGGAGAGGGGGTGTCCCGGCTGCAGGACTGGCCGACTTGGTCGCCCACACCGGTGAGCAGGGATCTTGGGGGGAAGGGGGATGATGATACAGATTTCGCCGTCCCGGAAAGCATCCATGTTCCCAACTTTCAACGACAAATGTTCAGAGGGCTGTCTGTTCAGTGTTCGTTCCGGTGCGGGAACTGCATCAGTCCCGGGGTTCCGTGGGGCAGGTTTTTGCGTCATGTTGGATGAAAAAAATAATATACTATTGGTTGATTGTTTGCTTACCACAAGGCGGGCAAAATATGCGGCGACTCTATTCCCTACAAAGAAAGCCTCGACGAAATGCAAAAACATCATCTCTGAACACGCCTCCCCCATCGCCCGCCACTGTATTCCATACGCCTCCTTCTCCTCGCCCTTTTTTGTGTCAATTTCATCACGTCGTGACATGTACAGGTATGGCCCCCCTCAGCACCGGCTCTTTTCTACCAGTACGACGGACGAAGGCCCGCAAAGTTGGTCAAGCTGTTCGCCGCAGCATCCACCTCGGTCTCGCGTTTTCTTTGGCCGCTCAACTATAGATTCGTTAGTCCGTACAGCACACCGACACACCGAACAACAAAGCAGGGTCAACGTACCTCGAGCTGGACTCCCTTGTGGACGTGCACGAGCCAGTCCACGTAGCTCTGCGCCTCGTTGTTGCGGTCCTCGACCAGGAGACGCGCAAACTCAAACTCGGCCCCGTCGATGCCCTGCCTGGCCAACTGGATCGTCATGCCCTTGGAGCCGCGCTGCGTCTTGAGGAACTCGACGATGTTGCGGACCTGCGCGTTCAGGTGTGTGTCCAACACCGGCACCGACGACGTGTACGCGTCCAGGCTCTTGAGCGTATCCTTGCCCTCGCCAAACAGATCGCTAATGAGGTTCGGCGACGTCTGCGCGTGGAACCAAATCAGGCACTGCTGTCCGTTGTCGACCAGGTAGACGCCGCCCGGCTCTACGCGCGAGAACGAAGCGCGAACGCACGGCGGCATTTTGAGGTGGCCAGTCTCCACATCAGCGAATCCATCCTCCGGCTGAAGGTTATGCAGGGGGATCATCCGGGGGTAGAGGTACAGGCTGAGCTCGAGAGCGCCCATGGATCGGACCAGGCGCATCTCGTAGACTCTCCGGTCAGTGTTCTCAATCCCACCCTTGTAGGCTCTGCACTTGAGCAATCCAAGCATGTACATGCAGAACTCCTTGAGTCGTTCCGGCATGACCAGTTGCCCAGGAGGATATTGCTGGGCAGAGTGTTTGCGGTAACACGACATAATGTCAATGGTTCGCTCCGTCAACCAGTTACGCGTATCTTTCAGGCTGCTAGAGGTTGTCGAGAGCTTGGTGCTCGCCTCCTTCGCAAGCAAAGCGATTACAGCATCTTGGTCGACAAATTTCATGCATGCGCGGATGCCTTGCTCACGCACACCAGCCTCCTTGGACGTGTCGCTGACGCTAGCGATGATGTTTGAGCATCGCACTCTGCGCTGCCCAGAAGCAGTCGTGTACAGAAGAGCCGACTGGAAGTGCGCGTCAAGCTTGGCGTCGAGCTTGCCATCGTAAGAGAATGACACGCCCAGTGCCTTGTCGGCGTCAATCACACCAATCTCAAGGTCGGCACCAAAGGTGTGCTGCACAAAGTTGCCGTGGTAGGCCGCAATCTGCAGGCCGTTTGAGCATCGAACCTTCATGAGCGCCTGGAAACCCGTCTCGCGGGTAACGGCATGGGCGATTTCCGTGGACAGCCGGGGGCTATCGCGAGGGGCAATGAAGTTGGGGTAGTAGAATGTTTCACCACCAGTCGTGGCGGCAACATGCCCTATCGTGCCAATGTCAAGGTATCCCCCAGACGGAGCGGCCAGGAAGAAGTCAACGCCAACGCCGCTGGCAGCCATCTTTTCAGACACCTTTTTCCAGCCGGGGTGCTCAGTAGTATAGAGCTTCTTGTCGGATTCACCGCCAGGATGACTGCCATCATCACGTAAAAACAGTCTCCCAGGACCCCACGTGGGCAGGGCAGCACATGAGCAGATGACTTTGCCACCCGTAGCCTCGAGAGCAGCCAAGCCGGAACTCAGGGCTGCAAGCATGGCGGGTTCGGGGTTTTTGACGGTCGAGAACATCTCGGGAAGGCGGTTGAGAAGTGAGGTGATGGTCGACTTGCACTCGTACGGGTCGACAAACAGGCCCTCGCCCAGAGGCAGGAACGGATCCTCGAGGTCGGGCATAATCAGCATCTGCGCTTGGTCGAGACCGGGCTATCAATCTGGTTAGCATATAGATCAGCACAACCAATCCACAAAGAAACATACGTTGATGTTATAAAAGTGAATGTCTTGGTCATATGTGACGAAGCCGACCTTGGCTCCTTCGGGTATCCGCCTCTTGGGTTCGCCATCTTCACCAATCTCGCCACCATAAAGCGCAGCTTGGATTCCATCGCAGAAGCTTTCTAGGAAGCCCTTGTTGAAAGACTCCTGTGTGACATCGATGAGGAAGAGGTAGCGCAGACCGACAGGCTCTCTCGTCCAGTATTCCTTGGGAACCACAAATTCGACCGTTCCACGGTGAAGCTCAGGGCGCTGGTCCCGGTCGACTCGAACGCCCTGGGGGCTCGTGGCGCAAAAGTATTCGGGAGGAGTGTCGTTGGGGTATGTGCAGAGGTTGCAGACGAACTTGTTTCCGCCGGATCGGAACATCATGAAGGGATTGATGTAAGCGCGGCATCTGCGACAGCGAGGAGGGCCGGCCTCGCCAAAGTCGAGGACAGGAACTTCAGCTTCGCCAGCCTGCAGAGGAGCAAGGGGCTGTAGGAGGAGACCGAGGGGGATGCCGGTGGCTTGCAGGCCGTCGGGAGTGGCGGGCACATTGTTCATCGTCAGTCGAGCATACTTGGGCGAGGCGTTGCCCTGGTCGTGGGCAACGAAGGAAACCGAGGCGGGCGGCGGAACATGCTTCTCAAATGTGGGATAGATGTTCTTGAGGAAGTACTGCTGGACGGCATCGCGAGCGGCCGGTACACTGGGGAGGTCGTCAGAGGAAACCGGGCCCATGCCAGAGGCTGGGACAGAAGCGGCCTTGTCGCCTGAATCGATGGGATTGACGGGACTTCCGGGGTTCATCGGACCGCCACCGAGCGGTGATGGGGCCGGGGCGCCGTATTGCGTGTGAGGCACGCCCTGGCTGTCGAACTGGTTGCCAAAGGCGGGAACGGAGGGGCTCCCGGCGGCGTTGAGGAATTGGGAGGCGCCGACGCCGGCGGCCGGCATGCCATTGAAGGCCTGCGACGAGCCCGTGGGCTCAACGGTGTGGTAGGCGTGGCGGTCCTTCTTCTTCCTGCGAACGGTGCCCTGGGTGTCGCCGCCAGCGAGGCTCATACCGCCCATCTGCGCGGCCAGCGTGTCCTGCTGAGGCGGGGCGGCGCCGCCCTGAAATCCGGGAGGCGACGGGCCGCCGCTCATCGGGGGAGCCTGCGGCCCTCCTTGGTACGGGGGAGCTCCATACGGTTGGTGCTGCTGGTAGGGGTTCGGGGCGACGGGAGGCATAAACTGGTGCGCGGCCGGGGCGGTCGTCTTGTTCGGGTCGTTGGGGTCGTACTGCTCGCCATGGCCCAGAGCGTGAAACTGGGTGTAGTCAGCCATGGCTGAAGCTCGCGGATGACCCGTTCTCGTCGTGTGGAAGTCGGGGGCGAGAGGAGAACGTCAAGCTCGGAGACGGAGCTACAGGGGCGGGCCCAGGAGTTTGGCGATGAGGGGCTCCCCGGTCGTTAAGGCGGTCGGAGTGCAGGAATTGCTACCTTAATGGGATGGAAGGAATAATTTAGTAGGGAAGCGGATGAGAGAAACGACCCATAGTAGAGAGTCCCCAAGGGAACGATTTCTGCGAGAAAAAAAAAGGGTCGGCCAGACACGAGAGACACAGCCGCGGCGCACAACTGTTCGATATAAAATGCTGGCTCGTAGCGACGTGTTCAACAGCCAAGCGGACCCATAAAAACACCTTCCATCGATGACAGGGGCACCGATGCACCAGCCACGTCGACTGTGGCTCAGAGACTACAGCGCCACATGCAGCGCAGCAGGCCACGACGCGTGAGAAGCGTTGCAAGGGTGAAGATTACCGAGGAACTCAATATGGATAGGAGCAAGTACTGCTCGAGGTAGCTATATTTACTGGACAAAGAGCCACCGCAAAGCCAACGCGGATCTTCCTCCGCCTGGACACGGGTTATGGCAAACAAGTTGCCGGTCAGGCCAGCATACGGCCCGGAGATTAGAGTCTATTGTGAAATAACTTGCATCAGTCAGAACCTTACCGCTCTGTATACCTGTCTTGGCGGCAATTTGTATCAAAAAAGGACCCGGGCAGACGCAGCGCCGTTGGCCCATTGCAGAGCAGATTGCCTCACGTGACTTTTCACCTGACCGGCAACGTCGTGTAAGTGATCAGGCTCCCAGGAACCCAATGGCCGTCGAACCGCAACCGGGCATATGCGGCGCAAAAATGCGTTTACAGTAAAATTGTATAATTAGCTATCATTTAAGAGATATGTTGGAAAAGTTTCCGTCGTTACGATACTGTTCTGTATTTCTCGTGGGGTGTGGTGCCAATCGGCACTGAGGCGCATACTTTCTCGCGCGGACCAGACGAGACGGTCTGGCAATTACCGGCTTCGCCAGAAAGTGTTGCAGTGCGACAAGGTGACATGAGATTTCGCAAAATGTGATCTCATACCGCTAGAAACACTTTAGATTGCTTTTAGGTCCCAGTTCCTGGTGTTGTGGCGACTGCTGCCTGGGTTGACGTCCTGGGGCATACAGCACGTCGGCGCCACGTCAACTTTGGCGATTTGCCCCTCGCACTGGCAAACGACGATTGAAGGGGGTACTCCGGGCACCGCAAATGGGGTCTATATCGAGGCGGATATTGGGTCAATGTACACTGAATATCTTATCTACTGTAGTTTCGGGCCGCCAAAGGGCGCGGATTAGAAAATCGGTATAAGTCAAGATGCCGAGGTCATGTCTTGCGTATGGCGACAAGGTCGGAGGCGGTGACAGCAAAAACGCCAAGCTAGAAGACGAATTTCAGGGGGGTGCGCATAATTGTAGATTTGAGGCGTGGAGATGGATAATTCCTAGTTGATTGAAGATAAATTTGGGCAATTTGGAGTAGGTGGCGGTGTGTGTTGATTGATAGTGTTGTGTGCTGTGTTTTCAACTTTGCAAACGCGAGCTGAAAAAACGACGATGTAAACGTCTTACGCCATATCTCGACAACCAGGACAAATATGAGTGTGAAAATTGCAGAAAACACTCATTTGGCTACTGTATTGATTTTAGACGCTCAAAAGCTCAAGAATGAATGAAAATGCGGTTGTTGTTGATGAAGACAATATTGAGGACCAGTTTCGCGGATAGCTTCAGGATGGAGTCGCGGGCGGCCGGCGCAGGACGGAGAAAATAACGGCGCACGTGCACCAACCGCTCCGGCATCGAAATGGCAGACATCGCATACATTTTGGAGCTTAAATAGAAGCGACGAAATTTCTCAACATAATTTGTCTTGAAATGAATTAAAGTGATAGCTATCAACACGACAATTCAGAATGCGCCCAAGGGCACGCCCAAGGATTGCGTGGTTGGGAGGGCAAGGTGGGCGGCGCGGACATCCAGACTTGACAAAGGTGCGTCGGTGACGGCCTACGTTTGCAAATGCCAACCGACAAAACTAGTACGAAACTCTGGAAATCGAGGAGCGGGGGAATTAAGAAAATGACTCATGGAAAATGTAATGGAGGGTGAGCAGACAAAGAGCGAGAAGAGACGGAGAACAGAAGGACAAGAAAAAAAAGGAGAGGGGGAAGGCCGAGTAGCAACATCTGGCGAGAGGCTTCACCCGGAGGAGGACGAGGAGGACGAGGAGGACAGAGATGGAACAAGGGGACCTGCTGGCTGCTCAGCAGATCAAAGAGTGAGAGTGAAAGAAGAGGTACTTGGAAGGTACAAAGCAGGACGGAGAAAGCAGTTGAGGAGTGGCGCTGGCCAATCAGAAAATTGGTCACGAGGCAGGGGGGGGGCCCGGTGGACGGAGCCGAACAACGAGATTTGGGTGTGGCTGCGCGGGCACGACAGTATGTATCGTGTTGGTGTGAAATACGCGCAAGAGGTACAAGAGGGTTGTGTGGCTGAAGCTGCACCAGCGTGGCCTAGCGCGCTCTGGAGGAGGCTTACGAGTGAAGCTTCGTCGTCGATGGAAAAAGCGGGTACATTTCTGACGAGCAAGTCGCAGCAAATGAAAAACAGAAATCGGGAGCGGGGCCGGCGAAGCGAGGTACCGTGCAGGTACCAGCCGGTAGACCGTTCGCGGCAGCTGCTGGCGGATATGTGTGTGTGTGTGTGTGAGTGTGTGAGTGTGTTTGAACTTGGCTTCCTGAGAGTGAGAGCGCACCCCAAGGCGATATCTCCAGCACAAGAACCAACATCAAGACCAACTCGAAAAAAGAAAAGAGAAATTCGAGCAGTATTCTAAGCTTTTCATTCATCCTCTCGAATTTTTTTCATCTTTTTCAACGTAACCACAAAGACGCCAGAGCTCGAGCAAGTCCTTCCCTTCTCGGACCACCCCCCCCCCCCCCCCCCCCCCCTCCCACACGCCAGTCGCCCAGCGAAGAGCTACTGATTGCGGCCTCGCCCCGCCTCATATATAAACATCTCCCCGTCCCTCCACGCGCCCGACTCTCGTCGCCTCTCTTCTGTTCCTGATCTTCTTTTACGCACACTTTCCACACTCGAAATCTCTTCTCTCACGCAACTCGACTCTTCAACGCCCTTTCCCAATCAACTTTTAAAACACTTCGTCGAAATGGCCCCCAAAGCTGCCGCTGCCCCCAAGGCCAAGGCCTCCCACGCTTCCTACCAGGTTTGTTTTTTTCCCTTGTTGTGCGCCGCGCTCGCGTCGCTCTGCCCTTTTTTTCATGCTTGCTAACAAGTCTCATCACAGGACATGATCACTGATGCCATTGTCAACGTACGTGTTTTTTAAACCCTCTTGCCAATTCAACCTCCCCTCTCTGCTCTTCCGCGTTCGCCCTCCCGCGCTCCTGCTGCCTAGTCAGCTCGCACACGCGCGCGCCGCCATTCACGCTCACCAATCTTCGCCACCACCCTAGCCTTTTGCCATGCTAACGCATTTTCCCTGTGCAGCTCAAGGACCGCAATGGCTCCAGCCGTCAGTCCCTCAAGAAGTACGTCAAGGCCAACAACGCCCTGAACGTGTCGGACAACATGTTCGACTCCCTCTTCAACAAGGCCCTCAAGGCCGGCGTCGAGAAGGGCGTCTTCGCCCAGCCCAAGGGCCCCTCGGGCGGCACCAAGCTCGCTAAGAAGGCCGCTGCCCCCAAGAAGGCCGCCCCAGCGAAGAAGGCTGCCGCCAGCACCGACGCGCCCAAGAAGGCCGCCGCCAAGCCCGCCGCCGCGAAGAAGGCCGCCGCCCCGGCCAAGAAGGCTGCTGCTCCCAAGAAGGCCGCCGCCCCGGCCAAGAAGGCTGCCGCCCCCAAGAAGGCTGCTCCCAAGACTGCCCCCAAGGTGCGTTTCTTTCACGTCTTTTGCTCGAGTTTGTCCTTGTGCTAACTACGCATCATTAGGCTGAGAAGCCCGAGACGGTCCTCACCAAGACCAAGTCTGGCCGTGTCGCCAAGGTGGCCAAGCCCGCTCCCAAGAAGGCTGCTCCCAAGAAGGCCGCCCCTAAGAAGGCTGCTGCCGCCAAATAAGCCCTCTCGTCACCGACATGGCTTTGATTGGTGTCTGGCGTGTTCCTTTCTTGAAGATGTAACGAATGGTCATTGGCGTTTCATGGTTTTTGCTCTTGATATCTGTCTATTTTGCTTCACGGGTCGGTCTACGTGGGAAGGGGGGACTTTTACAGCGACTGGGATATACTTTTTTTGGGTTCACACTACCACTTGTGTTTTTATGGCTGGCTCCCATGGCTGCATTCCCGAGCGGAAACGGAGTCGGTTGAGTGTTGGCGCGGGCGAAAAGGAAAGGGGGAAAAGGGGAAATGAGTCTTTTTACTTGTCGTGCGCGCTGTGCGTTATTGATACCACTCTCGGGTGCGCGTGTTTCGCGCATGAGGGCACCACAGCCGTCTCTCTTCTTGTTAACCATTTCTTCATGTATGATTTTTAGGGAAGACCGGACTTCCTAGTTTTCCTTCCGAGCTAATGGGGTGGACGACGCGCCGCTAGAAATGTAAAAATACGAGTTTGATGCACACGAGTTCTTTCAGCTTTGGTTGACTTGCGTTTCTTTTTTTCCTTTTTTGTTCTGTTTGTGACTGGTGTGGTTGGAACACCCTGGCATGTTCTTCGCGTCACCTGGTCCGCTGACGCGCCAGACCCCTCGGGTTTTTGTTTACTTGTCCGAATCTGGTAGAGCTTGCGTACTCTCGTTATCCGCGAGCTTGCAGGCAATGGCGAAATTCCGCGGCCGTCTGCTCCGGAACTTTTGAACTTTCTAGGCGATATCTTGCCCTGATTGTTCGCGCCGGCTGATGCAGCGCCGTGGCGGCACGTGAAGCCTTCCGCGCCGCCGTCTTTGTGGCGTGACATGATGTCGTAGTGCTTGAGAGGGTGTGGTGGGTGAGCATGAGTAGTCGCCAGGTATTGTGTGGAATGCCTTCGGATCAACAGCGTAAACTTTTTTTTCCGTGATGGGTAAGATTGTGAACGAATAAGTGCGTAACTTATTGAAGCGTTCGCGGATGAAGCCATCATCGAAACCGTCCGTATAAGTGATTACAGCAGAAATGCACTAGACTCAACTAATTTGGTAGTCTTAGTATAGCCAGGTTACTGAAGATTACCAATAGATATTTTTCATGCCATTTTCGGATCTATGAAGCTCGTTAGAACGTATCGCATCGGGGTATCATTATCCTATAGGGTACATGGGTGAAGCTGCTCCCCGCTGGTGTTAGGTCGCTACCTGCCTAGACACACATTACACACTCAAAAAGAGGGTTCACGCCTATCGTTTCCCGTTGGAGGTAAATTCAGCCATAAAGCAGCCCGGCCCCGCTCGTTCCAGGAGCTCCACGCAATGTACCAAAGTACCTGCCAAAGTCACAGCCTTGGACCGCCTCAGACATCAGAGGCGCAGGACCAATCGAGTAGCAGAAGGAGGGGAAGCGACCACGCAAGCTATCGATGCCAACCGCTTCTTCCGGCGCCAAATATCGCATTAACGCCTTACTGGTCACCCGCATCATCTCCCTCTAGCTGTTGCATCCTCACTTCCATCGCCGCGCATCTCTTGGCCAGTTCTGGCCAGCTAATACATTGTCGCTCCAGCATCTCTTCCTCGGGCGGAGGGCACGATCTGCGTTGCGCTACCCAAGAGCTTGCGCTCCCTGCACATCTCCCTCTGAAGATGGCCTGAAGCTCTCTGCCCACAACTGTCTGAGTCAAATTTCGCCCTAACACGGTTCCTCGTCGTCATAGCCTGGCGGCCCTGCGGTACTTGCCACTGCAGCGTGCGTTCTGTGTTTCCGAGCGAAAACTGTACCACATTGAGCAGCATAGCGACAGCTCTGGCTCCAGCGCAAGGAGACACTCAACCCAGCACGCCACATAGACCAACGGAACACGCGACATACTGTCAAGACTGCAGAGTCGACACACAAAGCATAATGGCATCATCAAATCCATTTCGCAGATCAGTCGCGCAGCCCCGAGCTGCTGACTCGGCTCTCCCTCATCTCGATCCCATAGACACGACGGAGACATACGCCGCACCCCCGCGCACATCCTTTCGCGACGCAGAACCCAGCGACGCAGACGAAGAGCCCGTGCCCGAGCCCGAGCGCAAAAAGAAGCCGGTGAAGAAGGTCAGGGTGCTGACACCGCCGCCACTGTCGCCTGACTCCTCGGAATGGCCAGACGCCGAGCCCATGTATCGGACCGGGGCGGGCCTGGCGCCGCCCCCAGCCGCTTACGACCCATTCGCCGGGTCGGCGACGGACGAAAGCGACCGTGACAGCACGGCGACGCCGCCGTTCCCAAAGGTCGCGGCTGTTGCTTTAGCGAGCGCGCCACCGCAGGCGCCTACAGGGCCGCCAGGCAATCCGTTCAGCCGCACGCTGCACGACATGGAAACTGCGCCGAGTAAGGAGGAGCTGGACCTGCAGCAAAAGGAGGAGGGCGAAGCCCTCAAGGCCGCGAATGCCGGCACGCCGACTCTCAACGTGGATGCCTTTAGGAGGCTCCTCTTAACAGGCAAATCCGGAATACAAGGCTCCGAGGCATCGGCTGATGACCAAGCGCTCGCGTCGTATAACGCGCAAGCGAACAAAATTGTGCCTGCCCTCGACGGCGCACAAGACGAGAGCCAAACAAATAATAACATACAGCTGGACCAACAAGCCGTCTCGCCTTCTATCAAGGACAAGAAGCTTGCGCCGCCGCCGCCAAGTTCACGCCATGGCAAGACTATCCGGGGCGGGCAGCCCAGGCCAACACGCTCGGAATCGGAACGCCAATCCATGTCGCCAGAGACAGAATTTACATTACATTCACGCACGCCGAGTGGAAATGGCATAGAATTTATCTCTGACGAGGGCTCATCGGCTGACTCACATACCAATGAGGCAGCAGCACCAAGCGGGACCAAGAAGGCAGCACCAGCGCCGCCGCCGCGCCGAGGCCATGCTCGCACGGATACAAAGTCTAATCTACCCTCAGCTCCGCCGCTTAAGCCCAACGAGGACGACTACGAGCCTCGTTCGTCTACAGACTCGACGCATCGGCAAGAGCGGGCACAGATCCCCGCACCGCCACCACCGCGGCGACCGCACGCCACGCCCAAGCAGAGCGGAGCGGTGGCCGCACCGTCACCCGCGGTATCCTCGTCATCGATCCCGCAGCGCGGCCAGGTAGAAGCGGCATCTCCTAGCCCCTCGTCAAAAACGGGCAAGTCGCCCGCGCCACCGCGCCCTCCGTCCAGGAACCCGTCCTCTGCACGACGGCTACCTGGAGGCGGCGGCGGAGGTAGCGCGTCTTCCGCCGAGAAGCGGGACAGCCTGCCCCCGCCGCCGCCGCCGCGGCGCAGTCGTGGGAGCAGTAGCCCGACGCGCAAGTCGAGCTCGGAGATGGCGGACGCCGCGTCGGTCGACCCCAGTAAGGGAGCGGATATCCTGGCGGACCTGGACGCACTGCGGCGCGAAGTCGAGGCGTTGCGGGGTGCGCGGTGATATGACCCGTGGCTGCAGCTAAGGATTTAAGCGGAACTCTTTTCTGTCGCAAACGGCTCGCGGAAGAGCAGTCATCCTTTTGCTCCATGTACATGGCAGTGTAATATTATGCAAAATTTACGTTTCAAGTCATCGTTTTTCAACACTTGGGCAATATAGCTTGAATGAGATATGAGCACAATGCATCATGGGTCAACGAAGCCAAAGAATAATCGAAATTGTGCACGCAACTAGACGAGACCAATTCAGCGGCACTTGGACGGGCATTCCCGCGCTGCGCGTCCTTTGTGGTTGGCGTGGTCGAGGTTCTCGTAGAGGAAGTGGAAGTTGTTGGTTTCACTGCCAATAGTGAGTTGTTAATTCCAGGCCACGACAGAAAAGCAAGGAGAAAAAAAAACAAGGCAAGAAAGGAAGAGAGAAATGTACGATTAAAGGTCTGCTTATACGCCGTGCGAGGATCCAACTCGCTAAATATCTGCGCAAAGCACAAGACGTCCGTCATCGTGGCCGTGGCCGTGGCGGTGCCGTCGAGGTTGGAGTAGACGGTCAGCGTGTCACACACACTGGAGCCGCTGCGTCAACCGTCAGAATGCCCTCAACGCGATTTAGGAAGAAAGGCAGGGGAAGCAAAGTTACCAGTCGCGGAGTCGCGGCCGGTCTGCCCGGCCATGTAGACGACGCGGCTCTCGGCGCAGCTCGTGCCGTAGCCGGCGCATGTGTCGGCGCCGGCCGGGCAGCAGGCGCCGTAGCCGCTGTACGTGGCTCGAACGGATCCGGCGGGGCAGCTTATGGCGCCCCCTGCGTGCTTTCGTGTGAGTTTGGGGGGCGGGGGGGTGTTGATCAGAAAACGGGCACGGGGCAGGGCGGCGCACAGTAGTAGTTGTCAAAGGAGCGCTAGCCGACGAGGTCGGGAGGGACGTAGCCGCGCTTGGCGAGGACGCTGGCGGCTGCAGGCGCCGCTGCTGTTATGAGGGGGTTCGGAGACGGTGGCGGTCGATGTGGTTGGAGAAGTGGTGGGTTCGGGGGGTGGTGGTTGCGCCGAGGGAGGCGGCGGCGAGGGCGAGGATGGTGAGAGAAAGCATGATGAACGTTTCATGTACATCTGGACTGCTGTCTAAGAAGGAAGATGTCTCTGGGAAGAAAGGAAAGCAAGCTGATTTGGCGGGAGAGGATATTTTAGTTTCAGCTGAAGCAAAAGGTTCTCGTGATGCCGAATTGGGTATGGTGATATATGAGCCGCAGCGGTATGCAGTGTGAGATACGAGGGCTATTCTTCTGAGGGGCCGAGATATTGAAAGAGTGCTCTGTGTTGCGAAGTACCAATGATATTGACATGATTCTTGGACTCCTCCCTTTTTTTTTGGTTTTGAAGTTTGGACGTGTCTTGGTTTATGGAAAGAATCGCGAAAAACTTCATCTTATTACTATCGTAGTGTCTGAAACGCGTCTACGCCAATGTACCGTCAGAAACATCTCACTTCATTATTTCATGCTCAAAAGGACTCGTGATCGCATTTTTCTTCCTTCATTCCCACTCTTTCCACTCCTCAACTAGGGCATCAATCTGCTTCTCCGTTCGCGCGTCCCTCTGTGCGTCCCTGTCTAGCCTCGCTAGCTTGCTTTTGATGCTGGACTCAATTTCCAGCCTCTCCGTGACCTTGATTTCCAGATATTTGGGATCATCCTTCCGACATGCCCGCTTGAAGACCTCGCGCATCCGCGGCGAATACAGTTGGCAGGTCGCCAGCGAAATCTTTTGCGGCTTGATGTAAAAGTTTTTCGCAAGCCTATTTTCGTCTTGGAGCCGTGGCTGCACGACATCCTCAAAGCAGTCGGCGCAGACCGTAAACTGGGGCAGGAACTGCATAAAGTGCCAGTATCCGTCTGAGATGGGCTTGTCTTCTCGGCAGGTATTGTGGACGGACAGGCGCTCCAGCTTCTGTGCCAGGTCGCTCAAATCAGGACCCCTTTTGGAGCTCTCAGCTTTATCGGCCGTAGTTTCGAATGAGTCAAAGTATAATACAAAGTCTGTTCGATCAGGCGCAAAATGTAGTGCGCAGTTGCTGCGAATAGGGCTTGACCTCGAATCTAGAGGTACAAAGACGCCGCTCAAGCTGGGCAAGAGAGCCTCGACAGTCTTGGCACACTGGTAGCAGACGGTAAACTCTGGAACTCGGCGCTTCGTGTACGGATCTCTGACTGTGTACCAATCTCTGGTTGTCCTGCGGTCTCCAGGGCAGCGGTAGCCGCGACACGCAGTGCTGATGGCAGCAATATCGTGGAAAACTTGTAGATCTGTGCCGTTATTCTTCAATATGAGAAGCCATGCTATTCTGTACCACGGTGATGACCCAAAATCACAAGATATTGCGTCAACAGTCGGACGCAACACCGGCTGGAAATGGGTTCGATAGCCCGAGTTGGCAAACACCTGACCGTAGCAGTCAGGACAAATGTTGAAGTCAGTTCTTGGTAGCGTAAGCCAGTCGACCTTGCCAACGACTGGTTTCATTCGAGGGCAGTTGGGTAGACGATCCGACGCTGCGTCGTTTTTGTTCTCCGAGTATCGTCGATAGCTCCCGACCGGCCGGTCTACCTTCACACCATCCCTTTCCGGGTCAAAGCTCGGCGGTTTCCATTCTTTCGGCTCTGTTCCAGGAGACTTGAATGGATGTCCATCTGTATTTATAGGCCGCTGCCCTAGGGGAGCACTGACCGTTGACTCGGACGGCAGCGTTGGCATGTAGATGGCTGGCATGGGTCCGTCGCTGGAGGTTGCATCGCGAGAAACGGAGAGGGGGTCAATAAGAAAAGCATCTTCCTCAGGATAAGGCAAAGGAGATTGAAATGAATCCTGAGAGTCCTTAGCCAGGTTGATTGTAGCGGCAGGTCGAAGCACAGGTGGCTTGTCTGCAGGATATGCTGGCATCGTGTTCGTCCGCAGTGGTATTTTCTCCGGAGGCATTGTGCTTGATCTAGTTGTTGGTTTTGTAGAAATATTGCGCTGAGAATCTGGTGGCCCAGTGACATTCTCTGGGCTCTCCTCCTGGACAATGAGCGGCATTCGCGATGCTGATGGAGGTTGGGCGGCCCTTGGAACCTCATCCTTGGAGCGACTATGCTCACGAGAGGTGCGTGTCGAGGACCTCGTGGATTCTCTCGAAGAAGCCTGGAATTCTCTCGAAGAAGCCTGGACTGGTCTGGAGGACGGGGTTTCCCGAGAAGAAGTCGAATAATAGTCTCGATTGCGACGATCGCTGCCTCTGTCGGTCGAATTCGTACGCCTTGGTGCTCGATACTCTGACGCTGTGTCTGACCGTCTGGAAGAGGAGTTTTCTGGGCTGATTCTCGAGTATCGCACCTCACGAGGCCTGTCTCTGTAGTCTGCGCCGTAGTAGCCATCCTCTCTCCCGCGGGAGCTTTGCTTCGTGAGGTCGGGAGATAGGAGCTGATCTCCATAGAAGCGCGAGGACCGCGATGGGTTGAAATAGTCGGGACGGGGACCATTGACGGCGGACCTGCTCCGGTGGTGTTCTGTATATTGACGGTCACTGAACTCTGTTTCAAGCACAGGCAGGTCATGTCTACTTCGCCTTCGGCCCGAAGACGGCGGCGGTGAAAGGCCGGCACTCCGGGCGCGCGGGTGCTGTTCGGCCGATTTGTCCGACGGAATATCTGGCTTCGAGTCTTCGGTGACCTTAGGTCCAGCGCCGGTGTCTTCTTTGACAGAGTCTGACTTGTCGCCACTTATGTTGGTTGCGGACTCATCGTCGAGGATAACAAATCGCCTCTCCGGGTTGAACTCATGAACCTCCATGATGGTCTGAGCTTGGTCGACATCACCCCTGGAGGCAGCCTCCTCTTCAGAAGCAACAGTCTTTGTGTAGGCAGGTTCCTTGTTGAGGATGCTAACCTCATCGTCCACAGTAGGGCGAGGAGGCGTGGGTCGGCTTCGGGGGACGGTACGGGAAGGCGGAGGCGGTAGACGAATAGGCGAGGGACTCCGGCGAGGTCGATCGTATGGAGAGTCATAGTCATAGCGGTCGTCGCATGACCGTCCTACAGAGCGGTAGTCTTGCTCTTGGTGCAGCTCATCCTGACGAGGAGATCTGCTTCTGCTCCGGGACGTTGTAAAGTACCCCGCTTGAAGCAAGTTTTGAATATTGACGGAATCACCCATGTCGAGAAATCACTTGGATCGGGGTATTTGATGCATGACACCGGCAGTGTGATGCCGCAGTCGTGCAAGAGCTTCCTTGCGGTATGAACAAGGCAGAGGGCGGATGACGGCAGGCTTTTTTAGCCTGTAGGTAAGATGTTGCGCAGGAAGGCTGCGGCGGGGAAAGAATGATTATGGCTGGCGGTGATCAGACGGGCCGACTGGCGAAGGATCTGCAGTGACGTAACGCAAGACAGGGCGGGAGAAAGCAAGGAACGCGATGAGAAAAACAGGCGCACAACGCACAGCTATGCAGGAAGAAGAAAAACAGACAAAATATGAAGAATCAGTCACAGGCGTTGAGGATGCATGCAGGTGGGAAAAGCTGAGGCGCAGCGGTAGACTGGCGGGCGGCATGACATGGCCAGCGGGGAGCCAGCCGGCGGGCCAAAGTTGGGGCTTCCCGTCCACCCGCTCCGCCACCTGGCGAACCTTTTCCAGCACGGCTATGCTAGTCTCTGAAAGCCTGTCTAATTTTGGGAATTCCCGTAGTACCAGAGCCTGAAAGCTTAATGCTAAAGTCCTGCTTGAGCTGCACTGCTGCATGCACTGTAACGGCTGGCAGGTGTCAATGCCTTCGTTAGCGCCCATGAGCGGCCCCTCAGCGGCCCCGCCACTGCCACAACGCCTGTAAGCTTGGCGGATGGCGGTTTCTGGAACTGGCCGGTGGAATCTCGGGGAACTTGGTGAGGGGTGACTACAAAATTAACAGCACATGCAATACTTCATTTATGGTTGTTTAGAACTGGAAGTGGTGTGGGGTCTTGGATATTGCTGGCGTAAGTCGTGGGATCGTAGGTGCGGTTGCCAGCTCAGCTCCAGTGCATTGGTAGACTGCGGCGACTCTCGTAGCACGAAGTAACGATGTATATATGCAACAGAGATGTGGAAATGCGATAATGACTCGCCAAGCTCACAAACTTATAATACAAATCCCGCCTCGCCAAGGCACGTAACTCCCATGCCCTGCCCATTCCAGAATACTATAAACAAGTCTATCGTTGATAATAATGATACAGAGCCACAACCCTGTTATGTGATGCAGAGAATCTGCAAGCCACGAGACCCCGGCACTTATTAGTCTTCCAAAAACTCGGCAATGTCCTTGTCGTCTTCCTCCTCCTCCATCCGTCGCTGCTCCTCCGCCTCCAGCATCTCCTTCAGCATGGTTCGCTGCCGCACTCTAGCCTTCTGACCCCAGTCAGCGCCTGTGCCTTCGCCGTTGTCATCCTCGAGATGCTCCTCAAGCTGCTGCTTGGCGCCCCTCAGCTCGTTGGGGGTCATGGCGGCAGCCTTGGCTCTCTCTCTCTCGTCCTCTTCCTCCATCTTGGACACCGCGGTCTTGACAGACAGCTTCAGGATGTATGGGCGTAGCAGGAGGTAGCCGCCGACAATGACAGTAAGGCGGATCCATCCTTGAAGCGTCATTTTAGTGAACGTTTCCTGCAAGTTGTTGCTGGCGTTGTTGCCGTATTCGAGTAGCCGGGCCGCTGCCTGGCCAAGGAGGTTGAGGCTAGGCGCCTCGGCGTTGTTATCTTCCACAAGAGGATCCATTGTGAGAGGCTGTTTTGCTGAAGTTGGATGTTCCTGAGAGGATTTGTGAGGTATTTGAGAGATTTGATCAAGTCCGGGAGCGCCGAGACACTAGGCGACGGGCGGTTGCGTGACCGATGTTCCGCTGACAGCCGCGAGCCACCAATATTTCTGGATTGGATTGATCTTGATACTGCAAAGAAAAAGGCAAACACCACGTCATGAAAGTGGAAGGAGATTCCCTTTGTCCACGATTGAAGTTGATGCTGAAAGACGACAGGTTCTGCTTTGGCGCTCGCTCCACGTGACTCGCGCTCAAGCAAAGTGGGTTGCACTAACCTCCATCTACCACTGACCCCTGGCCAATTGTCAATTGCGCGCCGCTGGAGCTCATAAAAAATTCAGAGCGCATTTCTGCACAAGGAGACAGCTTCCAACCCATTCCTCCTCGCCTGCTCTCTTTCCCACTCTGTCGCATTGTTTCTCCTCTGTACCTTTAGTTCCCTTTTCTAATACCCACAGCCATTCACAATGTCTGTTGCTTTCCGCTCCATTGCGCCGTTTATGCGCACGGCCCGACAGGGCCTTACCGCGAACCCCCTTCGCTCTGTCAAGACACAAAACGTTGCCAGCATCCTCAACGCCTACCGTACATATGCTACTCACGACCGTAGCAAGCCCCATGTCAACATTGGTAAGAGCTCAATTGGACAGCTCGTGCCGGTCGATAGCTAACTCCGCATACCTAGGTACCATTGGCCACGTCGATCACGGCAAGACTACCCTCTCCGCCGCCATCACCAAGCGACAGGCCGAAAAGGGCCTTGCCAACTTCCTCGAGTATGGTGCTATCGACAAGGCTCCCGAGGAACGCAAGCGTGGTATCACCATCTCCACGGCTCACATCGAGTACTCGACCGATAACCGCCACTACTCCCACGTCGACTGCCCCGGTCACGCCGATTACATCAAGAACATGATTACTGGTGCCGCCAACATGGACGGTGCCATCATTGTCGTTGCCGCCTCTGACGGTCAGATGCCCCAGACCCGTGAGCATTTGCTGCTTGCCCGCCAGGTCGGCGTCCAGAGAATTGTCGTCTTCGTCAACAAGGTCGACGCCATTGACGACCCCGAAATGCTGGAGCTCGTTGAGATGGAGATGCGTGAGCTGCTTTCCACCTACGGCTTCGAGGGTGACGACACCCCTGTCATCATGGGCTCTGCTCTCATGGCCATGAACAACCAGCGCCCAGAGATTGGCCAGGAGAAGATTGATGAGCTTCTCAAGGCCGTGGATGAGTGGATCCCCACCCCTGAGCGCCAGATGGACAAGCCCTTCCTTATGTCCGTTGAGGATGTTTTCTCCATTCCCGGCCGTGGTACCGTCGTTTCTGGCCGTGTCGAGCGTGGTATTCTGAAGCGTGATGAGGATATTGAGATTGTTGGCAAGGGTAGCGAGCCTATCAAGACCAAGGTTACCGATATTGAGACCTTCAAGAAGTCCTGCGACCAGTCTCAGGCTGGTGACAACTCTGGCCTGCTCGTCCGCGGTGTCCGCCGTGAGGACATTCGCCGTGGTATGGTCGTCTGCAAGCCTGGCTCTCTCACTTCGCACAGCCAGTTCCTCGCCTCCCTCTACGTCCTCAGCAAGGAGGAGGGTGGCCGCCACACTGGTTTCCACGAGCACTACCGCCCCCAGATCTACCTTCGCACTGCCGATGACTCCGTTGATCTGAGTTTCCCCGAGGGCACCGAGGATGCCTCCACAAAGATGGTCATGCCCGGCGACAACGTCGAGATGGTCCTTACTCTCACGAACCCCAACGCCATTGAGACTGGTCAGCGCTTCAACATCCGCGAGGGTGGTAGAACCGTTGCCACTGGTCTGATTACTCGCATTATGAAATAAATGAAATAGGTACGCAGGGTGGATTCTAACGACAATCTACCACTGCAGGGTGTATAAAAAGCAACGACACGCAAAGGCTCCAATTTACTACAGCCAACGCTGCAAAAGTTATTTGACGAGCATGGATGCTCTTGTATATTCCCGAGGATACTTCTTCGAGGATCTCCACTCCGGTTCTTTCTACTGTCTTGAATCTGTACTTTAGACTGGTTGAAGGAGGTAGCGATAGACAAATGTAAAACTCAATGTACTTTAGAACATTTCTCCAAGGATGCATTTTTGACACAGTGTGGGCGTAAATGAGAAGATGATGCAACTCAGTCGTGTCCACGCGATGGCATTGTTCTGCCATCTCACAGAGTAATGATGAAGATGGCGTGAGACCTTATGCAGTCCTCGAACCCTGCTCCTACGCGGCATGTGCCTGGCCGGCAAATCCCCTAATCACAGATATCGATGCGCAACAGTGAACGGTCGTGTAGGTGTAGTTTCCATCGTAATGGTGAATTCGTCTATCCACTGAGGATGATCGTCAGACGCACGATAATTCCTCAAAACCAAAGCAAGCCATTAAAACTCCGGTTCCAAAGCGGGCAGCCCTTCGAGTGCTAATTTTTCTCTGTCTTTTCCAGATCTGCGACGCCATCACGCAAATGCAATCCTCCCAAGACTTCTTTCCCCTCCACCCCCATGGCTATTCCTCGCGCTCCTAGTCTCTCCCCATGATGGTTGTGTCAAAGGAGATTCCGCTTGGACATTTTTGTTTATGTAAAGTGCAAGAAAAGGGTGCATTTAGCGGTACTGTAGAAGAAAAAAGACAGGTCAGCATTCGTCCCAATTCGTCCAATATTGGAATACGGCGCATTGTGTCGTGTCTGTTTGTCGAAGGGTCTGCCACAAAACGTGGCCAAAAGGAGAAAATGGACCGAGTTGTGTCGCCTGAGTGCTTGGATGGTATGAAGATCGGATATCGCGTACCTTGTTGAAGCCAATGTCCTTGGCCTTCTCACGGAAGCACTGACGGCACAGGTTCAGGTCGTACTTGCGGATGAGACCGGCGGTGTGCTTGCAGACGCGGCTACAACACGAACAGGTTAGCATTTCGAGATTCGTCGCTTCCTTCGTTCTTTTCGTATATCGATCGTTTTCCAGCGCCGTCAAACGGGGCTCCTCGCAAGACGCGATGGCCCATGTCTGATGGCGCGGATCTCGTGAAATATCGGGAATTGTTTCGTACCAGCTGCGAGAGCCCTTGCCGTAGGTGCGCGGGCGCGAGTTCCAGACGCTTTCGTGAGACATGATTGCGGTTGTTGTGTTGGGCGGAAAAGGTGTCGAGGTTCGCTAGTGTGGAAGGGGATTTCGTGAGGATTCAGGTCGGCGCAATTTTTGTGTGAATTTCTCTGGCCCCATCCAGGCAACCGATTGGAGGGTTCCCAACCCCAGCCCACCCTCTCCCCCACTGCGTGCAAATCACGTGCCTACTATCGTTGAGAAAAGGGCTTATCGTCACGTGCAGATAGTGCTTGGGCGGGCCCTCCCTCAGCAAGTTGGCCTTGGTGGGGAAACGGCGCCATCACTGTTGAATGGAGGAAGAGCTCCCCATTCTTCAACTGGGGCTGGGGTCAACTTCGATACGCCATACGTGTTATAGAAGCTATCGATTTGTAAGAACTATCCTTTGCCTTGCAGTCCCAATTCGCAATCTAGATTCCATGCAATTTTGCAGCTCGAGCCACAAATTGCATAGAATTTCAGAAAACTAACAATTCTTTTTTTCCCTCCCAGAGATACCCAATTCACAATGGTCTTGCTCAAGACTGTCCTCCTTGGCGCACTGGCCGCCACCGCCGCCGCCAAGTCCGCCGTCATCGACCTCATCCCCAAGAACTTTGACGATGTCGTCTTGAAGTCCGGCAAGCCTACCCTGGTCGAGTTCTTTGCTCCCTGGTGCGGCCACTGCAAGACGCTCGCTCCCATCTACGAGGAGCTTGCAGGCGTCTTCGAGTACGCCAAGGACAAGGTGCAGATCGCAAAGGTCGACGCCGACGCCGAGCGTGACCTCGGCAAGCGCTTCGGCGTCCAGGGGTTCCCGACGCTCAAGTTCTTTGACGGCAAGAGCGACAAGCCCGTCGAGTACAGCTCCGGGCGCGATCTCGAGAGCCTTGTGTCGTTCATCACCGAGAAGACCGGCGTCAAGGCCAAGAAGAAGCTTGAGCGGCCCTCCGAGGTCGTTGAGCTCCACGACGACACCTTTAAGGAGACCGTTGGCAGTGACAAGCATGTTTTGGTTGCCTTTACTGCCCCGTGGTGCGGACGTGAGTAACTGTGTAGTATCTAGGCTCGGGACATTTACTAACTAAAACTGCTAGACTGCAAGAAACTTGCCCCCGTCTGGGAGCTTGTCGCTACCGATTTCGCCAACGAAAAGAATATTGTTATTGCCAAGGTCGATGCCGAGGCTCCCAACAGCAAGGCCGTGACTGCCGAGCATGGCATCAAGTCCTACCCCACCATCAAGTTCTTTGCGGCTGGTGACAAGGAGGGCGTCGCCTACGACACTACCAGAAGCGAGGAAGCCATCGTCGCGTACATTAACGAGAAGGCTGGTACCCACCGCCTTCCCGGCGGCGAGCTCGATAACATCGCCGGCACCATCTCTGCCCTCGACGTTCTGGTCAAGAAGCTGACTGGTGGCGCTTCGATCGCTGAAGTCGCCGCCGAGGTGAAGAAGGAAGCTGGCAAGCTGAAGGAGGCTGCCGAGCTCAAGTACGCCGAGTACTACGTCCGCGTCTTTGACAAGCTCAGCCAGAACGAGGGCTGGGTCAAGAAGGAGTCGGCCAGACTCGACAGCATCCTGACCAAGGGTGGACTGGCTCCCTCCAAGCGTGATGAGATTAAGACTAAGGCCAACATTCTCAAGAAGTTCGTCGAGGATGTCGCAGAGAAGGTTGAGGAGGCCAAGGATGAGCTGTAGAGCAGTGGCTCCTGTTGAATGTAAAACACGGTAGTAGCTGCGTGAGAAAAGTAAAGGAATTAGAGATGAATGAAATAAAGCGTAATCCTATTGCCATGAATGACAGAATCTGTGAACCATCCACCATCGGTTTGTGATGCGACACCTGCAAGGGCGTAGAAAGTTATGGCCTGGCGGAGCTGTCTTTGGAATCGGTTGCGCGCAGCTCTGCTTCCAGCTTGTCCAACCTTGATGACATATCATCCACTGCATATTGTTAATGAACAGGGCTGGTCAACGCAGCGGAATGTGTTTTGCTGAAACGCACGCTTGGCAAATATCTCTGAAGATACACTGGAAAACTTGTTCTGGATGCTGTTGAGGAGCTCCTCTACTGCAGCGTTGAACTCTACGCGCGCGTCATCGCCAGACTGTAGAGGCTCTCGAGTCAGTCAGCGAAATGGAAACCACAGGTGAAGCTCCGGCGGAAGCGAGCCGCTCTCGGGCCGTTGCAGTTGAGGCGTGTGCCACGTTTACGCGGGGCGGTTCATCGGGGTCGTCTCACGTTGTTTTGTACTGGCGTGTTGGAGTCGCGGTTGATCGGAGACATCTCCGCTGTGTTCTCTTGGGCTGACATTGCAGGATCGGAAATTCTGGCTTCCAATGTTTGTCTTGAAAGGTGGATGGTTAGATGCATTGGCGCACGATCACGGTCCAACCTCAATCGTAGGGCTCCACTTCACCTGGTGTCTCGTCCGTTAGCGTCACTATCCGCCTTCCGTCTTCAACTACTAACCTAATTACTTGAACAGTATCTGACCTTTGAGGAATACATCTTCGAGTCCCGCGGGTATTAGAGCACGCGAACCCGACGAATCGAAATGTGGCTAAATACGAACATATAATAGAACGGTGATGCGACAACAGACCGAGGAAACATTGGATAGCCGACCTCTTGATTTGCGAAGCCGACGAATCCCATCAGAATGCCGCCGAGGCAGCACACCGGGGCGAGCCTCGCCTTTCTCATACTCATGATATGGCTTCTCATGCCCATGGGTGACATGGGCGGGCAGACCGGTCCTCTGCTCTCCGTGATTGCCGGGCGCCGACTGGCCAGGCACCGTGCCGCACTCGAAGCGCTCAACGGCACCCAGTGGGGGGACTTTGCGCCGAACGCACCGGAGGCGTCGTCCTTTGTCAACATTACAGGCTTCAGAGAAGTGGACGGGCTTGCGTGGGAGGACCTCGACCGATTCAGGGACAAGAGCCTACAGCTAAGCCGGCACGCGGTGGCCTCCTCCGCGCCTACGGGCGAGTCGCCATCGCTCTGGGACACGGCCGACGGCGAGCCGGTCTGGACGACGGCGTCCGGTAACCTCGAAGGCGACTGGGTATACCGCCCCGGAAGTGTATCGCGGAGCTATGCGAGCTATAATCTCAGCAACAGCGTCCCCGAGATCGACTGGATCGGTGATCGCGTCGGCTGGGGCCGCAACATGACGGGCAGTGCCGGCCGCATGCACCTGCACCTCGAGGGAAACAAGACGACGACGGTATATGAGCAGCTGCCACGCGACAGCGCGTCGTCGCTGCCGCTGTCGGGTGGACTCATTCGCAGCGTCCGTGGCGCGCTGTCGGTCGAGGACACGGCTGGCTCGCAATCGACGTGGGAGATGCGCCTCTGGGGCGTTCACTGGCCGCGGCAGGGCGTTGTGCTTATGACGACGACGAGCGAGAAGTTTGAGGGCATCTTTGGCCTACCGCACCTGACGCCGGGCCCGGACTTTTTCCAATCCAGCAAGGCGCTGCTGACGCAACGTCTCAACAAGGTCCTCGAGGCCAAAGAAAACAACGTCTACAGCGACCAGACGGTTCCGTGGAGCTCCGAGGCCCAGAGCCACCCACAGTTCCTTCTCAGCCCCGCGCCGCAGTGCGAGTACGTGCTCTATGCCCAGGTGCACCCCCCGGATCGGGACCGTCTGAGTGCCGGCGACGGCGTTGTGGATAACTTGGAGGCGACGCGGCTCATCGCTGCGATCGAGGAGGAGCTGGCATCACCACAAGGCGCGCCCATCGGCCACGTCCCCGCGCTGCGCATGTCGGCGGTCGTCTACTCGCCCGACTGCGCCTTCTTCCTCGAGTCGAAAGGCCCGCCCGAATACCCGCCCGGCGAGGCCAACCACCTCACGGGCGTCAAGGCCGAGGTGCAGACGCACCTTGTGCGCGCGTGGCTGCTCGTCTTTGCCTGCCTCGTCTTTGGTCAGGTTTATCTCCTCAAGAACCAGATGCGCGAGACGTGTACGCCGTCAACCATGGGCCGCGTCAGCTTCGGCACGGTCGGCGCCATGGTCATGGTCGACGGCATCACCTTCACCGCCGCCGCGACGTGGGTGTCGTCGGCCCGCGCGAGCTTCCTGCCGACCCTAGCGCTCATGTTCGCGGCCTTCCTGTCCATGACGATTGGCGGTAGCTTCCTCGCCAAGATCTATGAGGTCCAGTTCCCGGAGAACAACCCGCGCCCGGAAGCGTCGTCCGCCAACAATACTAATGCCAACACAAATACCAACACCGCTATGCCCTCTCCCGCACCGTCGGCGGCTAACCTCCCGTCGTCGGTGTCCCTTCTCCCCGGCCCCGTCACAGCCACTGGCCGCGTTGGCGGCATCATCCCTCCTTCCCAACCCGTATTCGTGCCCTTCGATGGCGACGTCGAAGCCGACGTGACCGACGGCGCCTCCGCCCTCCCCATCCGCACTGCCGCCTCACCGGCGGCCACCACGCCGCCGCGGCCCAACTTCCAGGCCATCATCGGCCGCTTTATACTCATCAGCCTCGTCTTCAGCTTCGTCACGCTCTCCTCGCCGACGTGGTACCCGTCCGCGCGCGCCGTCTACCTCGACCTCTGCGCGCTCGCCTACCTCTCGCTCTGGCTGCCGCAGATCCGGCGCAACGCGCTCCGCAACTGCCGCCGCGCCCTCGCCTGGCCCTTCGTCCTCGGCCAGTCGCTGCTGCGTGCCGCGCCCCTCGCCTACTTTTGGCTCTGGCCCGGCAACTTCCTCTTTGCGCGCACCAGCCCGCGCTCCTTTGCCGCCCTCGCCGCCTGGCTCTGGCTCCAGCTCGTCGTCCTCGCCGCGCAGGACGTCCTCGGCCCGCGCTTCGCCGTGCCCGCGGGCTGGCTCCCCGCCGCGTGGGACTACCACCCCGTCCTGCGAGAGGACAACCTCGAGGCCGGCGGCCTGCCAATCGGGCTGCTGGCCGTCGACGACGAGGCGGGCCCCGCGCCAGATGGGAGCGCGCGGCGCCGGCGAAGCAGCAGTGCTGCTGCGGCGACGGCGGGGGAAAAGGCAAAGAGGGCTGGTGGCAGCAGTGCGCGGCACGTCATTGACTGCTCCATCTGTCAGGAGATTCTCGAGGTGCCCGTCGTCCGCGCTGGTGGGGACGAAGATGGGAGTGGAAGCGGCGTCGGCGTGGCGAACGTGTTTGCGCGGCGCATGTACATGGTCACGCCGTGCCGGCACATCTTCCACACGGCGTGCCTGGAGAGCTGGATGAAGTTTCGGTTGCAGTGCCCGATATGCAGAGAGGACCTGCCCCCTTTGTAACATCCAGGAGCTGGCTTTTTTTGCGCTGGCAAGACGCCGTTTCTGGCCGCGGCTGAGGAAGGCAATGGTATATACATGGAGCAATTTCACATGGCAGCCATACTTAACCAAGTGTATAATTACGAATAGGAATGTATCAACATGCTCTCTGCCAATGACATGTGTACGCTGTAAATCTGCAATGAAATGGGTCGGTCACTGGAGAAGAAGAAAAGTGGTGGCTGTGTGTGACGATTTTATTCGACCAAGTGTAGTCAATCAAATCCAAAAAGCAAATGGTATTCATTATGCAGACAAATAAAGAAATAGCGAGGTGTATCAAGGTATACATGCAACCTACCAGGTAATGCGCGTCTTCTTGAGACGCACATCCAAGTTGCCATTATACACAGCGCGAGTACCGACGATAATATCCGCATAGCGCGCGCGGAGATCAAAGTCTGCCGCCTTGAGCATGATGCGGCGGTCGTCCGGGATGGTGCGCTGGACAACGCCGGCGGCGTCCGTGTAGCCGGCGGCCGCGGGGTTGCGCGGGTCAAAGGCGGACGGCACCGCGGCTCCACCACCACCAGGCACGCCCTGCTCCTCCAGCTGCATGACCCAGGTGGCAATGTTGGAGGTGAGCTCGCTGTCCCACATGCCCTCGCGGCGGGCGCTGCTCTTAAGCAGCTGGATGGCCTGGCGGCGGAGCCACGGGTCGCGGCACTTGGTCGCCACCACGAACAACGGCGGGACGATGCCTAGGTCAGCCGAAAAGCTGGGCTTCAGGCGGCCTGCGCCGTACTTGCCTGCCTTGAAGGCACCCTTGGTGCCGTGGGAGTACTGCGGCTGGTCAGGCGTTTGTACGTGCTGTTCGGCGGCGAATCTGCTCTCGTCGGCACCGACGACTTCCCAGCCGAGATCGACGATCATTTTGAAATTCGGCATGAAGGAATCAAATTGCAGTTCGTTGTCACAGAAGAGCATGAGGAAAATAATGTTTGAGTTGACCTGGAACATTTTGAGCGCAGCAATGCCGGCCCTTTCAATGTATGGCATGCCTGGGTCATGGCGCGACATCAAAATAGGTTCAAATGCATCTGACCAAGCTGTCAGTCGGTCTTTCAGACCCATGCCGTATACCTTCCACGCTGCAGGAAGAACATAGCTTGGGTCCGTTTTGGCGGCATGGAGCTGTTCGACAAACATGAGCAGCGCCATGCACAACTTGTCAGAGGCCAGTCGTGCCTCGGCCAATGTCTCGAAAACGCCCTCCCTAGGGGGACTGCCAATGACGGACGGCGAGCTCCTATCGGATCCCGGGGAGTCGGGGTACTCTGCTGTAGAACCAAGCTTGACGACATAAGGCTGAGGGAAGTGGAAAGCAAGATCATATGATTTTGCTTGAATGGCGAGGCGGCTAAAGAGGGTGACCAATTCGTCGGGGTTGGTGCCCAGAGCGGTTAAAAGGTTTGAGGAATGTCGTCGCTGTGACTGCCCCAGGATGCTGAGGCCAGTCTGAATTTGAATAATTGCTTGCTTGTGGTCGCCTATGAAGGAGTCGAAGCAAGCAAGGAGTACGATAGCAACTAAACGCGTATTATGGCTGTTCATGGTGTCACCCTTGACAGATAGAACTGCGTTGCAAGCTTCAGAGTACTGCTTGATGGCGACTTGCCAATGTGACATGATGGAGTCGGTGTGGCGCTGCATGTCCACGTCGTAGGGAGTTTCGAAGGACAATTCCAGAGTCTTGTACAAGGCACCAAGGGCAACAACGGAGTGGCGGATGGCGGTTTCGCTGTGACATTCTTGCAGAACTCGCTGAGTCCAGAAGTTCGAGTTGAAGTAGCCTGAGAGCTGGGAGGCTGTATGTAGGCGGAAAAGTTCGAAGTACATATTCTCGATTGGTTGAAGCGGTAAGGCCATCGATGGACGATATAGTACCGAAGGAGCTGCCGCAGCAGATAGTGCTGTGTAATGCTCCGCCGTTTTGCGGCGGCGGCCAGCTCGCCGAGGTGGTAGAACTGTTGGTTTTTGAAGCATACTTATGCCTGTTGGCCGGGCCGCAGCAAGGACCGAAGGAGCAGGGGCGGGTTGCATGGCTGCCAGAGGCTTTGGTGCAATGCGAATCTCCATGGGTGGCCGGGCATGGCGACTGGGAGGCGGATAGCCCGTACATGTCTTGCCGCTCCGTACGCATTGAGTACACTCCGGGCGCTGTTCATCACACTTGATTCTTCGTTTCCTGTTGGCGGAAAGGGATGATGAGTATGGATGGGTGAAACACGGGGTTGAGCTGCCGGGAACAAGACGGCATTGCCCCAGGCGGACTTACTTGCAGTTGGCGCACCCGGTCTTGACCTTGGGATTGCTCCTCCGACCTCGTTTGACAGGCTGATCCGGGATTATAGCCGTAGGTGCTGGATCGGTAGATGGTTTGGGATCATTGTCGAAGATCTCGGGGGGCTGAAGGTCAGCACCTCGGGAACTTGATGGATTGACAGGCGCAGGGGACATATTGGCCGTCTTGCAGGATACCGATTTATGACATTGAAGGCGGAACTGTTGCGCGAGCAGCGGGATCTAGGTAGGTGTTGCTTGCGGCATGAATATTGGGGTATATTAAACAGCGGTGATTCAGTTGGAGAGGTAGCAGCCAATATGAAGCGAATGTGAGGAAAGACGTGAAAATCCAACCGAAGGGCGGAGAGATACAACGGGCGTTTGGAGAAACGTTGCTGTGCAAGCTGCCTGGAGCTCCAGACCTACAAACAAACGGCCAGTTAACGGGTGGGCGTCAATGTCTGAGGGCGATTGCGGTAACCTGGGGGTGATGCGAGAGGGGAGGGTATTGCTTGCGGTTGACTGGGAAATCGAAGTCGATGAGGGAGTAGCCGCAAGTGGGAAGCTGGTGATGCAGGAGCGTTGAGGTGCCGCAGGAGATCGGCGAACCGGAGCGGAGAGCGGAGTGGAGGACGTTGATGGGATGATAGTGGCTGAGCTTTGGCCTTGAAGATGAAGCCACGGAAGAAGCCTTGCTGGAGGGATACTGGGGAAGAAATCCAGCGGCTCACAGGCGCACTTTAGAGTTGGTTCGAGTGGGGTTTAGTGGGATACCCGCTACAGTGACCACTGAAAAAGGCTAGGCGCACCGGCTCAGGTTGGTGGCTGATAGCTCGATACTTAGTAGTAGGATCAACACCAAATGGTTGGTCGAATACAAGCTATTGAATGATTAGCCGGTCTGTTAAATGGTTAAGCTTTCGAGATGCAGGTGGCCTGGTTTCCGCAAGATGGCTACAACGGCGGGCCAAGGTGGTTTTACATATGGTTCGGCAGAAAAGTACATGGGCACCTGGAATTCACATCGCCAAGTAACCCTTCTCCAAATCTGTGTGCAATTTCTTAACGTCTCCAACTGCCGACTGCCTGCATTGTGCGGCAGCTCAGTTTCGTCCCGCTCAGACTCCCGATTTCCAGTTCCCACCTTGACTACTCCGTAAATTGCCTAATAATAAGTTGTAGGGCACGCCATCGTCAATTGGCTCCATGCTTGCTCGCTATCCATCATTCACCTACGAACCCTGCCTTTTGCACAGTCGATTTTCGAGTTTGCATAGTCACTGCTTTAGCTCTATCATCACTATCATTACTACTATCGCTATCATCGCTATCATCGCTATTAGCGCTATTAGCGCTATTAGCGCTATCATCGCTATCATCACTATCATCACTGTCATCACTATAATCACTATCATCACTGTCATCACTGTCCTCTTCGGCGCCGGCCTTGGCGGCAGCCTCGCGGACGCTGGGTAGCTCTTTTAGCTGGCTCAACAGGGTCGCGGTGGTTCCTCGCACAGTATTAGCGCAACTATGCGAATCTCAAAATCGACTATACAAAAAGCAGCGCCCTTCACCTACAGCTATATACCGCTCCGGGTTATACTCTTCAATGAAGGTTGGAATTGTTCAAGGCCCAAATAGTACTAGATCCCGGAAAACGTACGATTCGGGCTCTCCAAGTTCCCATCTTTTGCTCAGGCCGCGGCCCCCAACTTACATCTTGGAAAGGATTCCTCACGACAACATCTTTCGGCTCTATAGCTGAGCCTGAACAGATTGCTCCTTGTATGTCGTCGGCATCAAGTTAGAGCTACAGTGAAAAAATTCCGCCAAAATTTTACCATTTTCTGGAGTAAATTGCAAAGCAGTATCCTCCGAGTTCCAACACTTGCCGCAAATGGCCACTGGTCGGCACCCGACGGCTAGCCCCACAGGGAAAGAACCGCCATCGCCAACGTTCGCTAAAATATTCTTGATGCATGACACTGCCCACGATATTCCCCCCAACCCCCCAGCTCCCATCATCTCCACGCCGTAAGGCAACATCGTACGATACAATCTGCTTGAAAGCTGACCGCTATTCGTCTTAAATATCATCCGGCTCGCTCCACTATCGCCTTGACAACGCCTCGGAGAGCTGCCAGCCCGAAAAATCGACACTACGCGCGCAGGCACCACGCCCACTTCCGGGGCATACGACGCCACAAGGTTTTCTTCCATAGACCTATCGAGACGAGCGCGGCTCCTGGCTAATAGGAGACCGACACCATGGCCACGACAACCGCACAACCCGAGCCTCCACAACGTCCGCCCGTCCATAACCCCTTGATCGACAATGTTGCCCTAGTGTTCGCCGTCGGCACGCCACTCATCATGCTGATGCCGCCGCGCAAGATGGACTTGCGCTTCTTTGCCCTCGCTGCTACATTCTCGCTCTCCACGAATCATCTCTGCAAGTCCTACACGGGCGAGTCCATATACTCCCGATTCAACAACCGCGTGTCCTCGGCCTTCGACAACGGCCTGCCTGAGAGTGCCCAGAGGACGCAGCGTCTGCTCAAGGAGCACAAGGAACGCGAGGCCGCTGCCAAGGGTCTCCCGCCGCCCGGCCAGGACAAGGTCGGCTCCAACATCCTCAAGGACATCTGGATGGGCGGCGAAAAGGAGGACTGGAAGGAGAAGCGCGCAGAGGAACACCAGCGGAGCTTCGAGGAGGGCAAGGGCATGAGTGACATCATCATGGAACAGATTGCCGACGTGTTTAGCGGCAACTGGGGAAGTACCAAGAAGAACCACGAGTCGGAATCGACGAAACAGGACGATCTGGACAAGGGAAAAAAATGAGAACGCCTAAAATGTGAAGGGAACAAGTCATGCCACTGCGCGATTCTTGGATTTCCGGAGATGGCGAATGGAAAGTGTAATATTATGTACAACAAAAATTCAAAACAGGCGACCGAAACGCTCGGTCAAGGACAAAGGACGTGATCTACGAGGATCGATGGAACATGCTATAATGTAAAGTACTTAGTGTATATCAAGGGATACAGATTGCAGCTGCACCTGACGTTTGCATAAAGCCATCAGCGCTTAGACTACTCTTCGGCTAGACGACGTCAATGAGCAGGGTCTATGTAGATCTAGAAAGCATCCGTTAATCCTTGCAGGGATCGGATGATTTAATTTGCACATCGATACGTATGTAGTAAAACAAAATGACGTGGCAAGGTAGTTGCGGTACTTGTCCCGATTTCAAACATGGAATGTGTGAAAGTGGATGCTGTGGCTTTGGTACCGTCGTACAATGATGCTGCACGCCAGTTGAAGAGGCGCATCGTAATACGAATTCTGATGCTAAATAAAAGATAAAAAAGACCGCCAAGTTTCTTCAGCATTGAAAGCACGTGAACTAGTTGCATATTTTGCTCATACTCGTAAGCGGGTGGCAGCAACTGTGGTCCAAAAATAGCCTCCTGTGCCTTTTTACCCAACTGCTGCGCCTCCAAGCCTGACTGGCTGGCCCAGCCACTCCCGTCGGGGTTATAGGCGCGGTGGCACTTGTCTTGAAGGTCTGAAGGTACCTGCCACTCTGCCAAGGATTGCACTGCCAGTCTTGTATCAAAACGACAAACGGCAGTGCTGTGGTGACGATCAACCAGTGCGCAGTCGCTGGTGGACACATGGTTGCGTCAGTCAGGCACTTTGGACCCTCAATGTGGCTGTTTTTGTAACCTCGAGGGGGCTGTTATGGTGCTCATCATAATTCCCTGCTGGAATTGCCCTTGTTTATTACTTGGCTCCTTCATCACCGCTCTCTTTTTTTCCGCTGTATCCATTCGTCCTGTTTCTCCATCCACCTTCTGTCTGTTTTTCCACACTTTCTACACACAGACTCTCCTTGCAGCTTTCTTTTTGCCTGCATCTTAGCATCAGCTTCTGAAACGAGTCCAGGCCTGCAATTTTACGCCTGGTCGGCGACGCGGTCTCCTAGCGCCGGCGCCCGCCCCCAGACAAACTCTCCGCTACCAACCAAGGCAGCTAGCTGTTGACTGGTCCCTGGCCGCTTTCGAACAAACTCTCGCGTGCAACTAAACCTTCGTTTCTGCATCGACAAATCTCAGATCAGATACTGGAATTCCACCGCTGGCCCGTCCACCCATCCATCATTCTTCCTTTCGGCGCGCCCAAGGGAAGGACCAGACCATCCACACCATGGCGTCGGGCGGCAATCATTATTACGCCAGTGGTGGCGCTGGCAACGCGCAACAACCACCATACTACGACCCTGACGCTCTGCATGTGCATTCCCAGTCATCAACGCCCGCGCCGCAGTATCACGCCACCGGCCAGCCCGGCTACGACTACGGATATAACGCACAACACACGCAGAACCAACCCGGCCGACCGTCGCCCTTTGACACAGTCTTCGACGATCACGCGTATCCGCCGAGCTCCGGACAAAACAGCGTACCTGGCGGGAATACGCCGCAACCTGGCCTCTACCAAGATACAGGCTACTACGGCCAAGCCGGGGCCTCTCCGATGTCCTCAAGACCGAATGTCGCCGAGAACATCCCTCTGCAGGACCGCCCGACCAAGGACGGCGAGCCGACCGATCACATTTACGATGCCTCGGCCGCCCCTGGACAACAGTCGCGCAGGGGTAGAGGCAAGGTACGCGTGGGAGAGCTAGGCATGCTTGGCTCTGACAAGAAGCGAATCCCCTTTGTTGTGTACCTTTTCAGCCTGATCCAGGCCGCCGTCTTCATCGCTGAAATTGTGAAAAATGGTACGTTGCTTTCAGTTGGAAGCTAAGCGCCAACGTCTTTCCCTCTAACATGACATTTTCAGGTATCATGACGGGGTCCCCTATCATGATTAAGCCGCAGTTCAATCCCATGATCGGCCCCTCGACATCGGTGCTCATTTACATGGGTGCTCGATACGCGCCCTGCATGCACAACATCGAGGCCATCCAGGGTGCACCGGCCGACAAACTAATCCCCTTCCTCTGCCCGAATGCCACGACCAATACCGAAATTTGCCCTCTCTCTACAGTCTGTGGCTTTGGCGGTGTACCCGACCCGGTCGGGGGAAACGCGAATCAGCAACCGGCCCCCGACCAGTGGTTCCGATTCATTATTCCCATCTTTATGCATGCTGGAGTTATTCACATCGGATTCAACTTGCTTCTTCAACTGACGATAGCCAAGGAGATGGAGCAGGCCATTGGACCCATCCGCTTCCTCCTCGTCTACATGAGCGCTGGTATTTTTGGGTTTGTCATGGGTGGTAACTTTGCTGCGCCAGGTATTGCCTCTACTGGCGCCTCCGGCTCATTATTTGGCATCATTGCGCTCACGCTTCTGGACTTGCTCTACTCGTGGTCGGAGCGTCGCAGCCCCGTCAAGGATCTTATGTTCATCATTGTGGACATGGTCATTTCATTTGTTCTCGGCCTGCTGCCTGGCCTGGACAATTTCTCCCATATTGGTGGCTTCCTCATGGGACTCGCGCTCGGAATCTGCGTTCTGCACTCTCCTAATGCGCTGCGAAGACGCATGGATGAGGGCACAGCTTATTCTGCCGTCCAAGGCGGCCAGGCAGTGCATCCGGCTTTCATCAAAAGCCCTGTTGGCTTCTTCAAAGGGCGAAAGCCGCTCTGGTGGGCCTGGTGGCTTGTGCGAGTTGGCGTTCTCATCACCATCATTGTCGTCTTCATCGTTCTGCTGAACAACTTCTACAAACTTGGCGAGCAGTGTAGTTGGTGCAAGTATTTGAGCTGCCTGCCCATTAAGGACTGGTGCGAGCTTGGCGCCATCAAGAGCTCTTGATGGCCTCATGGCAGCTTACTTTTCTTGGATACTTTCCATTTACTGTTTTCTCACTTGCATTGCATGCCAAGGTCGGCACTTCTGCACAGCGTTGGCGTTTAATTGGGCAATGTATTTTACGACTTTGGCCATGCATACATAGAATAGATACTTAACCTAGCCATGTGACGAAGAGTTGAAATTGAATGATTAGCCGACTTGAAGAGCAGCCGTGTTACAGCGTGTCTATCTGTCGATTGCAGCGAAATAGAAATGTCATATGGATATTACATGCCCATGTTGTACAAAATGTCGCCTCATGTAGTTGTCGCGAAATCACGCGTAGCCCATAACGATCTGGTGGGTCCGTCACGTCACGGTGCGAAGGGCGCGTCTCTCTCAGGTTAAAGTGGCGTCCCCAAAGCGGCGTGTCGAGCCAATTGGCGTGTACTTTTTGCCCATCAATCCCATCACCACCGACTTCTTCATCATTGCAACTAGCTACAACAACACCACTCCAAGAGCAAAGGCCATTGACTTGCTTTCGTGTCTCTTGCATCAAACGAGAGCCTTGAGACTCGCCAAATTCCAGCAACCGCCGTCGATTTCTCCCTCCAAACGAGCACGAGCACGCAAGAACAAGAGCCATGTCGACCGCGGTCCTCCCGCAGAAGCGGGTGCTGATCGAGTCCAAGATCGGGCCAAACATCCCGCCCACAACACCGTCATCCGCCAAGAAGCGTAAGATGGACGTCTTCTCGTCATCACCAGCGGTGTTCTCCGCGTCGCAAAAGGACCCGCGCTCGAGGCTGCTCGGCTCCAGCCAGCCCAAAAGCGTGTTCGAGTCCGAGGTTCTCGAGAAGCTCAGCCAGGACATTTCCGAGCGCAAACAGAACAACACAGAAAAGGACCAGGCCTGGGACCGGCCACCGGTCGAGGCCCTCGACACCAGCCGGGACAGCATATGCTTCCAGTCCATCGATGCCGAGGAGGGCACGCTGCACGGCGGCCGCACGACGGTCAAGCTGTTTGGCGTCACGGAGCAGGGCCACTCGGTCATGCTGCACGTCACCGACTTTCGGCACTACCTGTACGTGCCGGCGCCGACGTCGTTTCAGCCCAAGGACTGCAGCGCGTACAAGGCGTTCCTGGAGCAGCAGATCGCCCAGCACCAGCCGGCCATCCACTCGGTGGTGCTGCGCCTGCGCGAGGACATGTTTGGCTTCAACGGCAACGTCCAGAGTCCATTCCTGCAGGTCACCGTCAACGACCCCAAGTTCATCAACAGCGTCCGATCGACCATCGAGTCCGGCAACGCCAACTGGAAGGGCATGTGGGGCAGCGGCGACGGCGGCATCATGACCTACGACAACATCCAGTACGTCCTCCGCTTCATGGTCGACTGCAAGATCCAGGGCATGGCCTGGGTCGAGGTGCCCGCGAACACGTACAAGCTCATCCCTGAGCACGCCAGGCAATCCAACTGCCAGATCGAGGCCGAAATTAACTACCACGATCTCGTCGCACACAAGCCAGAAGGCGACTGGGCCAAGATGGCACCACTGCGAATTTTGTCGTTTGATATCGAGTGCGCTGGCCGCAAAGGTATCTTTCCGGAGCCTGAACACGACCCTGTCATTCAAATCGCCAACGTTGTCACCCGCTACGGTGAGAAAAAACCGTTCATCAGAAACGTCTTCTGTCTCGACACAACAAGTTCCATCGTCGCCACGCAAGTACTCGAATTCGAAAAGGAAGCAAAGATGCTCAGTGAGTGGCAGCAGTTTCTCATCAAGGTCGATCCCGATATCATCATTGGCTACAACATTGCCAACTTCGATTTCCCATACCTCATCAACAGAGCCAGAAACCTAAAGTGTGCTGGCTTCGAGTACTGGACTCGATTACCCAGCATCCCATCCAGAGTCAAGGATACCAGCTTTTCCAGTAAACAGATTGGTAACCGCGATACCAAATCGACAAATACCAACGGCCGTTTGCAACTCGACTTGCTTCAGCTGATCCAACGTGACCACCAGCTACGAAGTTACACACTGAACTCCGTCTGCGCTCAATTCCTTGGCGAACAAAAAGAAGATGTGCACCATACCATGATTACGGAACTGTTCAACGGTACACCCGAGTCCCGTCGACGACTCGCGATTTATTGTTTAAAGGATGCATACCTTCCTCAACGGTTGATGGACAAGCTTTCGTGCCTAGAAAACTATACGGAAATGGCTCGTGTCACAGGTGTCCCGTTCAACTTTTTGCTTTCACGTGGCCAGCAAATCAAGTTCGTCAGTCAGCTGTTCCGTAAAGCTCTGGAGCAGAAGTTGGTCATTCCAAATATGAAGGGCGATCCCTCCGATGACCAGTACGAAGGTGCGACGGTCATCGAACCCACGCGTGGCTACTATGATGTGCCGATTGCAACACTCGATTTTGCTTCACTATACCCCAGTATCATGCAAGCGCACAACCTCTGCTACACAACCCTCATCACGCGAAAGGATAGAATAGCGCAGTTCAACCTGGTCAAGGATGAGGACTACATTGTCACCCCGAATGGCGACATGTTCGTGACGACGAAGCAGCGCAAGGGTCTGCTGGCTCAGATTCTAGAAGAACTTCTCTCCGCCAGAAAGCAGGCGAAGCGCGAGCTGGCCGTCGAGACGGACCCGTTCAAGAAGGCTGTGCTGAACGGTCGTCAGTTGGCTCTGAAGATTTCGGCCAACTCAGTTTACGGTCTTACCGGTGCTACAACCGGAAAGCTGCCATGTTTGGCAATTGCCAGTTCCACAACAAGTTTCGGTCGCCAAATGATTGAAAAGACCAAGGACGAGGTGGAGAAGAACTACTGCATCGCCAATGGATACTCACACGATGCGCAAGTCATCTACGGTGATACCGATTCCGTCATGGTCAAATTCGGCACCAAGGAGCTGGCCGAGGCGATGAAACTGGGTGAGGAAGCGGCTACGTTTGTGTCGTCGAAATTCATCAAGCCGATCAAGCTTGAATTCGAAAAGGTCTACTTCCCATACTTGCTGATCAACAAGAAGCGTTATGCTGGTCTGTACTGGACCAAGACGGAAAAATACGACAAGATGGACACGAAGGGTCTTGAGACGGTACGAAGAGACAACTGCCTGCTAGCGCAAACAGTGATCGAGAAGGTGCTGCGGATGATTCTCATCAATCGTGACGTGCAAGGCGCTCAGGACTACGTCAAGGACACGATTGCGGACCTGCTTCAGAACAAGGTGGACATGTCGAAGCTGGTGATTACCAAGGCTCTGACGAAAGAAGACTACTCGGCCAAGCAAGCGCACGTGGAGCTGGCGGCGCGGATGAAGAAGCGTGATGCGGGCTCGGCGCCTTCACTGGGAGACCGCGTGGCGTATGTCATGATCCGAGGCGCGGCGGGGGCCAAGAACTTTGAGAAGTCGGAGGACCCCATCTACGTGCTCGAGAACAACGTGCCGATCGACACCAAGTACTACCTGGACAACCAGCTGGCGAAGCCGCTGACGCGCATCTTCGAGCCGATCCTGGGCGAGACCAAGGCGCGGTCGCTGCTGACGGGCGACCACACGCGGACAATCTCGGTGGCGGCGCCGACGGTGGGCGGGCTGATGAAGTTCGCCAAGAAGACGCAGACGTGCATGGGGTGCAAGCGGCCGCTGGGCGGCAAGGAGAGCCAGGGCGCGGTGTGCGGCGACTGCGCGCCGCGGGTGGGCGAGCTGTACAAGCGGACGCTGGACCGCATGTCGGACCTCGAGGTGCGGTTCGGGCGGCTGTGGACGCAGTGCCAGCGCTGCCAGGGCAGCATGCACTGCGAGGTCATCTGCAGCAGCAAGGACTGCCCGATCTTTTACATGCGGATGAAGGCGAAGAAGGACCTGGAGGACGCGGGCAAGGAGCTGTCGCGGTTCGACGCCGACCAGGCTGCCATTTGGTAGCTCGGCTGTATTTGGTGTGTGTATTGACTATTGCATCTCGTTTGTTTGCATCTCGAGGAGAGTGTTAAGCAGAGGTCTGGCTCGGTTTCTTGTGTTTTAAGGTCGTCGAGGGCGTCTTGCTGTTTGTTAATGAAGGAGGGAGAAACCACGGGTGGACTGTATTCGCTATTTTGTTCATTTTTTTCCCCATGTTACTAAGGGCTACATGTTCAGCCTAGGTGGGGGCCATGTTTGAGAAATCATCTGTATTGTGGCGTTATTTTCTTTAATTTCAGGGTGAAAAACAGGCAACCGCATCGTTTGGGGGGTGTTCAATATATGTATGGCTTTTTCGATGGTTACGTTACAAATTGCTATTGTAGGATTCGCTCGCTAGTGGACTCGGAGGGGGCTCGCTGTGTGTGGTAGAGTCTCGTGTTGGAGGCTCAATATTTCGGGATTTCCAGGACGGGAGCTGAAACGAATAGGACGAGACGCCAGCGCATCAATTGAGAGCTCGTTGATCCTCATCGTTTTTATTTTGCGCTTGCCGTCTGCTGTGCCGATTATTTCAACATGAGGACTGCTGGTTGTGAAGATGGGCAATGACGTAGGATCTCCGCAGTGAGCGATCTCGGTATGCAGGGGGCGGGCACGGCAAGAGAATGTCCCAACTGAGCTGGAACAAGAGACAAGAGCATCTTCGCATTTGCCGTCATTTTGATTCATCGTGGCTACGAGTGATTTTTAATGCTCGTCTTTCTCTTCTTACCTTTTCTAATTCCGCCGACTATTCAGCCGGCAGCTTGCATTATAAGTGAATGCGATATCGGCGGGGCGAGGCGAACCGGCCCACGCCAACCTTGTCGCCATCGGGGAAAATAGGATGCGGATTGAACACAGCTTCGAAGTCTCGAGAGGGAACTCGGAGTCCGGAGGGGTAAGGTGTGAGAATGGCAGGCAGGCAAGCAAGCAGGCAGGCAGACGTCTCGGCCGAGCCCGACGAGAGAAAGGGAAGGCCGGTAGCGGCGCTTGAGGGCTTTTTAACATTCCAAGGACGAGGCCGTAATAGGTGATGATGGTCGTTAGGGGGGAGCGGAAGCTTATCAGTGACAAGGTGACGGGTGGTGGTGATGGATGGTGTGGGAGGGAGAGATAAGGAAACGGCTATGTATACGGATATGTATGTGTGAGAGTGGCAGCGGCTATGTCACACATCCCGGGGCGTTGCAGCCACCGGGATGGTCCTTGTACGCCAATTGTCATCGAGTAATGTGTCTGTGTAAAGTGCAATAAATGCACTACTGGGGGCTTGGAAGAAGGACGCGTGAGTACCGAGGAGGACGCATCACCATTGGCTGGGACGGTCGTCCCGGCTGGTCGTTGCCAGTTGAAGATGGCATCTCGCGTGTTGCCATGGCCCCCTTGCGGAACCCTCCGCTAGTTACAGCACAAGGTTTATGTTGAAAGCTGGCTGTTTGGACCACCAGCGTGGCGGGGAAAGACAAACATGTCATTCACATTCACATTAGCCCCCCCCCCCCCCCGCTAGCCCCAGCTAAACTCTGTTTGGCTGGGACCGGGGATCCCTTATCTTTCAGAGACCCCCTTTTTTTTTTCTTTTTGGCTTGTGAAGGAGAAAAGTCGCGAGCGGTGATGTGCGGCTGTCCCCAAGTTGTTTGCGACGACCCGGCGCTGCAGCTGCTTTTCTTTCAGGATCGGCTCGGGCGGCGGCGTCCGAGTCGGCGGGCGGACATTGACGGACATGACGCGCATACCTAGCTATACTGCCCCCCTCCTAAGAACTCTCTCTTCGTCTACTCTCTCTGACTATTTTAATTGTCGAGTATACCGAACCCTTGCTCTACACATGGTAATGGGAGGGGTCTTTGTGGCAGCGCCCAGCCAGTGGCCCGGACGGGATTTGGAATGGGGGTCCATGTGCTGCGCAACGATTTGGTAATCCGTACACAACTCCTGGTTCTCGTTGCTCCTTTTTTTTTTTTTTTTTTTTACTGGGCATGTACAAATGCATGTCTCTCGCTGTGTTTTAATGACGCAGTTTCCGAGATGCGTTGTGGAGCCCCCATGGCGCATTCGTAGATTCATTCGCAAGCGTCGAGGGAGGGCCAAGGTTCAGCGTGCCTTGCGACCATCGGAGGTTTTTTCTGGGGAACGCCTCTTTTATTTTAAACTATTTTTTTCCCCTATAATAATAATAAATAATAGGTCGCATGTCGCCTGAGACCGAACTAAAATAGGGGACGACGCCGAAACTGGACTCCCTGGTCTCTCCACAACCACCACTTTCCTTATCAGTTGCCTCAGATTGGATAGATTCTCGACAACTCTAGGTAACGTCCCATGTTTCCCGTGCACTGGGAGACGAGTTCTCTTCGGATGACGACGGGATGCCAGCGCGTTGTCCCCCCCCCCTCAAGGTGGGCAGACTGGTCAAGGCCATGTCCGACGTCGCCCGTCCATCCTATCCCATCGCGGGCCGACATCTATCGAACAACCAATATCCCACCCGTAGTGTAGAATCATCACCATAAAGAGCTGGGGCGTTGGCCATATCCTTATCATATCAATAAGCGTCTTTCCTACATAGCACAGACGACCAAAGCCGATAGCTGAACTCACACACCCCGCCTCCCCATCCCCAGCACACCTATATAAGCTTTGCCCTCATCCTCGGTCCCTTTCATATCTTATCTCTTTATCTATCTTTTGCTTCCCTCCTTCTCTCATAATAAATCACCAACCCGAAATGTTCGAGGCACCTCTTCCCGTCACCCTCCCTCCCACCACCGACTTCAAGCACGCAGATCCTGTCCGCACCCACGACGCCACGCCCGCCCAGATCGCCCAGAACCAGGCACCCGAAAGCAACGGCGTCAAGAAGCCCGCTCACAGCAGCTCCCTGCCCGCCATGTCCAACATTCCCTCCGAGCCCGAGTTTCAGCAGGCCTACAACGGTATGGATGCCCGCTCTCAACCAGGTCTCATACGTTGTGTTGCGCGGGTTGGCTAACAAGCAAAACAGAGTTGGCCAGCACCCTCGAAAACAGCTCCCTCTTCCAGAAGCACCCCGAGTACAAGACCGCCCTCGAGGTTGTCTCCATCCCCGAGCGCGTCATCCAGTTCCGCGTCGTCTGGGAGGACGACAAGGGCCAGGTCCGCGTCAACCGCGGCTACCGCGTCCAGTTCAACTCGGCCCTCGGCCCGTACAAGGGCGGTCTTCGCTTCCACCCGACCGTCAACCTGTCCATCCTCAAGTTTCTCGGCTTTGAGCAAATCTTTAAGAATGCCCTGACCGGCCGTGAGTTGCCCCCCCCCACCCCCAACCCACCACGTACTCCACGACACAATTATACTGACAATAAACAGTCAACATGGGCGGCGGCAAGGGCGGCGCCGACTTCGACCCCAAGGGCAAGAGCGACGGCGAGATCCGCCGCTTCTGCCAGGCCTTCATGCGCGAGCTCTCCAAGCACATCGGCGCCGACACGGACGTGCCCGCGGGCGACATTGGCGTGTCCGGGCGCGAGGTGGGCTTCATGTTCGGCGCGTACCGCCAGGCGCGCAACAAGTGGGAGGGCGTGCTCACCGGCAAGGGGCTCGACTGGGGCGGCAGCCTGATCCGGCCCGAGGCCACCGGCTACGGCCTCGTCTACTACGTCGACTACATGCTGCAGCACGCCGGTCGCGGCAGCTTCGCCGGCAAGCGCGTGGCCATCTCCGGCTCCGGCAACGTCGCGCAGTACGCGGCGCTCAAGTGCATGGAGCTCGGCGCCACCGTCGTCTCCCTGTCCGACTCCAAGGGCGCAATCATCGCCGAGGAAGGCGGCCTCACCGCCGCGCACGTGGAGGAGATTGCGGCGCTCAAGGTGAAGCGCCAAGCCCTCACGTCCTTCTCGGCGCCCGGGTTCAAGTACCTGGAAGGTGCCCGGCCGTGGGTGCACGTGGGCAAGGTGGACGTGGCGCTGCCGTGCGCGACGCAGAACGAGGTCAGCAAGGAGGAGGCCTCGGCGCTGGTGGCCGCCGGCGTGGTGGCCGTCGCGGAGGGCTCCAACATGGGATGCACGCAGGAGGCCATCGACGTGTTCGAGGCGGAGCGGGCGGAGCGCGGATCGGCGGCCATCTGGTACGCGCCGGGCAAGGCGGCCAACTGCGGCGGCGTGGCCGTGTCCGGGCTGGAGATGGCGCAGAACAGCCAGCGGCTGACGTGGTCGGAGGAGGAGGTGGACGGAAAATTGAAGGGCATCATGAAGGCGGCGTTTGACAACGCGCTGCGCACGGCGGAGGAGTACGTGCCGGCCAAGGAGGGCGAGCTGCCGAGCCTGGTGGCCGGGAGCAACATTGCGGGCTTCGTCAAGGTCGCCCAGGCGATGCACGACCAGGGCGACTGGTGGACGCAGTAGAGGGGAGGTTTTCTTTTTTGCTTGGGAAGGCCATGATGGTTTTTGTTTTTCTGCATTTATTTTGGAGTTTTTGTGCGTTGCAAGACGGGCTGCTGCAAAGGGCATGGTTACAAGTTTTGTGTCACGATTCCCACGACGCCAACACAGCATTTGAGATTGAAACTATAGAAAGGGCGTCGGATTTTGGATTCATCTCTTTACTGTGAGATATTTTTTAGAAACTTGAAGAATATTTTTTTAAAAAAAAGTATAGATTATTACATTGTCGTATGCCAGTGACTCCCCCCAAACCCAAGCCAATTATGAACTGGGGAAGAAGACAAAATAGACTGCAAACTAGACGACGAGACTATGCTCGCATGACACCCTTAAACTCGCACTGCTCGGCGTCCTCGTGCGGCTGAAAACCTGCAAGGCTGAACCTGGGCTGTTAGTGCTTTCAACTGCCGACAGCTGGATGAAGCTGAAGATTAGCGTCGACGAAAGGCTGAGTCGACACAAACCCCGGGATTGATGATTGGCTTTATTGTTCTTTTGCCTAAAAATCCTGCTTATTCCCTGTCCGTAGAGCTTTATTCTGATGGCACCATTAGCTATGGTGACTTTCTCATTGACAACCTCAAGTTCCATCGCGACAGCCTACGTACTATGCGCCTCACTGGTATACTTGCAGCGTCATTCTCGCTTGCTGCTTCCACAGCGGTCGACGACCCCGTGAACCATGAAATCGACGAGTCACAGATATTCCGCGGCTCCTCGGCAGAGCCGCCTGGGGATGTGTTCCTCGTGAAGCGCGACCGCACGCATCAACTCGCCGGCATCTCCCTCCCCGAGCCACCAGGACTCGGCCACTCGCTCGCCGCGCGACAGCAGCAGCAGTGTCCGTACCCCGTCATGTGCTCGCCGCGCTCCTGCTGCCCAGCCGGCTACAAGTGTGTACGTCCCCCCCCCCCCCCCCCCCCCCCGACGTCAGCAACTGCTGCCCGGACACGGCCGTGACGTGCGGCGGCAAGTTCTGTGCCGAGCAGGGCTCCGTCTGCTGCGGCCAGAGCATCTGCCCGGCCGGCACCGAGTGCAACACCAACGGCGGGAGCGTGTCGTGCTGCCGGCCGGGCGAGCTCAAGTGCCTGGGAACCTGTAAGCAGCCCTCCCCCTCCCCCTCCCCCATGAGTCGATGACACGCGCGCGATGCAGGCACACTGACAGGAACAACAGGTTGTCCGGCGGGATCGCAGTGCTCGCCGCAGGCTGGTTACTGCCGCCGTCTCGTGCTGACGCGAAGCACCACAACAACGGAGGTGACCACCACGCGCACCCGCGTCATCGAGTCCACGGAAACATCCACCCGGACCACGGTGGTCAGCTCCCGCGTAACCTCGACGACCAAGACCACCGAGACGGCGTCGTCGTGCTCCTCCAACGGGCGCGCCCGGCGCGGCGACGAGCACGAGCCGGCCCTGCAGCGCCGGCAGAACCTGCGCCCCAACTGCGTCTACGAGTGCGTCAACGGGCGGCGCCTGCCCGTTGTCGAGGTGCCCAACGTCCCCGGGCAGACCGACCAGCTGTTCCTCAGCATGTGCTCCGGGATCCTGGGCACCGCCGGCGGCGGCCGCTCCGGCGGCGGGGACGGCCGCAACTTTGACGTGCTCACGTATCGCGGCGCCGACGGGAAGAGGCAGCGCCGCAGCCAAGCGCGCTGCACCGGCTACTGCGCGCAGCAAAAGGCCGTCTTTGGCGACCCGGCGAGCCTCCAGTGCGACGAGTACCCTCCAGGTAAGCCGGCGCGCACAAACTTCCGATGACGAGATGGGGCTAACGATGGAGGATGGAAGCCATGGCCGGGGAGGGCGGCAAGGGCGCGTTCAGGGTGTGCATCCCCAACGCGCAAAACTCGGGCGCCCAGGGAAGACTGTTCCGCCGGTTCGTGAGCGACTGCGCGCCGGCAAAGGGCCAGCCGTTCGTGGTGCGGATGAAGGGCGGCTGCAACGTGCGCAACGACAAGCGCGAGGTCATCCACGCAGCAGCAGCGGCAACAGCAGCGGCGGCAGCGGCAAGCGCGACCACGTTTAACGCCTCGAGCAGCGTGCTGTACGCGTGGGACGATAGCATGAGGTACATGTACGTGCCGCTGCCGGACCTGCGCGCGGGGCAGCACTACCGCGTGGACGTGCGCTTTCGCGGCGCGGTGCGCGGCGTGCGGGTGACGGACAGCGACGGCGAGGACTACTACGTGAGCGGCGGCGGGGATGCGTCGGACGGGCACGTCGTCGAGTTTGAGGTGCCCGGCGCGGACGGCGAGGAGGGAGAGGACGACGCGGTGCCGGCGGGCTTGTTCCTCGACGTGGACGAGGCGGTCGAGGTGAGCTACGCGGGGGAGGCGACGGCCAACGGCACCCAGACGGGCCAGGAGTCACGGGCCGCCGGGTTTCCAGCCATCTCTGCGGGTTCATGGTGGTTGTGGCTGGCCGTGCTGGGCATCGCTGTCGTGTAAGTCGACGATGGCCCGGAATTGCCTGATCCGGAAATATCCAGCCACTGCAACTGATTGGAAGGCCAGGATTGAACAGGAGGCTTAACGATAGTAAATGATTAATAACGCTATAATTCCATGATTATATGAGAAACTAATATTCGCACCAGCCCGCCAGTATTTAGCAAGAGTAATGCATACTTTCGTCCCTTGTGAGTGACCAATTCCGACCGCCGACAAGTTACCCCACATAACCGACGTCCCTCGGCTACACGGCTGCATGTACGTATATAGACGCCGTTTCAAGTCATCATCTCAACCTCACTGGTTTCAATTCAACTGAATAGAATTGCATCTTGTAAATTATACTCCTTGAATCCTCATCTCATTCAATACACACACACAACACACACGCACACAACACACACACACCATGGTCGGCGCACCTCCCCTCACCGGCATCAAGGTGCTCGAGTTTGCCGGCCTCGCTCCCGGTATGCCTTACCCCCCCCTCCCCAACCCTTCACCTCATCTAACCACCCTCCCGCAGGCCCCTTTGCCGGCATGACCCTCGCCGACGCCGGCGCCTCCGTCCTGCGCGTCAACCGCCACGACGACCCCCCGCAGGACATGCTCGCCCGCCGCAAGGCCTCCGTCGCCGTGGACCTCAAAGACCCGCGCGGCATCGCCCTCCTCAAGCAGCTCATCGCCTCCGCCCCCATCGACGTGCTCATCGACCCCTTCCGCCCGGGCGTCCTCGAGCGCCTCGGCCTCGGGCCCCAGGAGCTCCTCCGTCTGCACCCGCGCCTCGTCTACGCGCGCGTCACCGGCTACCGCCGCGACGGCCGCTACGCCGCCATGGCCGGCCACGACATCAACTACCTCGGCGTCTCCGGCGCGCTCTCCCTCCTCGGCCCGCCCGACCGCCCCCCGCAGCCCCCCGTCAACATCCTCGGCGACTTCGCCGGCGGCGGCGCCACCCTCGTCCAGGGCATCCTCCTCGCCCTGCTCGCCCGCGAGCGCTCCTCCTCCGGACAGGTGGTCGAGGCCAACATGGTCGACGGCAGCTCCTACCTGGCCAGCTTCCCGCGGATGGCCCGCGCCACCCCGCTCGGCGACAAGCCGCGCGGCCGCAACGCGCTCGACGCCGTCGGGTGCCCGTGGTACCGGTGCTACGAGACCGCCGACGCGCGGTTCGTGACCGTCGGCGCGCTGGAGCCCAAGTTCTTCGCCGAGCTGCTGCGCGGGCTCGGCCTCGAGGGCCAGGGCTGGGAGGAGGAGCGCGGCGACGAGGCGCGCTGGCCGGAGCTGCGGGCGCTGTTCGCGGAGCGGTTCCGTGCGAGGACGCGGGAGGCGTGGGAGGCGGTGTTTGACGGGACGGACGCGTGCGTGGCGCCGGTGCTGGACTACGACGAGCTGCGGAGCGACCCGCGGAGGGAGGGGGACCAGCGCCCGGCGGTCACGCTGAGGGAGACGCCGTGGTACGCCGTGCACCGGGGTGAGGGTGGCGAGGGCGCCGGCGCCGGCGCCAAGCTGGTGGACGTGGCGGATCGCGGCCAGGGAGGCGGTGTGGAGGGCGAGGGCTACGACCCGACGCTGCTGGACGTCGGCGAGGGCGGTGATGAGATGCTCGGCACGTGGCTCGGATGGAAGCGCGGCACGCACTATGAGGATGCCAGCGGACGAGGTCTCACGCTGATCAGTGACAAGGCCAAGATTTAGAGAGGAATCAACTTGGTGTGGCTCTATCTAGGCGAGGCAAGCCTTGATCAACATGTACATAATGAAATGCACAACTGCTGCTATAGGTGCATCAAGTGCAACGGTAACACGAAAAGACGCTCGACAAGTATAGACATGTTATCTGCGAAAAGCTCATCTGCCATGTAAATAAGCCTTGATCTATGCGAGCATAATCGCAAAAGCACAAAACTGAATAATAAAAGGAAAAAACAAGTCATTTCATATCTACTCTAACCCCCCGGCCCAACAAGTCATGGTATCGAAAAGGGAAATTCAAGTATTACTTTCTTTTGTATTACCTTTATCCGTCTCAGCAGCGGGCAGACCGCTGCGCCGCGGCATCACCTTGCGCCGCCGCTTGGCGGATGAAGACGCGTGCAACGAGTTTGGCATCTTGTCCGGCGCTCATTCCTTTACTGCACCTGGCTGACAATCTCGCTGGCGCGCGACAGCGACTCCACCATTTGCTGGCACTCCTTTCGTCGGCGAATGGTAAAGTCGCTCTCCTTCAGCAGCTCCTCCAGGGCATCGGTGCGGTACATGTTCTCGAGGAGCTCCTTTTGCATCTCATCCTTGGTAAATCTGGAAATGTCAGTAAGTGGAGTCTAGGAACTTGATTCAAAATGCTTACTGCACAAGGGTAAGCATAATGGCCTTGGGCACCATGTCAATCATGGTGCGCTTGACAATGTTATAGTATGAAGAGATGAGCAGTTCTATAAGAGTTAGCCAGTGTTTAGCAGATAATCATGGCATGTACATACTGATGACCTCGACTTCAATGTTTTCGCGCTCAGACAATGTGCCAGAGGCCTTGAGGGTGGGAGGAGGGGCCTCCATAGCAGCAGCCTTCTTTTTGTTCTTGGCCGCAAAGAAGCTGCCGAAGAAGCCACCGTTGGTGTCGGTATCGGGGATAGGCGGGCTGGTTGTGCGGGCGGGAGTGGCGGCAGCAGGTAGAGGCTTGCCGGTCTTGGGGTCAACCTGAACCGGCTTGCTAGGGTTATGACGCTCGTTGACGACAGCCATAGCCTAGGCAGGTTAGTATAGTGTGACAATTGTCGAGAGTGCCAGTGTGACTTACACGGTGGCCGTTCAGGAAGTCGGGGTGGCCAGTGTTGATGTAGCACGCCTCCATGTTGACAAGGTCACGAACGAGCTTGTTGGTGGGCTCCATGGCCTTCTTGAAAAAGGCAATGACGACACTGTGCATCTTTTCCTTGAGAGAAGGATAGCGGCGATACAGCGTCTTTCCTAGCAGCTGCGAGAGAATACGAACCAGCTCATCGTAGACGAGGGAGATGCACTTCAAGCTGGGATCCTCCAGGCGCTTGATCTGCTGCTTCACAATGAGCTCGAAAGCAGTCGTGCCGACAAACAGGGCCGGAGAAGAGCCAGACGAGTTGTAAAGAATAGTGCGGATATCGACATCCTTGACAACGTCAAAGGGATCAATGGCCTTGACGCCGTTGGAGTAGAGCTCGTGGAAGACAAAGCTGATACGGGCACCACCCGACAGCTCGGTGCTAGATAGCTCGTTATTGTTACCATCGAGAACGGTGCGCCACTCGTTGGTGAATTCGGTAATAATGTTGAGGATAATATTGGCGCTGTTGCCCAGCATGGAAGGGCCCAGGCTGTCGAGCTCGGCCGTGTATTTTTGTAGAGAGCTGGCAATTCTAGCCTTGATGTCAGGCAGAGTCTGTTTGATGTGCATCATGAGAATGAGGTTGAGTTTGCGGGCGAGGTAGGGAGTACCGCAGTAGGAGCTCTTGTTGCGGTACGCCTTGTGGTTTTCGAAAAAGTTCTTTTCGGCCTCGAGAGCGGCGTTGATGGCCTTTTTGTTGTCGATATCGCGCTGGCCACGGTTGACAACGGGGACGTAGCCAAGACGCAAGGGAATGACTCGGTTGGAAAGGATGTCAATGACATCGGTACCCTCGTCCATGAGATCGACCTTTGTGAGGACACCGATGGTACGCTGACCTTCGGGGTCGACTTCGCGGGCGAGCTTGAGACCGTCCGAGTTGGCCAAGTCGATGTTGGCAGAGGTTACAGCGAGAATGATGGCGTTGGATTTGCCAATGTACTTGAGGACCATTTCGCGAATCTGTCTCTCGATATCCCTGGGCTGGTCACCGACGGGGACCTTGGTGAGACCGGGCAAATCGACGAGGGTCAGGGTCAGGACGTTGGGCGAGTAGATACGGAGGTTGATGGGAGCGGCAGAGATGCCGGCATTCTTGCCGACCTTGGCCTCGGTTTCACTGGCAATCTCATCGCGGATCTTGGAGAAGTCGTAGAACTTTTGGCCGGGAACGTGAAGGAACTCGCCCCATTCATCGGGGTTGGCAGCCTTGTCGTTGCCGCCGTCGAAGTCACCTTCCTTGACGCCGTTGGACTGAGCGGGTCGGTTGATAAGCTGGAGAACGAGAGGTCGACGGGTAACAATGCCGGAACCACGAGGGAGGCTGTAGCTACTTGTCAGTAACACTGCAAATTGACGACGTAGCAAGGACCGAAGAGCCAGACTTACAAGTCACGACCGACAATGTTTTCCAATACGGAAGACTTTCCGCTGGACTGACTACCGACGACGGCAATCTGAGGAAGATCAATGGGGTTGTTGACGCCGACAGTGGCAAAGACGTCCTGTAGCTTGTTGACGAGACTGAAACGGGCGTCCTCATGTTAGCGATATGTCGACCAGGGGGTGCAGGGAGGAAGGAAGGCAGCGCAAAGCGAAGACGCACGTAATGAGGGCGGGGTCGGAAATACCGCCCGGCGTAGAGAGGTTGCCGCTCATGATGGGCGAAGTTTTGGAGGAGCGTGCGTATCGGCGGACCAGCTGTCGTCTGGGAAGCGGATTCGTGGGCGCGAGTTGTTGCAGCTGGCGATGGGACCCGGAGCGGTGTCGTTTTGTTTAGAAGGGGGAGGTGGGGTGTAGGCTGCCGCCGTTCGGGATTGTAGGCCGGCAGACGTTGCAGATAACGGCTCGACGGAGGAGGCGAGGGCGCGGATGCGGCGAATACGGTGGTATTTGGAGCCGGTGAACGAGGTGGTGAGCAGGAGACGAGCTGGCAGCAGAAGAAGATGGTGAAAGGGAGGGCCAGCGGCAAGAAATGGGTGACGCTGCGCAACACGACAGCAAGTTGCCCCGTCCCACCAAAACGTGCCCAACCAGGCCTTAGCGGTTGTTGTGTGGCTGACGACTGCTGCCGAGGGCTAAAACGGGACCTAAAACTGCGGCGGCGGCAGGTGTTTCTAGCAGTAGTCCAGCACTGAGCGTTGCGAGTGACTCAGCCACTGTGGCTGAACTCAGGCAACAATGAAAGATAGCGCATGGCATTGGGCAGGAAGGGGAGGTAACAGGTACATCGGCTGCCTATGCCGCCTCGGCATTATTAGGCCGGCCACTTCCACAAACTTGGGTTCCGGGTACCTGCTAGTGTCGCGTGGCAAAGTCAACTGGTCATGAACAAATTCTATCTAACAGGAGAAGAGGAACTTGATCATTTATAAACGTCAAAGTCGAAACAATGATGTGTACTCGTTTGGAGCTCCCAGTTTCTTTTGACACTACTCTACTACCCGTCGTGGGCAACGTCATCTGATGCTGCGGCACTTCACTCTTATTAGCTCCAGGCATAGTTCAGCATGTTGCTACATCCCAGCCACCCAGTAGGCATCCAAATAATACTGCCGTTTCTTTTTTATTTAGGCAACCGTGGTTCTCCAACAGTGAGTATTTATTAAGCAAGGAAAGCACTGAGTGATCAACAGCTGCTCTCGGAATAGCTAGCTGGCATGTATGTTTCTATCGTGCACAGCCTAGGCCGTCTAGTAGATTGGAAAATTAGATGTGAAATTGAGCATGTAAAGCATTTCCATAGTCGAGGTAATTCCGACATGATTCTCACGGGGACAGCATCAATGTCGCTGAAAGTGAGACTGAAATCGTCAAAACCAAGACATAGCTGCCCGAGCCTCCGTTCCCTTCCAAGACACACAATCTTAGACTGTCAAGGAAGTTACGTGGCATGCCACAAGGACGAGGATTGCAGGGACAAGGTTTTCGGCTCGGACCTGGACTGCGCCAGACCGAATAATGTCATCCCTCAGAAGACCGGATTATGCCCTTTGTGCGGATGCGGAGGGTGCTAATGAAGCTGTGGTCCGCGGTTGCTTGGAGAGGGTAGTCAACGGCGTGTACTATGTAGGTAGGCAGGAGAATTAGCAGCCAGGCAGTCCATTATCGGGTGCATTTAGATCTTGAGATGCTCCTGAAATATTATCTCTGGAAGTGGTCTAAGTAGCAAAGCAGTCGAAGGATTCATCTGATATCGATGCGGGTTTTTATCATTGTTAGAGTAGGATGTAGACAGGGCATGTTTATGTGCTGTGCATTCGGAGGTACGTCATTGCGAGATAAGGCAGGCGCGGTTGGATGCCAGAATGCACTGTGGCTGACAGGTTCAGGTAAAGGAGTCGGGAAGCGGTGGCTTGTGAGGATATTACCCAACCCGGTTTGCCTGTTCTCTATCGTCATCTGATGTTCAAGCACGTTATTCACCACCAAGCAAAGTAAGCAAGGGAGAAGAGGAACCTCTCTGGGCGCAGACGGTGAGAGACACTGAGTCACCTGATGGCCAGTGTTGCCACCAATTGGGTGCCCTGAGCCGCTGAAGGCTTCTATACAAGAGAGCTGCATTGTACAAGGTATTTAGCGAATGCCTCAAGCTTTGGATATACCGCGGTTACTGCTGGGAAGATGCCTTTTTTGGTAAAAATATACACGCTTTTTCGGATGGTTAGAGGTGTCGGTCAGTATATAGCCCGTGTGCTTTGCGTTCAGAAACATCACTTCTTTTGACCGTGTTGCTAGTGTCAGTTTGCTGCGTAGCACCCTCCATGCCCAACTGGGTTAGGCGTTAGGCCCTGTCAGAGAGCGCTATAATTTTCGCCAACAGGGCACTTCCCAGCACAGCTGTAGCAGTAAGCTCCCTGAAATGCACCGCCACAGTGCTAAAAGCTACCCAAAGTTGACAAGTGCAGCCTCCACACCTGCTCTGGCAAGGTTTCGGCATTCTGTACCAAGTGGCTCGTGAGTGTGGTGAGGTGATGTGGTTATGGAAGGCCTGATTACATTTTCTACCTTACCCATAGTAACGACCTAATAAGCAGCAGCCTTGGTGTCGACCTCGACTCTTGATACTACAAGCTTTTGAACCCCCAACATCATACTGACCCAAATCCAAGGCGCCGTGCTTTCTCCTTCGCCACAAGCCATTCACCACCCGTGCGTGGGCTTTTGTAGCACGCCGGTCTGAGCTACTGTCAGCTGTCTCTCGTTCAACCTCGAGTCCACCAGTTCGGCTTGCCTTGCCTTGCCGCTTCTACTGTACGCCGCACATCGCAGGCCTCACGCCGTCAAACGACCACCCACCATCTCGCATGTGCCTATCCGCTCGCTTTCCACCCTTGGGTACGATTAGGTCATCGCAACCGCGCGCCCGTCGACACCCACCCTCCCCCAATCCTTTGCTCCCACAAGACGTCCTCGAGCCATAGGCCCCCCGTCGGCCGGCTCCTGAAGAAATTCCGCCTCTTCAACCTGCGGCCACCCGCCGCGGCGAGGTCGATCTGGATCGACTCTCATCCGATTCGAGTAACCGCCCCGCCGACGCCGACGACGACGCCTCGACGAACGTCACGACCACGACACCGACACCGACACTCACGTCGGCAACAGCTACGCAACAAACACCCGCTTCTGCATCAGCTACTTCTCCGGCCGCTGGCCCGCGCTCCCATCCGCGACCTGTTGCATCAGACGGCCCCGGCGCCAATACAAATATAGAGTCTTACTTGGCCCGTTCCCGTCTGCCGCCGCCACCGCCGCCTCCACCGATACTGCCCTTCCAGATACTCGGACGACGCCAACGCTCCGCCAGCCCCAGCCCCGACGCCCACGGCGCGCCACTCGCCTCGGCTGCTGCGTCCTCGGGTGCAGACTTCCAAGAACCACAGCCCAAACGAAGAAGGCGCACCCCAGCAGACATGGTTGCTGCTGACAACAACGGCACGGCCTCCAATGGAGCTGTGCCCCAGCCTACTGCCAATGGGACATCATCGCGGGCGGCAAACGGAAACACGGCGAATGGTGATGCCAAACCTTCGATAGCCATGAATGGCTCATCAGCAAAGGGGAAGCGGGTGGGGGCCGGCCCTGACCCCGAAACCTACCTCGGCCACAACAGAGAAGAGGTCACCCGTATCCTCATTCAGGCTTTGACCGACATGGGCTACCAAACAGCCGCCGAGAGCGTCAGCCACGATAGCGGCTTCAACCTGGAGAACCCGACCGTAGCTGCCTTTCGATCATCTGTTCTGCAGGGCGCTTGGGACGAGACGGAAGACTTGCTCAACGGTGCTACCACGCTAGACGAACAGGGAGAGCTAGGGAACGGCCTTGTCCTCGCAGCTGGGTCGGATCGAAGCACCATGCGGTTCTGGGTTCGTCAACAAAAGTATCTCGAGCTGCTGGAGCTGCGAGACACCTCCCGTGCCCTAATGGCTCTACGAAACGACCTGACGCCGCTCTCTCAAGATACAGAAAAGCTTCGCTTATTATCAAGTCTGCTCATGTGTCGCTCAACAGATGACCTCATGTCCAAAGCAAACTGGGACGGTGCGCAGGGCCGGTCACGCCATAGATTGTTATCAGAACTATCCAGTGCGTATACCTTGCCGAGCCCGTTCGGTACATCGCCAGTACTAACACGACACAGAATGTATATCACCCTCCGTCATGCTCCCCGAAAACCGTCTTGCCGTTTTATTAGATCATGTGAAGAAGAGCCAGATAGATACCTGCCTTTACCACACCGCCGCTTCCTCTCCATCCTTATACTCTGACCACTCCTGCGAGCGCCGGAACTTTCCCACCGAAGTCGCCCTCGAACTCACCAACCTCGAGGGCGAGGCCTGGCAAGTTCAGTTCTCACACGACGGCTCCAGACTCGCTGCTTGCGGCAGTAGCACTGTCGTCACTATTTGGGAGACAACTCGTTTCTCAGTTATCTGCTCTCTTCGTGATCACGACAGCGGGGTCGGCAACATCTCATGGAGTCCCGATGACACAATGCTCGTGACTTGCTCACAAGACCGTTTTGCTCGTCTTTGGGATGCTAGAGTAGGTGCCACATTTCTCTCACCTTACTCACGATGGCTAACAGAATTCCAGTCCGGTGCATTAATAAAGGCACTACCTAGCTTCGACCAACCCGTCAGCGGATGCCTATGGGCTGCCGACAGCAGGTCTTTCGTACTGGGTGGGCTCTCGCGCTCACATGGGCTGTGTACGTTTTTGGTGCATGGCGACGAGATTCAGGAGTGGGATAGGGAGCATCGAGTGCAGGACCTGGCTCTCTCGCCCGATGGCCGCTGGCTCGTAGCTCTGGACGACCAAAACACGTTCCACGTCTACAATGCTAAGACACGCGAGTTTATCTACAGCCACGAGCTCAAGGCGCGGCCAACATCCGTCAGCATCAGTGAGGACTCAAAGCACATGCTCCTCAACAAGCATGACGGCGAGGCACAACTCATCGAGATTGAGACAAGGGTGCACAAGCAAAAGTTCCTAGGCCACACGGGCGGTCAGTTCCTCATACGCAGCTCGTTTGGAGGTGCCAACGAGGGATTTGTTGTCAGTGGCAGTGAGGATGGCAACATACTCATCTGGCACAAGAACACGGGCGCGGCCGTCGAGCGCCTCCCGGGCCACAAGCCGCGCTGCAACGCCGTGGCCTGGAACCCGGCAGACCCGTGCATGCTGGCCTCTGCCGGTGACGATAGCAAAGTCAAAATGTGAGTTGGCAATGGCGTTTCTTTTTCTTTTTCTTGCGTTTCTATCAGCATGAGATGATGCTAATCTATCGGTTCTACAGCTGGAGCAACAAAACCCGAGCCGCGGAGCTCCGAGCCTTGCACGGTAACGTCTCCTAGGTCGGACGAATGCGATGGATCATCCTCCAAATACCAACCGAATGAATTGATTGAGCACCCTGTTGTCTATTGTCGTTGTTTCTTTTCTCACGGGGTTATTTCTTGGATTATGTACTTGTTCTCGCCACTCATTCATGGGGAAACAGCGAAGGGGTGGGCAGAGTCAGAGAGGAGACAGGGAGGGCTCAGTGCTTGCTTTTTTGTGCGTATTTGATGTTGTACTCGGAAACAAGAGAGGCGGGTAACATTTTGTTGACGTTGCTGTCAGGTTTTGGCTTGTGCGGCAAAGGAGACGAAGCAATATACGCATCATATGGTTGAGGAGGGAGAGAGTCAAGCGCAAGTGCGGAGTTTAAACCATCTTTGTGTGTATAAACCACTTGTCTGCCCTTTTTGCTTTCTCCTGCTTCCGCTTCTTGACGATGTTGCTTCCCCCGTTCCTTACTATTGCTGCTCCCCTTTTGCCGCTTCTGCTCTTCTGACTCATACAACGAGGTATTCTTGCGTCCTCGTTTGTTTATTGGGAATAACGTGCCAGCCTTCTAGTCACCCAGGTAGTAAGTAGTAGGTAGTCAGTAGTAGCAGCAGTAGTCTCTCCTTTTAGAGAACAACACCCCCAGCTCAACCTTTTAGGATAGATGATTAATGCATTGCTTCGTGCTATACGTCTCATGAGCATGTGTTGATAAACATCACGAGCGAATGTATCCACATTGTACAGGAGAATCAGATTGGGCTACAATCAATATGTAATGCTCAGCTAACTTTCGTCCAAAGTCATTCGTCAGAGACAGGAGAGGGGAGTTCTCTGGTTTCTTCTGCTCTTCCTCCCCCTATCTTTCCCTCCTTCTTTCCGGGGGCCGATTGGCTGACTCGTGTACACAACTCCAATGTACATAAGAGGTCTTACCCAAAAGGTACACCAGACGGGCAGAGAGCTCCCCCCCCCCCCCCAAAACAGATCCACGGCTCCTGGCCCCCGGCGCGGATACCCCTTCTCTTTTCGGCCTCGGTGTGCGTGCCGGATGGTCAAGCCGCCCGCCCCTCGACGGGCGCGACCCCAGCCCTACCTATCTATTCCATGGAACACGGAAGAATTCTGAGGGGAAGGAAAACCGCCAAACGCAACGGTGCGAGACAGACTTCACCGAGCGGACGACTTGCCCTCGTTGGGCCAAGTGTACATCCATGATGCTGACTGGCGCATGCGACACCTTGCCAGTTCTGTCGTTTTCTGCGATGTCTTCGTGCGAATCCCTGCACAAGTATTTCGCAAATACGCGACCACCTACAGCATAACTTGCTACGGATACTTTTTCGTAGTAAGGGATTGGAAGAAGGGAGTTACGGCCATAGTTTGTTCCATGCCCCTGTCTTCTGAAAGCCCGTTTTACTTCCCGGCCGACCGGTTTGACAAGGATCATTCTGCGATTTAGGGGTTCAGCGTAGACTTTAAAAAAAAAGCACCGATAATATCCCCGCGATCCGAAAAGAACAGGGGTAGACTGGGAAAAAAAGAAGCGTCGACAAGGTGACTGGTGACACAGGAGTTGCGGTGTAACATGCTGCATCGAGACATGTGGCCGAGACATTCGGTCAAGGCTTCAATGTGAGGCGAATAAGGAACGTCTCGGCATTCGAGTCCAGGTGGTGTAATGTTCTTCGTTTGCCGATAACCGCGTCAAAGCTCGGCCCCGGCGTCCCCTGGTCTGGTAAGTTGGCGTTCGCTGTGTCTGGATGCTTTTTTGGCTTGTATTTCACCGACAGCCGGGCCGGCTTGTCTTGGCACGTATTGGGCCATGGCAAACGAGCAAGGTGTACAGGATCGATCTGCTACATGAGAACGTTGATACGATTCTGGTTGTTGAGTCGTTGGCGGCGCCTCGTGGCCCATATCGCGACTGCATATAGCCTGGCACCGGCAGCTTGCCTTTACCACTTCTTGATGAAGCGGGCATTGCTGATGAGCAGGCATGCGCCAGTATCGTCTCTCCAGAATCCATGAGCAACATGTTAGGTAAGAGAATGAATATGGAAACATTCTTCTTTCAGCTGGCCCAATAGCAAGCATCATGTGAATCGCACACCGTATTACGTAGCAAGCCCTCATAATCGCAGCCTCACCCATGTTCGCTCAAAGTCAGTGCGTAGCTCGTATTTTGATGAGAGATCGGATGTATGGCAAATTCGGGTTTGCACAATTGGATCTTGGTTTGACCTTCCAGGACGCTCAAGCGTCGTCAGTTGTCACTCGGCTGGCCAGGTAATCTCGCGCCATGCTTAATTGAGCGGCGGTGCCTGCATAATCCGTACTTGGCGGTAGCGGCCTCGCCAAGACAGACAGCAAGAAAGTACATTCGAGGTTTCTAGTGATCAGTGTGAGGGAGCCTGATTCAGCCATCGTCCCATGAAACTTGTTATGCATTGTGACAAGTGAGAACAGGGGTGTTGCGTCCGGATTGGCCGGGCTGACCCCTTCGGTTGTGCAGGCGCTCGCTAGTCTGGTTTCTAGAACACCAGCACAGGAGGCGGCTGCTTCGATAGCGAAGGTATCGAGACAAACCGGCGTGCTTTGGAGGCTTTCCGGAGACAATACTAGTGGTTAAATAGTATGCTCGACGACGGCGTACACCTTTGAAGCATGTGGGTGTTGATTACACCCGTGACGCAGGTAGTATGTAGAGGAAGGAGGACTGTCATGAACGAGCACGAGCGGCCTTCGCCCCGTGCTGGCGGGATGCAATACCAGGTGAGGTAAGGAACCGACGACCGACGGCAGAGACTGATTGGTGTTGATTGCTTTGAAAGGTTTCGGTTAGCCCTGACGGACCGACAGTTGAGCTGGGCAGATAGGTTGGTGCTGTGACTCTAGAAAGTCAGCAAAACATGGTGGGCGCGAGCGAATTCCTAATGTAACCTGGGCCTGATCGTCGTCGTATGGGCAGTGCAGCTGGGGATGGATGTGTTAGGCCAAGGAGATGGGCTGGGCGATTTTATTAGTGGATTTTATTAGTGGACGCCACCTCAGCAAGTCCATGACTGGATGTGCAAGCACGGTCGTGTTTTCTTTTTTATCACCTTCTAGCATGACTTTGAGTGCTTATTGATTTGCAGAGGGACCCTATCCGGCGTTAGGGTAGCACAAAATACCTGGTGTTCTGTCGGGAGTCATAAGCCGCCAGGGCGGCAGTTCAGTAAGAGGACTTGCGGGACAAGGGGACGCGGACGGTTCAGTGGTACCAAGATGTGATGGCCAAATTGTCCGTTGGTTGCGAGGATCGTATTTACCGACTCGGAGCTTTTCTTCCAAATACAAAACGCAATGTTGAAACGGATGAGGCATCATCTCAAGAGAGTTATGGATCCAAGAGTGGCAAGGGTGTAGAAGGCGTGGGATTAGGGCGGGTTTCCTCTGGGGATACTGGTAATTGGACTGGAGGAGCCAGACGAGAGGAGAGAGTTGGATCAACAACGGGCGTCGTTGTGGCGTCTGATATGCGGCAGCCGCTGGCAATCTGACTGACTGGTGGTTGTTTGATTTCTGGGTCGGAGGGTGCCTGAGGGTGGCCGCCAGAGGTGGTCTATTACCCCGCCGTGGTGTTTAATAATCGACAAGAAACCCAGGAGCCTGAATCTAGGCAAGTGATAGGTCAGACATGAGGAGGGGGATTGAGTTGCGCCTGGTTGGATGGTTTTGGAGACAAGGACATGGCGGTGCGGGAGGGCAATGGGTTTCCACCAGGTCCGAGATCTCCACATGGCAGTTGCTGAGAAGGGGGCGGCGACAAAGGTTGTATTCGGGCTCGGCGGGCCGTACTGATAGTCCGTCCGAAGAGAGGAAACGCAGAGGGGTTTCTGCAGATGAGTTGTCTTGTTCTCAGCTCGGCGCTTGTCGTGGGCCGTGGTATGTGGCAGGGCCGCATGGGTGGTATGCTTGGTTCCTGGGGCCTGGAGCCCGGGGACGGCGCCCCTGGTGGTGCCTGGCTTTCCCCTGTCGTTGGATGGTTGTTGTTACAGCTCCATAAGCTAGGCTTCTGTTGGCATTTGAACCATCGAGAAGGCGGCGGCGGGCCTGAGGTCAATGCGAAGGCTGAAACGGTGCTGCTGGGGCAAGATGGGCATTGCGAAAGGTCAATTTAGTGTGGGAGGAAGGGTGCCATTGGAGAGGACAAGGACGACGTAATGGAGTCTGATGGTTGGTCGAGTGATGTCGATGGGTCAATGTCTGTGTACTGTGGTCGCAAAAAGAAGCAATGGCCGAGGTTTCCAAGTGAAAAGAAGAAGCGGGTTGGGCAGTTTTGGGAGCTAGAAGCCAGTTTGGTGGGCACTCGCCGCTGGGTGACGGGCACTGTGGACCATTGGACTGGGCAGCAATACATGCCGTGTCTTGGGCAAGTTAGAGGGGAGCCACAATCCAGTTGCTTCGCACAAGTACACAAAAAGAAGGTAGAACGATGAAGCAATAATTGATTAATTGCAGAGCCGGGCGAGTTGCCGACAGGAACGACGGTGGAAGGGACATCACGGGAGTAAGTGGTGCTGTCAATAACTGGACACCTGGGACATTGATGGTATGGAACTTTGCACGAGCAGGTACATACATAGGTTTGGTCGTGATGACCTCTGCAGCCATATCATGCCACTACCTCTGCCACTACAGCCGCAGTTACTCGTAGATCGGCTCGGCCTAGATGTGAATGTACTGGTATACATGACTACCAGGTATCCGTATGTATGTTAAGTAGGTAATAAGATTGATAGGCAATTCAGTGGCGGGCGCAGCAGAACTTCTTATCTCAAACGGCAATATTGATTGTGGCATATACTTGGCCGGGGCCGGATTTAACTACAAGAGCCTGATGATTGAATGTTGCCAAGTATCTGAATTACTAGTAGAGAGCCAAATATCCTCCTGGGACCAGAAACGACTCGCAAACTTTATTCAGTCCAGGTAGGTTGCCTCCCCCTCGTTGCCTGTCCCAGAGGCCAGAGCGAGGTTCTTTGATGGAAGGGAACTTTTATCGGTACGGCCCATGTGCACCCACAGCGGCTCCACGTCCCGACAACGTGATGGTTTTGGCTGTTCTTCTGAGCTTCTACTGGTGTACCTTGGGTCTGCTTTTCTGGTCTATTTTCTGGTCTATTTTCTGGCCTATTTTCTGGCCTATTTTCTGGCCTCGTTCCGCCTTGTTTCTAGCGAAAATGTTCATTTCTTTGTTCTCAGGCACGAACCAGGCAAGGCAAGGGAGCTTGCAGCCAATGTGCGTGGCCAACACGCTCAGTGGATAATACCTACCCATTGTTACCAGAAACTCTTGTCAATCTTCCATCTGCCGTCATCACGAACATCCACCAACACCCCGCACCAGGCGGGAGATGAGCTGTCTGGGCGTCTGGTCCAGGTCCAAGTCCAAGTCATCAAGTCACTCTCAGCCTGTAACTCAGGTACAAAGACACCAAGACGCTGGCTCCGTGATGCTGCAGGCCCTTGTTTTGTGCCGCTAAACCCGGCCTCGTCCAACTAATAAATCTTGGTAGCCAGGTACATGCACGATACCTTGGTACCTTCCTCCTACGCCAATGCCCAGACAGAAGGCAATCGAGTACCTGTAACTTAGCGCCTTCTCACCTCGATACCAAGCCCTGGTTTCCTCCATCCGTCCTACAGGCACCTAGCGAGGTACACGGTACCTTCTCCTGCATCTCTGTCAAGCGCCCTCGCCTCTTTCAACCATTCCATCTCCTCAAAGCAACTTCTTCTCAGTTGCATCCCTTTCTCCTGCCTCGATTCTGCTGCACGCACCACCACCGCATTTTTTGTCATTTTCGTTTTAGCTCTCGCAAGCTTTGAATCCGTTTTCGCATCTGCATCTTTGCCTCGACAGTTCATTTTCCTCTAGCCGATCACTCTCAAACCGGTCTCCTCCAATTCCTACACTCGTGCTCGCCGTACTTGCTTCACCACCTCTGCAAACGCTACGTTGCACCCGTACAATTCCTGATTGCCAGCCGCCTCCCATTGTCCGACAAGTACCAAGACTGCCTATTTTTCGCTCGACTCGACTCGACCCGACTTGACACCGGCTTTTCGAACCCAGCTGTGGCCTCTGCGTCGCCCGACTCCCCGCCTTCTCCAGCATGATCTCTTAGCATTCGCTCCCCACGCCGCGCCAACCACTTCCCTGCGGCCTGGCTCGGCCCTATGCCAGACAACACGATGGACACTTTTCGCGGCTTCCTGCTCGTCCCTCCCGACCGCAGCCAGATTCTTGGCAGAGCTAGCTGGAAGGTAGCTTTTCACTCCCCGCTCGCCGCTCGCCGCTCGCCCAAACACTGCTTATTGACTGACATCTTCCTCTTCTTAGGTACGATACGTACTCGTTAGTCGAAAAACAACAGTCCTCCGCAGTAATGGTCCCAGCGGACATAATGGCAATCCTGCTCTGCCCAAAATTTTGCCCAACTCCGTTAGCGACGAATATTTTCTCTCTGTATACAAACACAAGGTACGCTGCCTCGCCTCCGCCTCTCACTTGACTCCTTGTTTGACCTTCTCCCAGGACGACACCGAGCCCATTCAACAATGGAGCGCATCCTTGATCACCGACTGCCAAGTTCAAAATGTCTCGCACCGAAAACAGACCGTCGCTCAGCCGACTCTCGTCATCACTCTCTCCGACAAGGAGCGCAAGCGTCGCTCGAGCCGAGCAGCTGGCCTGGTATCTTCGAGTAAAGACTCAGGTGCAACTGCTCTTTGGTTCCGCGCCGCTACGGAAGATAAACAGCATACCCTTGAGGACTGGGCTCGATTTGTCCTGTCCAAAAAGTCTGTGTCCAACTCGGAAAGCCCCGTATCTCCTGTCTTCAGCAGCCCTTTCGCCACGCGCAGCCGAGACGTGCCCGACTACTTTCCAAGACCTGGGAGCAGTGGCAACCGCTTGCAGCACAAGAGCTCTACAGCAACATATTCAACATGTCCTAGAGAACGTCCGGTGACCTTTAGTTCCCAGTCACCTAGTTTACGCTCAAAACGCAGCGATCTCTCCTCTCCATCCACCAAAAACTACCCAATTCCCGGCCAATTGTATACAACTGTACTGCCGACAGATATTGGTCCTTCCGGGGAATTGAATGGCGAGTCTAGAGACGGGTGGGCGTCTAGCTCGGCCCACGGCCGCTCGCCTATCAACTCACCGGCTCACATGCGTGATAGCATGAGCAGCCATGGTTTTTACGGTGAGATGCCAGATGTGAACGCGCCTCCAGCCCCGGGCGAGACTATTCTCGATCGTGCGTTCAAGCTGGGCCATGTCCCTTTCGCGATCCCGGATATCCCCGGACAAGAAAAGCTGAGCTCAATTGCCAGATTTGATGCATTGATGCGGGACGCTGAGCAACGACGACTACAGAAAGAGGCTGCCGATAGGAGGAACCGTCTGCCCCTTGAGAGCAGATTTGATGACGATGACTCTTCAGAGACACAATCCGATCGCTCTCGGGGGGGAGATGCCAGAGAAGACACACAGGGGCGATCCGGTCAAGCAAATTTGATATCGCCATCAGCGCAAAGGGCCTTGGATTTCATAGCTGGCAGAAACGGTCGGGGTCAAGGTCAATCTAGCCACAGACCCTCGGCTTCTCGAAACCACCTCAGCTTCCATGCCGATACAGCCCCGGCTGCAATTGTCACTGCTCCGCCGGCGCGCCCTCACACCGCTCATGCCAAGAGCCGACCTGGTACGCAGCGTACCCAAAGCACACCTCATCTCATTCCTGCAGCAGCCAACTATGATGTTCCCAGTGTACCTGGCAAAATTCAGGAGGAGCCCCGCAAGTCGGCCGCCGAGAAACGTACGTCTGGCTCCAGCTCCAAGAGACTCAGTCTTAATGACATTACCAAACGACTCTCAAGCACGAGTAGCCTCTTGCTCGTGCAGACAAACGCTAGTGGCGCCAGTAGCCGGCGAAGCAGCGAAGTCGACATGAACTCCTCCACCCCACGAACCAATCTCTCGATTCGTGGGAGCAGCCAGGCTGCTAGGGATCGAGAAGATCAAAAATGCGGGTGGCGAGGCAGCGTCAACGTCGTCTCGTCCGAGGGTGGTTTCCTATAGACCAGACAGCCATTGATCTCGAGTCAAAGTCGCCTCCCCGAGTCTCATTCGCCAACCGTCTCTTTTACACTTGCTTGGCTACGAAAAGCTTCACGAACGGCAGAAATGACGTCCAATTTTCCCTCGACGGCGCTGCTCTCCACCAGCAATTCGTTGCGCTACCTGATTTTCACTTTGCCGATATTCTTTTTTCTCCCGCCATGCCCTCCATTTTGCTATTCTTGCTCTCTAATTATGACATTGACGACGCCAAGAACAAGTCCCTTTTTCCCTTTCTGCACCATTGCAACGAACAGATTTATACTTTAAGACTCGCGTTGCCACGTTTTTGTTCTTCCATCCCGGACAGCCTTTGCGCTTTCTTGATTCGGATCTTTCCATCGCAAGCCAACTATTTTCTCGATCCCGGCTCTCGCGATGTCATTCTATTATTATAGATGAACTTCTTCTTTCTATTATTATTTTGTTATGTATATTTTTATAAAATATCGGAAAGCTGTCTATTGTTATTCTCTTCTCAAAATATACCTCGGATAGTATACCAAATGCATCGTGTATAGCTGGAATTTCAGGAGACTTCATTGTTCAACGTGCCTTTTTGTGAACGAGAATAACCTCCCTCACAGTGTATGATTAATATGTAAACACTTATCTAGATTACGTGTCTAAAGTTGGCCTGACTTCATGTTTCTCCATCTTTGTTTACTTGCTTTTCCTTTGTTTTTTTCTTATTTTGTCGCATCTGGCTTTCAAAATCGTCTACATGTCGAGATTCACGTTTTCGTACTATGTGTGTACATCCTACTGCAACCAGAAAACGCCTCCGCATCTCACATATATGCCTTGTCCCCGTAGCATTACATAAAATCGCTTGCACATGAAAATGCCCTTGGTATTTTTGGGTTCCCTCCATCTCTCACCCAGTGCTCCTGTTGTTTTTCTAAATGTCTCCCTCTGTTTCCTTCCCTCCTACCTTACCAACTTCCCCTATTCTTTCATTTCTCACAGCACCCCTCTAGGCAAGGTACTGCGCAATCGCCGGCTGCTGCTCCGGAGAAACGCGCTCCATGATAAAACGTTGCAGGGCGCCGTTGTGACGCTGATTTGCGTTGGCCATGTATTCCTTAACCCATCCGGGCACATTTTGAATCTCGGGAGAGTCGTCTCGCGCTTGGGGCTTGCAGGTGTTAAGTGGCGTGTATGAGGTGCCGAAACCAATGTCATCAACGGAGGACTCGACGAGAATCTCATCACCGCCGCCGGCAGCCACGGCAGCGGGGTTGGCGAGCAGCGACAGCAGAATGCGGCAGGTGTTGCCCCACCCCTTGATAAACTTTTGCGCGAATACAGTCGAATCGCAGAGCGTCTTGGTCAGCGAGATGACAGCCAGCTTACGGTCAATTGGCCGGGCGAGTTTCTCTGTCTCGGCAAGCACAAATGGTGGGTAGACCTGAGCGAAGGCCTTCTCGTCCAGCTTGTCCGAGTGTTTGATGAAGAAGTCGGTGCCGTAGCCGGCCTCGAGACGTGAGCTGACAAGGTGGAAGAAGCGAACGAAGCGAAGCTTTAGCGCTTGGCCTGGGTTTCCCTGTAGTTTTGTATAGATGAGTTGCAGAATCGTACCAAAGTACTGGTCGAGGACGGCCCTATGATGTAACGTTAGAATAACCATCGAACTGCAACCATCTTAGCTTTGCTCACGGTTCGAATGCTTTGACAATGGCATCTAGAATGTCAAAAGCATTGAGCTCAAACTTCTTGCTGCTAAGCAGGTTCTGAAAGATACCCAGAAGTGGCTCCATCTGCTTGTTGGCCACGATATCGGCAGAAGCTTTGGGAATAACAGCAGACAAAAGCCTGGTACAGGCGGGGATGTTGCCTCTGGTCTCCCAGAGGGGAGCCGCAAGTAGTGGCTGCAAAAGACCTTTGTAATTGTCCGAGATAGTCGCAGCCGGGCTCGATTCGAGGAGTTGGGCGAGAATCTGGAAAACGTAAGGCATAAATTCAGTCACGTCTTCGGAGAGAATCTCCTGGAATGGACCCCAAAGCTTGGCGTTGAGAGCAGGAGCACTGGTGGCGGCGCAGTAGCGAACCAAGGCCCCCATCGCCTCAAAGTGATAGTAGTAGAAACGAGGGTTACTAGGGTTCTGCTTCATAATGTTTGTAATGGCGATGAGGTGAGTAAGGGCACTGTCAAGAACTGCGGCGGCACCATCCTTGATGACGATGAGAATACGCATGACGCAGCGCATCAGAAATTCGTTCTCCTGAAGCTTGGCGGGGCTGGGGTCCTTCTCGATGAGTTTGAAGAGGTGATCTAGCAAGTCCTTGGAAAGGGGTTCAATATCCTCGCGGTTGAATGTGTGGTTGCCGTTGTCATCAGTTAAGAAGAGCACCCGCTCAACAGCAATAGCGGCGTACGTGTAAACGACATAGTTGGAAGAGTTGAGATTCTGTACCAGAGGACGAATGGCTTCTTTCCACTGTTCTTTGTTGAGCTGGCTTCGGAATGTGTAGAGAAACTTGATTGCGTCAACCTTGGGGATCGGCTCCGAGTCGTCGGCGGCGACAAGATCCGCGGCAACGTGCTGCTCAAAGAACTGGACAATATTAACCAGGGGGTTTACTGTCTTGACGCCCTGCGCGGCGGTGACAGCTCCCTTGGCAGCAATGGACAAGAACAGGTAGATGGCGGTATCCTTGGCCTTCCAGTCCGTCTTTCCAAGGTTAAGGTAGTGGCTAATGTATTTTGAGACTGCCGTAGTCACAAGACTCTCAAACTTCTCCTGTAGCTTGCGAAGGAAGTCGGTGGCGGAGCGTCTACGTGAGTCGTTGTCGGAGCCTTCTAGGTCGCGACGAATGTACTCGATCGGCTCGTCTTCGAACAGCTCGACGTCGGATTCACGAAGAGTGACATTTGGTAGGATGACCTTTTCAACGATTTGCGTGATAACATCCTCGCTGTTGAATAGGCCGGAATATTGGGTAGTGGCAGTGACGGCGGTGAGGAAGTGCAGGGCTTTGCTGACAATAATGTCGTATTTTGTCTCGGTGCCAGTAGCCGAGAGCAAGTTCCAGGCGCTGGTGATGAATGGTTGGCAGTATTGGGAGAATTCGTCGTCGTATTTAAAGGTGTAGAGAACAAGAATCTCGCAGATGTTGGCCTTAACCACATCGGCAATGCTAACTTCAGATTCGTCGTCGGTATCTAGTAGCGGGTTGGTGTATGTGAGGTACTTGTGCAATAGTTCGGCTATGCTGGAGAGGTTGTCTTCAAAGATGGGGGGAAGATCATGGCTCGACAGGTCGTGCATGATTTTGATCTGGAGATCGAGGGTCTCGAACCAGCCACGAAGGGCCTGCTTGTCGTTGGCATGCTCTTGGATCTTGCTGTCTGTAGTCTGCATAGGGGTTTGTTAGCGAGCAGTAGACACGACAAGTATGAAAGTTCACAATACGCACTACAAGGAGCTGGAAAAGGGGTTGGCCGAATGTCCCCAGCACATGATTGATCTCAATATAGAGCTCGTCGGTCTTTCCTAGCGGGCGCCATCTGTTGAAAATGGAGTGTGCGACCTCGAGAACGCCGACATTGATCTTCGGGTCGGTAGCAGAGAATCGGCTGACGAGATCCTGTGGTGAAGAGTAAGCTGGCTGTTGTAGACGAGGGCGCAACGCAAGCTACCTGTGTGAGGGTGTCCCACCGCCTCCAAAAGTCGGAGTCTGCGATGACGCTAATTGCTTCGCCAAGCTGTGCCTGCACATTGGGGGGGCAAGCAATCATGAGGCCTACCAGACGCTCTTTTATGGTCTGGACCTCAGATGCCGAGATTTTGTAGTTTCCTTCCTCGTCCTAAAGCATGTCAGCTTGGCGCGTCGTGTCGTGGCTGGTCGAGGGGAGCGGTAGTTCGCGTGCTGAGACGGCAGACGTACGACATAGCTTGTGCGGATAAAATTCTTGAAGGCGAGGGCAGCGGCAAGTCTCGTATTGGCAGGGACAGATTCGTTGCTGACAATGGTGAGAAGGGACAGCGAGTATTGGGGCTTGGAAGCCTCCTGCTTCAAGGCCGACTCGGCTGCGTTTGTTTGTTAGCTGGACGAACAGAGAGGCAGGCGGGGCACAGGATGGAAGCTGGCGGGATGGGCACCTTTTCTGTGCTGGGCGGGATCGAGAGTGGCATTAAGCAGCTGTGCAATCTGATCCATGTCGGCCGCCATTTTGAACAAGCTTGTGCGGGCAGCAGCCAGGGTGACGGTGAGGATGTGATGTTGGGGGAAGAAGCTGGGATGGGAGACTGTTGTGGACTTTTCGTGGTTGCGGGACAACGCAAGCTGGCTTGGGTGGGGAGCGCGAGTGGACGAGCGAGCTGGAGCTGGCCCAAGCTCTCGTGTACCTGTATAGCGAGAGCTTTGTGCGACTGTTTTCTGATGGCGGAGGAGGGAGAAGAAATCGCTGATAATTATTTACGTAGTGTGTTATCAGGATTTCCTTGAAAAATTGTAGTGATGTTTTGATGCTTCGACTAATCTACAAACTCGGCCTCGCACGCACTCTGCAGATGCGTATCTACCCCGCCCTGGATGACCTATAACGCTGGACGTAAGGTATCCGGAGAGGCATTTCCAAGAATTCAGGTGGCAATATACGATTCTACATGATTTACTTTACTGTTGACTTCGTTGCAACGCTGTTCATCGCAAGAGCGTTGGCACACATAGATAGGACGGAGTAGGCATGCGAAGTACCTTACAAATTAATCCACGCCGAACCACAATACCGTACTAATAGAGAGCATAGTGGCTAGTCAACCACGACTTACGAGACATGCAGACGAAAAGCTCGCATTTGTTTTCTCAGTGTTTTTCGTCTTTTCTCGTTGTAGTGGCAAGGGTGTCTTGGAAATACATTGTGTAGGCATACGCGCAATAATTCCGACGCGAGACATAGATGCAAGGCTACCGTCGGCAAATGCACTAAAATTAAACACGATCGAGTTTTTTCTCTCTCAATTATCCGTACTTCAGCCCCCTTTCTCTTGCCGTTGACAGCTGTCATTCCCGTTCCTGAAATTCAATACGCGGTCCGCTTGGGCGCTCAACAGTCACCTTACACCGAGCGCCACACTTAAAAACAGTGCAAGCGTCGTATCTGGCACTTACCAAAATTTATGAGCTTGCAAGCCAAGTACTTACATACCTGTATCAGATTAAAACATTACGTTTAAAATGATTGATGATAACAGCCGTGCGTTCACTAACCCTTTTTTTTTTTTCTTTTTTGCCAAGGTACAAAAGGCGTCAGACCCCTGCCTTCTGTCTCTCAGCTGCCGTTGAAACTGTTGTCCCTGGCTTCCCAGATCCCCCACTACAGCCGCCGTCACCCGCCACAGCGCCACAGTTCGCCGCTTTAAGCTCTGCTTCCAGATAAAAAGCTCTGCTTCATTTTTCTCCATGTGCCCACTCCGACCATTGCCCATCGCCGCCTTAGTCAGAAACCATCTTGTCCGTCACCTGCTCCCATCACCACGCCACATCAACTTCCACTTCCACTTCCACTTCCACTTCCATCTCGTCGTTTTGCGTTCCGTTCTGTTTGACCCTTTCTTCCTTGTTTCTTTTTACCTTTACATAGCGGAACAGCTGCCACTCGTCTCCTCCCCTCTTCTCCTCTACCACCCCGCCCCCGCCGATGGTCCTCCTATAGCTCTCCAGCATCGCAGCTAGTCTGATAGCGGCAGCTCGTTCTCACTTCTTCTCTCCTGCCTTTTGCCGCCAATCCCTCGCCTCGCCCGCTGTACCGCTCCTCAGCATTTGACTCTCGTTCCAGTCTAGCATCCCGATCGCTGCTTCTTTGTACAGCCCACTCCTCCATGCCGCCAGTCCTACAATCCAAAGTCATTGTCGGCCTTTGAACCATCAAGGCCGCCAACCGGTACGCATTCCCGCCGTCGTATAGCTGCCCACCTGCACAGGTACCCAATGCACTTTGCGCAGAATCCAGCTCGTGTCTACTTATGCAGCCATTGCTATACACGATGTGGGGAGCAACCTGAAGCTTGCTCTTGTGTCTGCTCTCTTCGTCGTGTACACCCAGACGTCGGCAATTGGTCGCTGTGTAACCCATTTCTCCGTCTTCCCAGATTGGCCACACAGCTAACATCCCTCTTCTTTCCAGGGTTCCTCTCCATCACGTTGCGCCTAATACGACGAGCACATGTCTCGACAGCCCGACAATGATGCACCGTCGTCAGACTCGGCCCGCCCTAGCGGCCTCAGCAACGTGCTCCGTGGCCTCACTAGCTCCAGGAGCACTCGCTCGCCGCCACACATCCCCTCCCCCGCTGCTCCTCAACCAAAGACCGAGTTTATAAATGCCACGCCCATACACTCTCGCGGTCTCGCCACCAACCATATGGATGCCCTTGAACTTCTCAGATCTGGTATCCCCGCAGAGTGCATCTCCGCCGCAGACACCCTGCGATTCGCGATTTCCGAATACCCTTTGAATCCCGTTCTCGACATTTGGTACGCAGCCAAGGACTTGGTCGACGAGCACAAGCCCCCCGCTGTCCGGGTTGCTGGTTGGGGGCTTCTGACAGAGTGTGTCAAGCATACAGCCTCAACAGACCTCGAACGACAGGAATATTTCCAGACAGTGACCGCCCCTGCCCACCCAGATGATTTTCACCTACAACTGGCCGCCTTGGTTGACCTGACCAACGGCGGCCGCAAATTGGCCGGCTTTGACTATGAAACCATTCCATTATTAATAGAGTGGCTTCAGCAAGCATACAATGCTGCTAGGCTCGCCCGCAAAAATGCTGCCAGAAGCTCCAAACCATCCAAACGGGCAGCCGCGTCAGGCGAAGACCACAACCTGTCACAGCTCTTTTCCTTTATCCATGATGTCTTGAAGTTCGGCTACAACACAGCTAGCGAAGCCATCGTCTCCAAACTCATCGATATGCTTCTCAACATCTGTATGAGCACCAGCGTCGAAGACGATCTCAAGTCTTGTATTTCCATTCTCGATGTCATCGTTACATTTGGCTCCATTCCCGGCGACAAACTCAAAGAATGTATCCAGGTCTTGGGCTCCATTTTCTGCCTCGTCCCTGGCCTCCATAAGGGCTCTTGGCATACATTGTCCAATCTCTTCAAGTCTCACAATGGCCAAGCTACTGTGCGCATCCTGCTCGACATTCTCCGCAATCTTTCTCCAGAGTCTTCCAACGACAAGGATACCAGCAGGGAGATACGCGGGGCACTTTCGGTACTTCAAAAACTTCTGGCTAAGAGCACAGATAAAGGATACCCAAGTGTCCCATACGCCTTGCTTGTAGATGGCCTAGCGACGGCCCTCAAGGCATCGACTTCCATCAGAGTGTATGGATCCATCATACAGCTGCTCAATACTCTATTCGATGACGGATCTGGTCAAATGCATAAGCTCATTATCGACGAAGACTGGTCTATCGCACTGCGCGTCTGTGCCGAGTGTTACAAGAGGGTCGTCGCAGTTGTTGGTGATAAGACAGCCAAAGAAGAGTCCGCTGGGGAATTCCTTATCACGGAGTTGACAACTCTAATTGCACGCCTCGATCTTTTAATGAACCAAAAGACAACAAACTACATACCCCGCCAGACAATCGTCAACTTCTTCACTCAAGCCCCAGAGCTGCTTTCTGATGCTACTGCTATAACAGTACTCAATTATTTTCAAGAGTTCAGATGTTGCTCACCTTCCGACTTGGACTGGGAGGAAAACATTTCCTTAGTACTGGATGCTTTCTTTCTTAATCGCAAACGCCCTTCCAAGACTCGTCTCATCGCCTTGAGCACAATTATGGATGCATATGATGTTGTGGAACTGGTCGGTGATGGAGCAGAGCAGAACTTTATACCCCGCCTGACCAAGCGAATCATCCAAGATGTTGCAGAGGAAACCGATATTCCCGTTCTCAACGCCATCATGAGGCTCATTGTTTCCGTTGTCAAATCTTGCGATATGGGACTATTCAATTACATCATGGGTACCCTCAAAGGTATAGTTCCAAATGACAGGGTTACGTCTCCTGTCATAGGCACCGCCCCGATTATCCCCAGTATCGACGATGTCGAAAAGCGCGAGATGTTGTCTGAAGAGTCGCCATCCAATACTGTTGCGCGAGCCTATGTCAGCATGTTCTTGCAACTGATGAATTCCCATCATGAAAAAAGCGTAACGCTCTTCAAAGTTCTGGTCAGAATTGTCAAATCCGACCACTGTGAAATCGATGCGCGTTTATCTACCATGAAGCTACTGTTCAGACTTCGCGCAGATTGGGCCTACAGAATATACGTAACTAGCGACTTGGATGTTGATTTTCTGGCGTCTTCAATATGCCGCACAGAAGCGGCTCTAACGAAGAAGAAGAGCGAAGAGGCCGCGGAAACTATGCGGCTTTCTCGAAACGATCACGCAACCCCAGTTCGTCCTGCCAGAGGCGTCTCTTTTAGCCACAGCGAAAGAGGCATACCTGTTCGAGCGGCTAGCGGTACGAGTGTCAGGGTAACTGCCAAACACCGACAGCTTTGGCAGTATCCAGACCCAAAAGCTTTGCCCTGTGAAGCGCCCGCCGCAATCAGTCCCATTTTGGTGTCTCACGTTGAGCAGGATGAGTCCGCGGATTCGTCTTGCTCAGGTTCATCCACGGCGGCCACGACTCAAGCACTAGACATTGCTGTATGGCTGAATGGGGTCCTTGCGATACTCCAAGGCTCAAATTGGGAAATCTACAGCTTTGTTTTGGTGCACTTGCCACTCCAGTTGAGCAATCATGCCATCTTCCAGAGTGCAATTCCGCAAGTACAAGAGCTACGCAAGGTACTGTGTGACCACTTGCGAACAAATGTACTTCCCGATCCCCCAAACGTTCATGGTCTCAGGAAGGCCGATGTAGCCATTTGTCTCTATCAGAGTTTGACCATGATTCTGAGCTACCACGAATACTTTCAAAAATCTGAAGAAGACGAAATCGTCAAGACTTTTGCGCAGGGCATTTCAGGATGGGAACGCTCTGCAAAAGCATGCATCCATGCGCTATCTATCTGCTGTCACGAGCTTCCGCTATCCATGAGCAAGTCCTTGGTTCAAATATTGACACAAATGGCGCAGATCATCACGCAGCCCCATGTCTCCGTTCACATTCTGGAGTTTCTCTCCTGTTTGAGCCGAATGCACAATGTTTATGTCAACTTTAGAGAAGAAGAGTTCCGCACCGTTTTTGGAATCTGCTTTCGATACCTTGATTACGCGAGAGAGAAGCGACACTCCAACCGAAGCAGCAGAGCCAGCGAGGCATCAACACCCGCAACTCCGCAATCTGGCCACCCAGAGAAAGAGAATAGTCACGGCCCTGTGTCAGACGACCTGCCACAATACGTACACGCCATTGCCTATCATGCCATAATATTCTGGTTCTTGGCTCTTAAGCTTCCTGACAGAGCCAACCATGTATCATGGATTGTTAGAAAGTTGTTCACCGATGTGGACGGTCCAGCCCAACAGGTTGAGGAGCAAGCTGTGACTTCGGTCGACTTTATGCAGCGTGTGACGTATGCCGACGCGGATGAATCCGCCAAAGATCCGTACTTTACTGAGGATCGGTTTGGCCGGATTGGAAAGAAGCGATGGCTCATCGGAAATAGCATCGTAACGGTCAAGCAGGCCACGCTCACGGGCTGGGCCCATGTTGTCAAAAGACAGCCGTCGGGTACCTCGGCCTACACGATTCGCGAAGCGTATCGCCCTCCGCCACTGCACCAGATCGAGAATCACTTGGATATTGCCAGGGAGGGCCAGGGCACGAGCCAGGCCATCCTGCCGAACCATATCCTAGTGCAGCTCCTGTCACCTATCCCGCAGGGATTCGACGGCGCACGACCTATTGCATTACCTGACGACGATGCCGTTGATCGAGCTATTCGGGTCTTTGATCGAAGCTCCAGTCTCGATGGCCACAAAGTCGGCGTGATTTACATTGGCGAGGGTCAGACTGACGAAGCTGAAATTCTGGCCAATATGTCTGGAAGCAGCGATTACATTGAGTTCCTGAACAACCTAGGCACTCTCACCAGGCTGAAAGGCGCAACATTTAATACTCAGGGACTAGATCGCGAGTATGATTCGGATGGCGAGTACACATTCTGCTGGCGTGATAGAGTGACGGAGATTGTGTTTCACGTCACGACGCAAATGCCAACCAACCTGGAGCGAGATCCATCTTGTACGATGAAGAAGCGGCACATTGGCAATGACTTTGTCAACATCATTTTCAACGACTCTGGCAATCCGTTCAAGTTTGACACGTTTCCTAGCCAATTTAACTTTGTCAATATTGTCATCACGCCGGCCTCGCGAGCGTCGTTTATCGTCCGACGAGAGACCAAGCCCGAGACAGACGTGGGCCAACCGTTCTACATGGTCAAGGTGATGAGCAAGCCAGGCTTCCCGCCGATTTCACCAGCGTCGGAAACCAAGATGGTGTCTTTGAGGGCTCTACCCGGGTTCATTCGGCTGCTGGCTCTCAATGCGACTATGTTCGCCATGGTGTGGCATAGCCAGGAAGGCGGAGAGCACATCTCATCTTGGACAAGTCGTCTCCGGGAAATTAATCGTCTGCGGGAGCGCTATGGAACCAAGAGTATGGCTGTGACACCTTCTCCGGGAACGTCCTTGTCAGGCGGACCAGGGCTCGGGCCCGGAGATAACTCACGACCGAGCAGTAGCGTGCGGGACAGCCTGAACAGCCTTCGCCGAACCAGCGTGGCGACTTTTTTTACAAGCGCCAGCGAGCAGACTTCGCACCGGTCGTCTGTGTTGTCAACATCGACGACTACGAATGACACGGAGGTTGGGCCTTTGGCCAATCCTGCCTGTTCTATCGTGGACTCTGTGGATTTTACTAAATGGGCCTCATGATTGAAGCTTTTTAATCTTGCTCCTTTTGTTATTTCTTTTGTTTTCTTTTGTATTGATGAGGCAAACTGGAAATGGTCGGACGGAATTTGCTTGCGGCTCGCATGACAAGAAAACAAAAGTTTGGGGGCGTACTGTGATTTGAATGTCGAATTTTAGCGGCTAATGTACGATGATCTTGGGTGTTGTCGTGTTAGAATCGTGCTCACAGCTTTGCGTTTTGCATATTATACCACTTAGCTTAACTGCAAGGAGGAGGGGTTCATTCAGTAGCGGGAATATGGATGGCTGGCAATAAGACTGGTCTTTGCGATTCCTAAATTGCTGGATGATTTAACGTTTTCCTTCTTGTTATATGCAACACTGTATGTTTGCGATAAGCATCGTATGTCACCATACGCGGAGTGCGCTAACAGCAATTAGCACTGAGACTATGACGATAAGATGAAAGAAGACAAGATGTTATGATTACCGTTACACTATTCAATCGATCAGGCCGCAATGCCTGGTATTTCCAGCATTTGGGTTGGTGTTTATCGCTTTAGGGTAACCCGGGAAATGTGTGGAGGGGTGTTGGTGGGAGATGGTGGCCCAGTAAATTTATTAGTCGCCAACCAGGCTGCTTCTGCTCGAACGCGTCTTGTTTGCCGCTGAAGCGACCACAGTCTACACGCGCATCAACCTCCAACGCCCGGGAACCGAAAAATCCCCCAGCCGCCTTGAATGAAAAAAATTGTGATGAGCAGAACAAGCTCCAACAGTTTATTTACCGATCAGACCAAGAGTTAACCCGCTGTGGCGGGCAGTGTGCCACGATGCCCGCCGCTGGAGACGATGAGATCACCAACCTGATCGCGGACATTGTTGCCGGTACGAGACGCACCCAACCCCTGCGCTGTCCATCTCAAGATGGACTCGGTCTTACCCCGTTCTCCAGAGAAGCTCCTCTTTTGCTGACGCGCGCAACTCTCTCAAAAAACAGCCTCCAAGCTCCCCCCCAAGGCGCGCGCGACGCTCGTCCGTCCGTCCGTCAACAGCCTCGCGTCGCTCGCGTACGAGCGCGGCCTGCTGCCCGCCGCGCTGGACGAGCTGCTCGCGCTGGTGACGACGCCGAGCCAGCTGGACCAGGCGAGCCTGGGCGTGCACCACGCGCTGGAAGAGCCGGGCGTGCTGTCGCGCGCGTACCCGGTGCTGTTCAACCTGTTGGACACGGCGGCGATCCGGCCGCAGCTGGCGCACCTGCTGGCGCTGATCACGCGGAGGAAGCACGTGCGGCCGTTTCGGATTCAAAATTTGTAAGCCTGATCTGGACGCCAGGGGGGGGGGGTTGTGGGCGGGGATTGTGGGAAAACTAACGACTTGAGGGGGGTAGATTGAATTTGTCGCGGCAGACGGGGAATGACCCGACACTGGTCGGGTTGCTGCGCGTGTACAAGGATTACTATCCGGAAATCATCGTCGGCGAGGCGGTACGCGGGCGTGCCTCTGCCTTCAAGGTGTGTGTACTGGCGCGTGTAGAGAGGGACAGGACGGGCTAACCATGAGAAGCATCCGGATCCGTCATGGCGGGAAAGAATGGACGAGCTGCAAGAAGCACATCTACAGCAGACGCAGGAGCGCATGTCGCGCCCGCGAGACGCTTTTCGTGTGCACAAGTCAGTCGGACGCGGGCAAAGGAAAACAGCCCTGCCGTCTGTTCACACTACGCACGCCACCGAGGTAGGTCGAAGCAAATTCTACCTCTTGACGGTATCCCAAGAATAACACGAATTATGCAATCAGGACTCCGTTACGCTGGAGGAAATCGAAAATGTGCAGAGCTTCGTGGACAAGATGGACAAGCTCGAGCTGCCCAACCAGCTGGTCGCGGTGCTGGCCGACCCACTCCTCCAGAAGCTGCTGTTGCTGCGGCCGAGCGCCGAGTCGTACATGCGCGTGGCCAACTGGCTGAACGCGGCCTTGCAGGAGGTTGTTGACGGCGATGCGGACGAGACGACGCTCTGGGAGATGATGGACGTTGTCCGGGACTTTGTCGTGCAGATCAAGGTAAGACGGAAGCTCGAGCCTGTTGGTCAATCATCGTGCTGTTTATTGACTCATGCCGTAGAACTTGCCTGCTACCGTGCTCAACTTTTTTGCCCACTTCTTTCAACTCTGGAATGGCGAGGGTTCCAAGACGTGCATCTTCCAGATTCTAGTCTACACGCCCCTCCATGACTTTGACGGTAAGCCATCCATCCATCCTGTCTGCTTGTACACGAGCCCCTAGGCTGACGCGACTAGAATTATACAAGCACATTTTCCAGCCGTTCGAAGCTGCCGTCGCTGACAACAAGCCTGCCACGCAGCTCGAGCTGCTCAACATGTACACCAACCTGGTGCATCACTGGACCTCGGTGCTGCGGTCGAGCAAGAACATCCCAGCGCACGCCAGCCGCACCATCACCAGCACCGTGCAGCACGCCGGCACGCTCGCCCTCGCCCTGCTGCAGACCGGCCCGACGCTGTCGAGCGAGTCGGCCATCCTCGCCCTGTACGAGCAGAACCTAGCGCTGCTGACCGACGAGGCGCTGCGGAGCCGCGTGCGCATCCAGCTGCCGCCGTCAGCGCTCATCTACCTGCTCGTCCTCAGCCAGTCACTGGCGACGGTGGCGCGACTTTGCCGCATCATGGCCTCGTACAAGCGCGGCTTCGAGACGGCCATGAAGGTGCGCGCCGGCGCCGGCACGACCGTCGACGCCTCCTCCTACTCGCAGGACGAGGTCAACCGCTACAACGGCAACCTGCTCGACATCGTCAATCTGCTGTGGCGGATGCACGCGTTCGGCGTGGAGCGCGGCGACGTCGAGCAGGGGTGCATGCTGCCGGCGGCGGCGCGGGAGCGGCTGGGGCGCTACGCGGCGGCGGCGGACCGCGGCGTGGTGACGCTGGCGGCGGCGCTGTCGCTTTCGTACTCGCCGGTGCTGTGCCTGCAAAGCAGCGAGGCGCTGCGCGCGCTCGAGGTCCGCCGGATCGCGGCCGACGAGGCCGTGGAGACGCGCCACGCGGGGCCCGCCTCGCAGGAGAGCCTGCGGAGGCTGGCGACGTCCGGGGGCATCAGGCTCGGGTTCAACGGGTACAGGGCCAGCGTCCTGGAGGCGCTGCGCGCAAAGGGCATGCCGGGCGTCGAGGAGCTGCTCAAGGCGAGCATGCCGTCGGCGGCAAAGGCGATCGAGAGCTGGGCAGCGGGCAAGGAGGCGTGAGGAAGGGACAGGGGACTGGATGGATGGGGAGTTGGTAGTTGATTATGATCTAATGATGATGAAGATTCTACAAGTTTCGATCAGTGTCGATGCGGGAGTGTGGCCGCTCGGGCCTGCTTGGCCGCGGCTAGCAAGTGTTTGTTGGCCATGAACGGCCAACACACTTGTGTGTTGGCACCCAGATCGCACGCCGTGAAAGACTCAGATTGTAGGCTGCGAAGTCATTAATTCTCCCTTTTTTGTTTTGCAGCCAATTCCCACACTAAACGAAAATTCATTTATTATTTGTTTCATGCTGTTGTTTTCAATCGAAGCGGTTGCCAATAAAGCTGCGTATCGACTCTCACCTTGCCGTCACTCCATGACATTGTCATTTTTCCCCCGATCGACCAATATTATTTTTGCCCTTCATTTTCCAATCACTCCTCAAATCACTCCGTTTCCCAATCACTCCGTTTCCCAATCACTCCCTCTCAGAGTTTCAGCTATTTATTGACCGCCTCTTCCCAACCTCGGGCGGTCAACTTCCATCCTACATCACCATCAAGCCAACTCGTCGAGCCTCATTCACCTACGACTACTATCTAAGCCTGTCTAACCACTACTTACCCCCTTCACCTCTTTACTAACACTATGGACCCCCCGCGCGCACAACCGCGACGCTTCCGAAACCTCAACCTCCCCCCGCGGTTCCTCCGCAACACCGAGCAGCGCGCCTGGGAATTCCAGACCCCCCGGACCCTGTCGCGCCCCTACGACCCCGTGATCGACACGACCCTGCGCTCTTACCGCGAGGGCTCTGCCGCCGCGGACTTTGACAACCTGGAGCTCCGCGTCCGCACGCAAAAGGTCGACCTCACCTTCGTCTACCCGCGCGACCGCGACGTCGAGACGCTGTCCGCCGAGCAGCTGCGCCGCCTCCCGCCGTCCGTCCGCCGGAACCTGCGCACATACGAGCGCACGCCGCGCAGGGAGCTGCTCGCCCGCGCGCCGGCTATCGCGCCGCCGCCGGGGATCCCGGACCCGGACGACGACAAGCCGCAGTGGGGGTACAAAGAGGACTACCTGTTCCGGGCGAAGCTGTCGCCGGACGAGGAGGCGGCGCGGGAGGCGCGCAGGAAGCGTCGCCGGGACAAGAAGAGGGAAGACGAGGAGGAGGAGCGCGAGGAGGAGGACGAGGAGCCGACACCGAAACGACAGCGTCGAGTAAGACCCCGACAGGATGCGGGGAGGGGGGCCCTGCCACCGACCCCGTCCCCGACCCCGGTCCCGTCGAGCGAGGACCCCATCCCGTCCATTGAGTACTCCCACGCGGAAATCGCCCAGGCCGACAACAACGTCCTGCTACTGGCAGGCCTCACCGACCCGGTTCCCCCGGCGCCCCCCGGTCCCCCATCCGTGGCTGTCGTCGACCAGGACCCCGGCCCCGCGTCCGTTGCTGTCAACGGCTTCTTCGCCCTCCCCCCTCCGGTCCGGCGCCAAATCTTCCGCCACCTCCTCGTCCGCCCGGGCAACGAGCCCATCCGCGTGCACGCCAGCTAGGAGCTGGTGTACCGCAACCAGGGCCTGGCCCTCTCGCCTGTTGTGCTGCGCTGCAGCAAGCGGGCGCAGCGCGAGGGTGCCGCCGTGCTCTACGGCGAAAACGAGTTCCTGTACCTGCTCCGCGACGGCAACCCGACCAACCGCGTCGCCGACGTCGCGGCCCTGGGCTCCGACGACAGCCCGCACCAGGCCAGCGACGTCGAGGAGGAGCCCGAGTCCGGCGGGCCCGCCGCCCGCCGCCGAGGGGGCCGCCGGGGCCCGGCGCGGGGGAGGCCGCTGGAAAACTCCGACATCAACTTGGACCGCTACGTGCGCTACGTGCGGCGCATCGCGGTGGAGGCGGAGCACAACCGCTTCGACGAGGCCGCGCAGGAGCGCGCCGCGCAGGCGCTCCGCGTCTTCTCGGACTGGAAAACTCCGACATCAACTTGGACCGCTACGTGCGCTACGTGCGGCGCATCGCGGTGGAGGCGGAGCACAACCGCTTCGACGAGGCCGCGCAGGAGCGCGCCGCGCAGGCGCTCCGCGTCTTCTCGGACGCGTACGAGTGGCGGCCGGAGGGCGAGAAGCTGCGCACCCGCCTGGCGAGCGTGGAGCTGCGCGTCGTCCCCGTCTGGGAGGCCAACCACGGCGGCGGTGATGCCGGCGGCGGGGGCGGGTTCACGTTCCTGGACTGGTTCGCGGAGGAGGCGCCGCTGATGCGGGCCGTCCGCGACCTGTCGTGCGACAAGGTGACGGTGCGACTGCTGCCGCCGCCGCAGCCGTCCCGGCGTCTGCGCGCGGCGGAACGGGAGGAGGGCGGTTTCGCGACCGAGCTGGACATGGCGCACTTCCAGGTCGACAGGCTGGTGCGCGAGTTCGGGTTCAAGGACCCGTGGGCGGGCGACGAGCCGATGCAGAGCGGGCGCGCGGCGCGCATCGCGGAGATGCAGGCCACGTTCGGGGCGCTGCGCGACAGGTTGGAGGCTGCATGCCGCGACCCGGTCTACGGTCAACGGGGGCTCCCGCAGGCGGCGCTGACGGAGGAGGGGGAGGACCAGGACGGAGGGGAGGACCAGGACGGGGCGGTTGAGGAGGAGGAGGGGTTCGAGGAAGAGGAGATTGTGGTGCAGGATGATGATGAGGATGACGAGGATTACCAGGATTAAGGAGTTTCTACGGCATGCTGCTTATCTTGGGCTTGCGGATTTGTGCTTTATTGGCTTCACTTTATTGGGCTGGATTTGGTTGAATTTTGGAGGCGGCGTTTATGGAACCCGGAAAATGGGATGAATCTTCTTTTCATTCTAAACCATCATAGCTAAATCATGACCCCATTTGAATCTTTACCCGGGCTTCCTAATAACCCGCTTCGAAATTCATTGCCCACGCTTCAAAGAACCAGTTCGGTCTCCCTACGACATCTCGATTTTGACCTTTGTCACCTCCAGCGTCTCCATGTCCACCAGTACAACCTCCTTGGACGCAGAAAACGATGGCACCGCTACCAGGCGCACGCTTTGCCCGTCCGGCCCGTGGATCAGGCGCGTGCCAAACTCGGGCTGGTTGCCGACAAAGTACAGGTGCGGGCAGGCCTTGAGCACAAACGGGTCGTCGTCCTGGAACGGGTAGCTCCCTGCCAGAAAGATGTCATGTTAGACCAACTCAAATACATAAAAGCTTAACCGGGAGAAATTGGGGACAGAAAAAGGGAAAAAGAACTTACACAGTGTGTCCGGCGCGGTCGGCGCGCAGCACCGCCACCGGCACATGGCCTCCATCATGCCCAGCCTGTCATCGCTGTCGACGTACTTGAAGACGTCGTCCACGTTTTGGCCTCCCGTTCCCAGCACGCGCCAGCCCTCGATCTCGCCCTCCCAGGGGTTCGTGACGCTGTCGAACCACCCCGTCGCGGCATCGGAGCCGTCCGCGGCCGAGGGGTCAGCGCTGAAGGCGCGCGCCGACGGGAACAGCGCCGTGTGCAGCGGCTGCTGCGGGTAGCTCGCATTGGCCGGGTCGCGCGCGCCGGGCAGCAGCGTGACGGGCAGCGAGGGCAGCAGCTCGCTGACGAACTGGTCAAAGAGCTGCGACGGCAGCGCGTTGTACGCGCTCGCGTCGTAGCCGTACTTTTTGCCCGAAGCCGCCGCCTTCTTGCTGTCCTCCTCGGCCGCGGCCGCCGCCGCGGTGCTTATGGAGTCGCCGGCGATGATGAGGCGGCTGATGCGCGAGGCTTGCGCCTGCATGCCGGCGCTGAGGCTCTCACCGAGGAGGTACTCGAGCAGTAGGCCGACCTCGACGCCGGCCGAGGCCTCGACGCCGGAAAACGACAGGCCCGAGACGATGGCTATTTGCTTGTGGCTGTTGCCGGGCGAGTCGCCGCCGTCTGTCATTTCCGTGTCCTCCTCCTTGTGCTCGCCGTTGCTCTTGGCGCTGCGGCCGGAGAGCGCCCAGCGCTCGGGCTGGGGCGGTAGATCGGGAACCTTGAGGTCCAGCACCTCGAACTCGCCGCTCGTGTTTTCTGTACCCATGACGGCAATGATGCAGCCTGTCACAAGCGGGACCGTCTTGAGGATGTCGCCGACGAGGCGGATGCGGCCCGAATCGTCCTCGAGGGTGACCTGGTCGGTGCCGTCGTCGGAGTAGTATTTTTGTGTCGAGATCGGCGCAGACAGCCAGCGCTGAGATGCTGTGTTAGCATTCCAGGACACATAATTGCTTGTTATCAAAGTATATACGATCGAAAAGCATCCAACTCACATCTTTTGACACGTCTTCGAGAATGTTGGGCTTAAGGGCCATGTCCATGTAGACGGTACCGGCGACCCAGCACAGCTCGCCCTGGCGGACGTCGAGTACGCGGTCGACCTTGCGGGCCTCCTCGCCGCCGATGGTGGTGCCATTCCAAGCGGCCGCCGCGACCTGCTCGACGGCGGGCTTGATCTTGGTGAGGCGCAGGAAGTACATGTCGCCATACTGCTGCTGATAGGAGCGCTGCCTGTCGAGGGCAAACGTGGCGAGGGGCTTGTATGACGAATCGTCGCGGGGCGGAACCGAGAGGGGCGTGTCTCTGGAGAAGTCGCCTTGTTAGGGATGGGTCGTTGAACAAGTTTGGTCGTGCAAGCAGCGGCGCAGGGAATGGGAACAGCTCACGATGGTTTTTGGAGCAAGCTCCCAGACACCTCCTCGAGGGTCACCATGACGCGGGTGTTTGCGTATCTGTGGTGTATATGGAGAAGAGATGGGGTTGGTAGAGTAATAGGAGATGATAGAAAAAGAGAGCGAGTTAGACAATTGACGTTATATGAAGTGGTGGTTACAGAACGAATGGCAGCGACTGTATTAGAGAAAAGAAGCTCCGGTACCCGCGTTTTACGCGACGACTTTGGCGCGTTAAGTGGTGCTGTGGGGGTGGCGGGTTGCTGGCGCTGGATACAGAGTCCCTGGTATCGTATAGCTACCTCTACTATTTAAAAACAGCTGACTCTTATCGCGTGGCACATGTGCAGCTATCCCGTAGAAGATGTGGAATAGACGAAGATAATAAGGATAGGACGCTGAACAAGACCCGGGACTACTAAACATTACTCAACTCACCCCCCAGGCCATCGTCATCGTTCGTACCATCCGGTCTGCTGTCAGAACCATAACTACACGAAAACGGTCCATGCGAACCGTGCAAAGACGCAATCAACCCGCAAGATCCAACAGCGGCTGCGGCTGGACGTTGAGGTACACGTCGGCCAGCTCATCCCTGTGGTTACAAAAGAGCACTTGAACCAGCCATGCGCGTGTGTGTATGTCAGTGTGTGTGGGTGTCGTGTCCAGTTGAAGGTGCTGTCGAAAGAAATCTACGGAATTTTAGTTGAATATTTACTTGGTAATAATATTCCTATTTCTCTTTCTTCTCCTACTCTTTATCCTTCTTCACGCATCCATCCGTGACTCCCTGCCTCACCATCGTGTGCAGCCATTCCGAGTGCCCCGCGTTTTCCAGGGACCCCACCATCGACAAGGCTTACGATGGTCCGGCTGGCGAAATTTCTTCCACATCGACGCAGCCGTCTTTATCAACCTCCCCCCCCCCCCTCCCTCTCCGTACTCTTATCCTCCACCGCCACCGCCATCGCCACCGCCATGCCGAACGCGCCGTCCATCAAGGTCACCGACCTCTCCTACACCTTCCCCGACTACTCGACCGGCGTCAGCAACATCACCCTCGACCTGCCGCCCCAGTCGCGCACGCTGCTCATCGGCGCCAACGGCGCCGGCAAGACAACCCTCCTGCGTCTCCTCGCCGGCAAGCGCCTCTGCCCCGCCGGCACCATCTCCGTCGGCGGCGTCGACCCCTTCCACGAGGGCCTCGAGGGCGTCACCTACCTGGGCCTGGAGTGGGTGCTGAACCCGATCGTGCGCACCGACATGGGCGTCGACGAGCTCCTGCGCAGCGTCGGCGGCGACGCCTACCCGGAGCGCCGCGACGAGCTCGTCGAAATGCTCGACGTCGACCGCCGCTGGCGCATGCACGCCGTGTCCGACGGCGAGCGCCGCCGCGTCCAGCTCGCCATGGGCCTGCTGCGCCCCTGGACCGTCCTCTTCCTCGACGAGATCACCGTCGACCTCGACGTCCTCAGCCGCGCCGCCTTCCTCGCCTGGCTCAAGCGCGAGACGGAGATGCGCCCGTGCACCGTGCTCTACGCCACCCACATCCTCGACAACCTCGCCGGCTGGCCCACGCACCTCGTGCACATGCACCTCGGCACTGTCAAGGAGTGGGGGGATGCGGACAAGATGCTCGCGCAGATTGACGGCACCGTCGCAGCCTCGGGGAACTCGCGGCTCGGAGAGCTTGTCCTGACGTGGCTCCGCGACGATCTGAAGGCGCGCGGACCACGCAGCGGGATCAACCGCGGCCCGGAGGGCAAGACGTACGGCTTTGGCGGCATGAGCATCGGCGGATACGGAGATGAGTCTAAACCCAAGACTCACTAATTCTCGTCCTTGTTTTTGTCTCTTCTTCTCTTTCTGTCTTCTTCAACACATACACATTCGACTTGGATGACGCATCATGACTACGACGTTTCTAGACTTTAACATTAGAAACACCTAACTTTAGCATTCAGCATTTCAGAGGAGTATCCGACTCATTTTAACACGGGGTTTCGGAGCATGGACGGGCATGCAATAGACGGCATACATCATTCAACGGGCGGTGCTTTTTCTGGGTGAGCATTTTGGCATCTTGAGCAGCGGAGCGGCAGACCTCAACGCTGCCCGCTCACACACGCTCTCCAGATTTTGGGTTTTGGCGTTTTTCAACATGTAGCATGATGCGTGCGGTGCGATTCTGCTTGCTTTCTTACGTCTTTTTTCTTCCTTCTTTCTATATGACACCCTGTACTTCAACAAAACGGGCACGAAACATGACTACATACATACATCAATTGACATACATCCCGTCCACTTCAACTGGACGCGGGATCGGCATCTTGCCTTTACTGATATGGTCGAGCATCCTTCGCCCTCAGCCGTGAGTGGGCTGCATGTGATTGGTCCTTGGTAACCCATCGTTCCGGATCTTGCTCGTGGCGTATCTTCACAACGGCTTCGATCTGCAATATCAAAACAGGAAACCTTGATGGTAGGTCATAATGGCACAAGAATTATTACGCAACTGCCGACGTAAAGGAGCGGAGAGGTTGTGGTCGCCGGCATGTGGGAAGAAAAACGGGCGGGCGGGTGCCTTTGTCCGTGTCATGGCGCAGACACGCCCCGGCCGTCTGGGCTCGGACAAAAGTCGGCATATTCTCTTTTAACCTTCCAACCTCTTGTTCGCCAATGACCCCTTCTTTTTACACATCCTTCTTAGCACACTTTTTTTTTAGCACTGGATTTCCCAGAAAGGTGGAATCCACATCGGTCGTGGTTCTCCAGCTCCGGATGGGGCCGGTCGCTGTCTTGCTTTGCTTGCGAGTCCCCGCCGACATCCGCCCAACGCAATGCCAATTGGTAACTTACACGACTTATTAGTCTTGGGATTTATTGGATTGGCGGGGTGCTTGTGCAATTCGTCATGGTAATGGAGGGGAGACCTGGATGGAGCGCGTGCGAGATGGGCTGGTTGTTAGCAAATGGAATCTTGGTTGTGTCCACCGCCAACTGCACGATGCAGCGCAATTTCCCCCACGGCGAGAAGTGAGACTTGTTGGGGGAACAATGAGAGTGACGATGCATAGCCTGGGGCTCCGATTTACGCTCGACTCGCAGAAGGAACAAGCAATGGCGGCCGAGACCGTAGTTTTGGTTCACGAGGACAGACCGGGGATTGGGTGTGGCTGTACGAAGCTGACTGAGCCAAACATGCCACCGGTCAGAGACTGCCAGCCAGAGGCGGCAGCTGATGATGATGGCACTACTTCGTACGTATGCAGTCACAATGAACTGTGAAGAGCAATGATTCCTCCTAAGACGGAGCTGATGACGGGCAGGAATTGTATGGCGTCGCAGCCCGCCGATGAGGCGCAATGGCCCGGCTGCCTATGATGCAAGTCGCATTCGCCATGTCGACACTGTTTCCTTCTCTTGCAGCCAACCAGCAGCAATTAGGAGCGTAGCCCAGTGACACGCACACAGGCACTGGTCCGCCCGCACCCCCGGTACAAGAGGTGTGTGTGTGTGCGTATTAATAAGGACGGCTTGTCAAAAGACAAGAAAAAAAGCCAAGTAGCTATTAGACGCGAGCAAAACACAAGTCTTGCAGGGGGTGGATCAGACTTGTCAATGCTGTTACCCTATAACAACGTAATACGTAACCAAAATCGACGGGGCCAACGGGCGTCTTCTCCACCGCCAAGCGGAACCAGGGAGAGCAATTTTTTTTTTGGAATAATGTTTTGGACGGGTCAATAGCTGAGATCTGGTTTGCTTGGGTTCTTTATTTGGACTAATCCGCTGCAGTTTCCGGGGCAGGTGGGGGAGTCGTGAGCGCGGAGTAGACAGACGGGTGTACGGGCGACCATGTCACAGGCCAAACACAAGATGTGCTTGGTTTTGATGTGATGGATGCTTGTGCTGCTGAGAGACGGCTGCCATGAGCTGACATGTGTGAGGAGAAGTTGGAGTAATACGCCCGCGAGTTATTATTCTCAACAATCGGGAAATAGGTCTGGCTTGTGAGACGCCTGTGTTCCTAGACTCTCCGTTCCCCGGCATCACAAGATCACGCGGGACTCACACGGGTCCGTTTGTCGGCGTCGCGGGAGGAATGGGACAAGGGCTTGTGCATCGCCTTACCGCCTCTGGGGAAGAAGCACAGGTACGATTACCACGTCCTATCTCTGGTATACTCGGAAACGGGTTGGCTGTCGGACAGGAAGAAAAGAGCATTGTTGGCCGGTCACCTGATCGGTGCGAGTTTCCAGGCCCAAGGGAGTCCGCCCGTGTCGCATATGGAGGCATAGAAGTGCCGTTTTCGAATCCAATGCCCTTGAAGATATAGTTTCGGGAGGAGAATCCACGGTCGCCGTGCTCCGATAACGCGGCAATGATCTGGGAAATTCCCCTGTGACTGATGCTGCATCAATCGTTGTCTTGCGTTTTCGTCAAAGCATCACCGATTTGCCTGTCTGACATGTATTACCAAGAAAGGCCTAGCTTCGGTCCGCGCTCTAAAACACCAACCCAATTTTTGGTACCGGACCGCCAGCCCAGCTCAAACGAGGCCAACCAAAGGGAATCACGCGGAGGGAGGTGTGCAATTTTTATCTTCTAGCGGCGAATAAGGCTGTAGAAATCATTTCAGTGGTATGCGAGGCGAGGGAGGCGAAAAAACTTACATCGCGAAATTCTAGCGCGTTGCCAGTTAGCCAACCTTGAGTGTATTGGTACGGTGTAATAAACGGAGCCACAAAGGTTTGACTCCGAGTCTTGCACTGGCTGTGGGCACAGACAGTGATATGATAATGACTGAATTGCAGGGAGCCTTCTTTCCGTACTTTCGTCGTAATCAGCTGTAGTCAGCTGCGAGATGTGCTTCAGATTTGCAGAGATAGCATGCGTAGTGACACACCCTCTCGTCCAATGAAAGGCCCACAACACAGCCAACTACAACCTGCTGCAGCGATCCAGCCAACAGGACAAAAAGATACTGATAATGGTAATAATAACAACCCAACTCTATTCTCCCGTCGTCTTGTTTCATTCTCCACCTGATGGCCACTTTAATGGCCACACCATGACAATCCCAGGACGAAGGCAGGTACCGCGGCCCGTTAATCACACCCCCCCTTTGCCCGGGTCGGCTTCCCACGGATCTCTTCGCCGTATGCCGTCAAGTACCTTTTGCGTAGTAGCACTATACAAACTGTACACTATTTTCCTTCCTTCGTAACCGCACACCTCTCGCACCGCCGCCCGCCCCTGCCTTTTTTTCCCTTCCTCAATCCGCCATCCGCCTCTCTCGCTCTCTCTGACCACCAGCAAACGGCCGCCTCCCCAACATTCTAGACCTACTTATTCTCCATTTCCCCGGTTTCCTCTCTCCTTCCTCTCCTCCTACATTCCCTCTGTTAACCTCTCTCAATCTTCAACCTCCCCTTGGAAAAGGCTATACTGGTCCTCTGGTCTTCTCACACTCGTCAACCGAGTTTCAACACTAATACGTGCTCTCCTCAACGCCCGTATACACCTCCCTCTCCCTCTCCCTCAAACACACATACATACACACATCAAAATCATCATGGGATCTCTCGGTGGTGAGACTACTACCCTTCCTTGGGTCAAGACGCCCTGCGTCTACAGCACTGCTGTTTCTCGTGCCGTTGGCTGGTAAGCTCTTGTCCCGCCGTCGACTTACAAACCCGCTAACAAGCCTCAGCAACATCTACCTCAAGCTCGACAACCTCCAGCCTTCGGGCTCCTTCAAGTCCCGCGGCATTGGCAACCTCATGACCCGCGCCGTCGCCCACCACCCCGGCAATGTGCACTTTTACTGCGCCTCTGGTGGCAACGCTGGCCTCGCCTGCGCTACCTCGGCCCTCGCCCTTGACCGGCCCTGCACTGTCGTTGTCCCCCTCACCACATCTGACTTTATGAAGAACAAGCTCATCGCCCTCGGCGCCCGTGTCGAGCAGGTGGGCAAGAACCTCTTCGCTGCCGAGCAGTACGTCAAGCAAGAGCTCGTCGCCAACGATCCGGATGGCGTTTTCGTCCCGCCCTTTGATCACCCCGATATCTGGGACGGCGCCGCCAGCCTCATCCCCGAGCTACGCGACCAGATGGACGTGCCCATGGACGCCATCGTTTGCTCCGTAGGCGGTGGCGGCCTCTTCAACGGCCTCATGCAGGGCATCGAGACCTTCCCCTGGTCCGGCAGCAAGCCCCATGTCGTCGGCGTCGAGACCGCTGGCGCCGACTCCCTCAACGCCTCCCTCAACGCCAACGAGCACCTCACCCTCCCCGAGATCACCTCCATCGCCGTATCCCTCGGCTGTTCCCGCGTCTCAGCCCAGACGTGGAAGTGGGCACACTACCCCAACACCCACAGCATGGTCGTCTCCGATGCCGACGCCGCCATGGCCTGCGTCCGCTTTGCCGACGACGCCCGCCTCCTCGTCGAGGTCTCCTGTGGTGCCGCTCTGGCTGCTGCTTACCGCGGCGACCTCCGTGCTTCCATCGGAAAGGGCCTCTCTGACGCCGAGTGGGCTGAGAAGAACGTTGTCCTGATCGTCTGCGGCGGCTCCGGTGTCTCTCTGCAGCTCCTCGACCGCTACGTTCAGGAGTACGGCCCTCACTCCGCTATCAAGGTCTAAGGGACACATGCTCAGCATCCATGATATACATTATCGTTCAAGGGCTCGGCCATCTTCACGACATTTCGACGACAAATCTCTCAGCAACTGCGACCTCTTTTTGAATATTTCAACTAATGACAAGAGATTATCTCGGACGACATTTATTCGGAGCCGCAAGGCATCGCGCAACACCCGACGACAACCGTCTCACTTTGTGCTCCCAACAGCACCAAAACTTCCCCCGGTTTGGAAAGAACTTTTAGAGAAAGATTTCCTGTTTTCTTGTTTCTCCGCATCTTTTTTGTGTGTCTGCGAGACACAAAAAATCACTGGCAGGCGTTTTACATTGCTTTTGTTTTTGCTTTCATCTTAGGTATTAATGCGGACAAAGACCGTTTCAGAGTCTTGGATTTAAATGTCGCGGTTTAACTACTACGAGCATTTCTGGGACCAATGTTTCCATACTCACTCAGCATCTTCATCTGCAGGGCTGGACCCTCAGAAGCACTTCTTTCTGGCATTTACGACACGGAGGACCGGAGGATACACAAAAGATACCCATTTGTTTTACGAGTTACGATATAGAGATACCCCCATAGAGAGAGAGGACATGGTCTGATGGAGGAATAGACCACAACGAGAGACTTTCGCGGGGTCTGAAACATGGCCTCGCAAGATTTTTTTTTCCTTTTGGAATTTCTTCTTCTATTTAGTTAATAAAGGTGAAGACCGCGTAGAAATGTGTTGTAAGCTGCCGATCCAAATATTCTCTTGATGAAAAGGGAATCTAGGATGGGTGGCTTTTGTGTCCGTCGTTGATGACGGCGCAAGCCTCTTTCAATATCGGCAGACAGCGTAATATTTAACCTTGAACACCACTTTTTTGCGTACGTGTCCCTGTTGGTATCTAGGTAACGCCGGGGAGGAGGGAACGAGATAGCAAGATCGCCGGAAGGGGAGGGAGGGGGGAGGGGTGTTATCGGTTCAAGCCGAGAGTGCGGGTGGCGATGCTCGTGCTTGGAAATGCTAAATCGTGTTGCATCCGGGTATCTTTTGTTTTTTGTTGTTTTTAATAAACGCGATCAAGTTGGACCGGGTTCGAGATAAAGACTTGTGTATGACGCTGATAACGCATGCGCCGGAAGCAGATAGCATGCGTGCCTCGAGAGAAGGTGACTCAGAGCCGCCGTCACCGCTTGCGATGCAAGACGGCTGAACTAAATTCGTATCCCAGGACGACAAAGGGGAAGTAAGCGGTATCTTGTTGGTTGCACCAGAAATAGAAACACGAGATATGTAGATAACGACTCGCAGCCCTTTGATTGTTTGCGTCTCGGACGCTCTGACTCAGACTCCTTATCACGGCGGCGCTTGATAGCTACCCGCGATCCCGCGGCATGCATCCGAGACAAGCATTCCGTTTGCACATGTTCATATGTTCATCTCACCAAAAAACCGTATCAAATGTATCAAATGTTTCAAAAATGGTATCATCGTATTCATCATCGTAAAAAGAAAAGAGGACAAGGAACACAGCCCAACTGCTGCGCCGCGCTCACCGCCCCGATAACCTCGTCGCACCGCCCCTTGGCCCTCGTCGCCCTCCCCGTCCTCGGCCCCTGGACGCGGCGGCCGGGCGATGCTGCCCGCGCGCCGCCTTGCGCTCGTCCACGTACCCCTGCATCAGCCGCTGCAGGTCCGGGTTCTTGCGCGCCAGCAGCAGCACGTCCTCCGTGGTGACGGTGCTCCGCCCCGCGTGGTTGGCGAACGACTCCAAGTCGATCGCGACGTTTTCTAAGACCGTGACCGCCGTTAGCACAACAGTCGTAACTCTTCTCCTTCCTGTTCCCCGTATCCAAGAAAAAAGAAAAAACACAAACTGCCTCGGATGCAGACGAGGAAGGGCACAGGAAGACGTCGAGCGAAGCGAGGAAAAAAAAAAAAAAAAAAGGAAGGTGAGGGCGCCGATGAATTGGGGAGTCGCGTTGCGGTTGCGTCGGAGACACTCCTCGTCGACGATTTGCCCGACGGCGTACCAGAGCGCCGACTTGAGGCGCTGTTGTCCACGGCGAACATTAGCCAGCTGTTGCGAGTTCCCGCGCGTAAAACCTGGCAAGCTCTGTAGAGGGGCTGTTCTTACGTCTCTGTCGTCTTCCATAGTGTCGGTCATTTTTTCTATTTACCGGGTTTGCGCGACGTTGTCGTTGCGGCCTTTGGTGTTGAAGCGTGGTTGATGTGAACCGCAAGTTCGCGACGCGTTGGGAACGTGCGTGGGTCAACCCAACGGGTCGTCCTATGAACACAGCGATCTTGAACAGCAACGACTAGCAATAACATTTTCACCTTTTCTCAGGTCTCAGATGGAAGCGAAAATAATCATTTAAATGTGACGGTCTATGCCTACGTACATGTAGCATTTATATGCACAAAATCCTCTTCATCCCTCCTTAGCTCGCTGGCGGGGTGCCTCTTCCAGCCGGAGGTGGTGGGGGCGGGACCGGCGACGGGGACGGGGATGGGGACGGGGATGGGGACGGGGACGGCGCCACGGGCGCCTTCTTCTTGTATACCGACAGACGGTTCGAGCCGCCGCAGTACTGCACGTTGCTGCCTCCGCACAGCATACCGCAGTCAGTCTTGGGCGAAGCAGCCGACGACGTCGCCAACGCGTTGCCGCAGTAGCACTCCCGACCGTACTCGGTGCCAAAGTACTCGTAGTCCTTGCAGAAGGTCGCGCAAACCTCGTTGGTCATGTTGTCCGCCGCCGTGGATGCACCGGCCAGCGCGCGCGTGTTGTTGCCCTCGGTCTGGCAGCCGACCAGGGAAAAGTCGCCCGCGGCCGGGGGCTGCTCCGGGGCACCGCCGGCGATGTTGGGGTTCATGTAGAGCTCAAGGCGGTTGCTGGCGCCGCAGTACTCGAATTGGTCGCCGGCGCAGAGCATGTTGCAGTCGGCGAGCGGCGCGGCCTTGCTGTCGTCGGCGAGGTAGCTGCCGCAGTGGCACTCGCTGCCATACTCGGTGCCGAAGTAGCGGTAGGCCTTGCAGAAGTCGGCGCACTTCTCGTTGGTCATGCTCGGGGACGAGGTGCCGCCGTTGTTGAGGGCGCGGTTGGTGGCGCCCTCGGCCCAGCACCCGACCATGGTGTACGGCGCAATGGTTGGCTTGTGCGCGAGCGTGCCCGTCGGAGTGGTGATGCTGACCGTGGTCGAGTATAGCTCGAGTCGGTTGCCGGCACCGCAGTACTCGGACGGGTCACCGCCGCAGACCATGTTGCACTGGTCGATCGGCACGGCCGCGGAGCCGGCGCCAAGCGAGTTGCCGCAGTAGCCTAGAGCACGTTAGTCAGGGTACGAGCTGGTTGGTGTGGAAGGAGAGAGGATTCACATTCGCGGCCGTATTCCGTGCCCCAGTAGTTGTAACCATGGCAGAATGCCATGCACTTCTCGAGCGTCATGGCATCGTCGGCTGTAAATGCGCCTGACAAGGCTCGGACACTGCCTTCTGCCCAGCAAGACTGCAGGTTGTAGCCGCCGAGCGCACTCTTGTGGGTTGGAGCGGGAGGGGGAGTAGGCGAAGGAGTAGGCGTCGGGGTCGGCGTGGGAGTTGGCGACTGAGACGCGGCCAAACCGGCCAGACCCAGCAAGGCCAGAGCCAGAGACTTTGTCATTCTGCCAGATGTGCAAGGAAGAGCAGAGCAAGAATTGAGAGGAAGAGGCGTCACGGCGACCGAGCTATGAGTGGTGAATGTGCTTGGATCGGTGTGGAAGACGAATCTGAGGAGGAAGCGAGAGGCATTGGGTCTTTATGTAGATGGGCAAGCGCTGCGAGAAGGTGAGCAGCAACACGGATATGGAAGGTGGTGTTTGGAGTCTGCATGCATATTGATGAAGTCAGCAGTGAGATTGCAGTCGAAGCTGCCTGTGCGCGACGCGTGGGCGCCGGTGCAGAGCAACAATAGCCATCTGCATGTCTGGTTGCATATTCAGGCGCCACTTCCTCCATTCATATGAGGCAGCACGGACTCAGAGCTTGTCGTCAGAGCATAGCGGAGGGGTGATGGAGGTGAACGGACGGGGCGTCGGCTGAAACGGGTGCTGATGCCAAGTTCTGATCCCGGATCGGGCGGGGAAATGGACGGGTGGGCTGAGCTTATGGCAAAGCCAAGCTGATGGATTAAATGAAGTGCATGAGGGCTGATGATGTTGTTTGGCTGAAGAAGTCGCTGTTTGTCTCTGGGTTGAGGAACTGTACCCCTGTCAGGTACCATAGTGGACCTCAGGGACCTCATGGACCTCAGGGACCTCAGGTTTTTCTGAGCACATCCTCACGCAATCACAATGCATTGTTGCTTGGAAGTACCTAGGTACTATCAAGGCGAGAAAATTGCAGGTGAGAAATTCCAACTACCAAGAAAATTCCACAATTACCATAGAAATATCGCGTGTTTAGCTTGAATTCCCTTCGGTGTGCCTTGTGTTGCAGTGCAACCTCTTGCCGTTGGCTGCACGTCTTGGTCGCATCAGCTTGCTAGGAGCTCCCCCCTCAACCTGTTTGCCACATTTTTCCCTCCTCACCATGCCTTGAATTGCCATCTCTTTGGCTACCAGCTACATCCTATGTAATCCTCCAGCTCCTTCCAGCTGAAAGCAATATATTGCAATGCTGAGAATTCGCTCAAATTCACCGCCGACTGAGCCGACCCCTGCAACGCGGGTCCATCCCGTCTGCATCGATAGGGACCTAGATTGCAATAGCTCAGATCCGTCCCGCCACGCCGCCACCGCCGCCGCTGCACGCCGGCCGACCGAGCTGACGCGCTGCCACCTGACAAGATCAACACATTGGGTGGTCGGACGCCAATATTAGCTCACGGCAATGCATTCGCTCCTCAGCGCTGCAATCTACTCCTACTAGACCTCCGCCCACAGCATGCGAACTGTCTCGCATCCACTACCAAACAGGCAGTCTATGTATTCGATGCAACATCAACGGCCATGCATCGCCCCAATACTATTACCAATGGCTTGCAAAAGTTCATTCGACGAATCCAAATGAGGCGACCTTGCCTCGCCCCTGTCTTGCCCTTGCCTTGACCGTCAGCAACGAACGTCTTCTTGGACAAACTCGCCCGTCTCGGCAACTTGGCAGCTGGGCTTTCTACATACATGCACAACGAACTGCACTGCCCCAGAGCTGCTGACATGCTGTGCCGAGACTCGTCGGAGGAACGAGAGTACAGTACTGCTTCCAAAAGTCGAATACTGACTTACCATCCTTGAAAACTGGCTTCACTCGACGTCGCTGCTGTCCTGTCTCTCCAAATATCGTCAGAGACCTCATATTGCACCCTACTTGCATCGACGGCGGAGCGTTGAACCCAGGCCCGCGCAGAAAATACTACCAGATCACCGTCCAAACTGCCACTGAGAGCTAAAAAGGAGACAGATTATCATGCGAGTCACTGCTGCAGACCCGCTCAAGGTCCCCTCCTGTCTGCTGGCTGCTGCTGGCCGGGGCTGGCAGGGCAAGGCAAATTAATCAATGGTGCATTCATTCGCATCGCATCTGCCGGTCGCAGAGGGGGCGACAGCTTTCGCGTTTTCTCCTCCATATGCGCATGCATGAGCGAGCTGTTGCAGGAGAAATCATGGAATGGCAAAAGCAGCATCGAGTTTGGGCGGATGGGGGACTCAGCTGTGCGCAAACTCGTGGAAAGACAGGATGAAAATTCAAAGCTGACACCAGGATGGACGCTGTCACGAGGGGCTATGTTCTTAACAGAATTGCAACGCTTCAGAGCTTTTGCATTTTTTCAGAGCTCCTAATCCCAAAGATTCCAAAAACTGTCTAGTATTAGCATTTCCGTCCTTCACCTACCACCTGATACGCCATTTCTTGCGAATTCTATCCGTACAGCATTTTCAGTTCTACTCACTGAACTGCTATTTCTCGCTCACTGGAAACCCTTTTGTTGGGCGCTGACTTGCCTTCATGCTGATTGGCCAAAATCGCGTCAGGCTGGCAGCCCCAAGACAGTGCACCTGCCACTTGGCCCAAACAGGTAAAGCGTCGTTCGTCTTCGTTTGTCAGGCTCATGGCAGGCTCGGAAGATGCTGGGAGGGCGGCCCTACTGCAGGCTCCTTTGCACACAACAGCCTTGTCCAGGTCTCCTTCACTTTAGATTTCTTCTCTATGTGAGTGTCGAAAGCAAGCGAAGAGCGAAACACCCGAAAATCCCGCAGCCTTGGGCGCGCAGAGTTGCAAATCTTGCCGACAACTGCACGACTTGTCACGACTTACATCATCGTCTAAGGATCGACACACACATCGTAGCGTCCCTGCAATGTGGTCACGTCGGGCTGCATTGACCCCCTTGCTCTTCGCACTCCAGCACATTGCGGCATCCTCCGCGCCAGATTCACCCAACAGTGTCGAGTCGACACAGGCTGCTGTCCCTTCGAGAAGTCTCCTAGATATTTCGCCGCGAATTACAGACTCTCCTATCCTGGACCCACGGGGGTTGGCTGGTCGCGCCAATGTCTATGAGAGAAATTCGAATACCTGTGCATTCTGGTCTGATGGTGTGTTGCGCCTGCCGTTCATCCGCGAGAAAGAGACTGACAACTCTAGGCGACGCGTTCACATGCGATAATGACAATGCTACGTGCGTATATGGCTCCAAGTTTGCTGCCTGCTGCGATGTTGGCACCACCTGCAGCAGCATTCACACGGGCTGCTACAACCTTAACGAGTCCCGGCGAGGAAGTTGCCATCCGACCAAGTTAAAGACTGAGCCTCAAATGGCATGTTGGCAAGTCTTACACTACATTCATGGCGCAACCAGTCAGGCCGCTAACAGGCGCATGCAGCAACACAGTTACTGCGCCCAGTTGTGTGCTTCACACCCTGCTAATATCTTCAACATCACTTAGTATGTGGGCTTGTGCGGCGAACACGGAAGGAAAAACATTATACGCGACGAACCCGTCCTTGAAAACAACCTCAGAGAGCGAATCGTCCACGACTACAACGTCAGCAACCAGCACAGATAGCGGCACTGCGGACCATGGCGGTGGTGGGAAAAGCTCCCCCAACATCGGCGTTATTGTTGGTGCCGTTGTTGGCGGCGTCGGCGGCCTTGCTATCATTGCGGCAACCATCATTTTCTTCGTGCGCAGCCGCAAGCAGAGCTCTGCTGGGAACAGTCCTGGCACAGCTGCCGCCGCCCAGCCCATGCTTCGGCACCAGCAGAGTCCTCCGCTCGGCCAGGGCTCGCCATTCGGATTTCACCCCGACGGAGGAGGTGCCCCTTACGACCCGAGCACGGCTTACCAGCAATACCAACGGTCGCCTCAGCATTCACAAAGTCCGTACGACCCGCATCAGTCGGGCCATGTGAGTTGGGCGGCTTCGAGCTGGGGTCAACCATCACCGGGGCTGGCTTCGTCGCTTGGTCCTGCGGCTTCTGTCGCTCCAAGCTCGAGCACTCCCGGCGCCCCCAGCCCGGGACAGCAACCTAGCCAGTCTGGCCAGTCTGGTCAGTCTTCGCAGTCAAATGCCATTGGTACACCCGAGAACCGGGCGGAACTGGGCTAAGAGGACGGCATTGGAATATAATGAACATAACGAACATAACGAACATAACGAGGCCTTTTCATCTTTTTTCACTGCATTGCACATAACTCATTCATAAACATATTCCCCATGTATAGAAAACCTACTATGTAGTTCTGGATCGAGAGAAGCAACCAGCCGAGCCAGCCGAGTCCATCACATGTCTTTGTTTTGTACTGAAGCGTGGCTCAAGGCTCTGGTCATAATGTGTTGGAGGGGAAGGAGATGGAAGCGGTGGCGGAGGACTTCATCGGCGCCGTTGAATCGACTTCAACCGATGCGGAGGGCATGTGCGTTGCAGTGCTGCCAGGAAAACCCGGCGATGGAAGCCCATTCGGACAAGGACCCGGACGCTGAGCGGATGCGCATCCAATGTTGGTGCAGGTTGGACCACTTGACAAGCGAAGCAGATCCCTTCGGCTATATGTCACGGAACAATGGTCGAGTCCGCGCACCCGGCGTGTTACAGAATAGGCCCCTCGCCTTACTCGAAGAAACAGTTAACGTCTGCTTTTTTGACCGGACCGCTCGAGCACATGTCAAAACGCCACCCAACTTTCAAGAGTCCCGTCAAAGGCGGGGCACGCGTTCCCCCGGAAAGCCGTTGGCGATGGTCTTCGGCAAAACCTCTCATAACCGAACGAATCATGCGCCGTAATACAAGGTGGCTATATTATGCGTGGTCGAATGGAGAGCAACTAATTACTAGTATATAAATGAGCATCGGGTTTCCACTTCCCCAGGTTTTTCCCAACCCACTTGCACAGCACGCTACCTAACCCACGAGGCGCCGGCCGGCCGTGTCTTATCACCAAGAGTCCCGCTTACTTCCGCCCACCCGCCACCATGACTGCCGTCGACACGGCCCTGCGCGCCCGCACCACCGCCGTCACAGCAGCCACCCCGGTTGCCGAGACGACAAAGTACAAGAAGCCTCACATCTATGAGACCATCGAGGAGCCCACGCTGCTGCGCGAGCTCCTCCTCGACGACATCTACGTCCTCGGCGGGCAGTTCGCCATCCTGTGCCAGTGGGCGCACCCGGGCCTCGCCATCGGCACCTACAAGCGCTCGAACTTTGCGAGTCGCGTCGCCAACCGGCTGAAGACGACGCTGCGCTTCATGAACGCCGCTGTCTACGGCACCCGCGAGCAGCAGGAGGCCATCTTCTCCGTGGTCCACCGGTACCACGCGCCCGTCCGCGGGGAAAACTACGACGCCAACGATCCGGAGTTGCACAAGTGGACCGCCGCCACGCTTTTCGTCGCCTTCGTCGTCATACACGATCTCGTGTTCGGTCCGCTGCCGCGCGCCGCCCAGGAGCGGCTGTTCAAGCAGTCCGCCGTCTACGGCACGAGCCTGCGCATGCCCGCCGAGATGTGGCCCGAGACCCTGGACGATTTCTGGGCGTACTGGGACCACAACATCGCTACGCTTAAGGTTACGGACGAGGCGCGCAGCCTGGCGCGGGACCTGCTGTGGCCGGTGAACCTGCCGCTGGGGCTCACGGCGCTGTCGCCGCTCGCGCGGCTCGTCACGGCCAACGTGCTGCCGGAAAGGCTGGCGCGCGAGTACGAGCTGGAGCCGTCGGCGGCGAGCAGGGCGCTGTTCGGCACTGTCGCCTACGGCATGGCCACGGTGTATCCCATGCTGCCGCTGAGCATACGCCAGAGCAAGCACGCTGGGAGCATGGGCGACCTGGAGCGCGCGGTCCAGAGGATCAAGGAGACGGGACATTGGGTCGGGACGCCGACTGCGTAAATCGGAAAGCATTTTTCACGACATTTTCTGAAGTAACGTCACGGCCTGCATTAGCTCTTCTTTTCATGTGTTTTTAGATTACCGCCATTGCGAGATTCGAGATATTGGCATTTATTAATTAAAGAACGCTGCTTTTCGCATAGTCGACCCCTGCACCCTAACGGTAGTCTGGCTACGAGCGAAGAAGTCCAAGTGCCACCGATAACAGAACATCACGTCGTACTGCGTCCAGCGCCATTCCATTGACTACGAACTACCCACTCTCGCTCCGAGGAACAAGATGAGCGGCTTTAGTAGCTAGGGTGGAGGCTGTATTAATTAATACATTGGTGGATGCCTCATATCGCGCTGTTGCGTTTATTGTCCCATTCAACGGCCACTTGCAGCGCCGCTTGGATCGCCTTGGGCCCGTCCTTTTCAATGGCGGCTCGGTAATACCCCTTGGCACCGTCTGAGAGCAGATCCCGCGGCCTGCCGTCCTCGACGAGCCTGCCGGCGTCCATGACAAGCACGCGGTCCATCCAAGCCAGGGAGCTGGCACGGTGCGCAATCGTGATGACGGTGGTGGATGCGGGCAGGTCCTGCCACGCGCCGCTGCAGGGCGTCGTCGGAAGTAAAATCATACCGGTTCGGCCGACAAGGCCAACTTTTTCCCCCTTGCTTAATCCAAAGGTCGATACCATCCAGAGCTGGGGTCTCACGCGTTTTGTACTTGAGATACGCATTTTCCATGCTGATGGTGTTATTCTCGGGCCAACTCCCCAGTTCATTTTCGCGCTCCTGCGCCTCATCCCCGGGGCGCCGCCTATCTTCACACGGGATGCCCTCATACTAAGTCTGCAGGCGCTCTACCGAGTTGAGCTGAATGTCCAGATCCGTGGCAGCCCAGGCGAGCAGGTAGACGTTGCGCGCAAGGGTCGTCGCCGTGCCAAGCGCGAGACTGGCGCTGACATGGGGAAACACGCCGTGCACGGTGAGCTGCGCGAGAACGAGTAGAACTGTAGCGCGCGGCTATTTTCGGAGCGAAAGGTGACCCAGGTGTCGAGCGAGGAGCGGGATATTTTTGGAGGAGGCGAGACGATCGAGGGCGCGACCATGGCGGCGGACGAGGAATGGGATAGCCCCGTAAGCGCGAGCGGAGGAAGTTGCGCGCAGAGACTCGCTGGCAATGGAGAGCGCAGGAGACTGCAGGACAGAGTCGAGGCTTTGAAGTTCTCGCGCGGCACTGCGGATGATTAGTGGTAGTTGGAATTATCGATCAGTTGGGACTTACACTCTGAATCGTTGGAGACACCAGCCGACAATGATCAGGAGTGGGACAACAGCACCAAATAAATAGACGCCATACGACGCTACAATCGTTACTGAAGCCAGCATTGTGGTCCCCGCAGCAAGCAGTCGGTCGATGGCGTTCATCAGTCTGCTGTCCATCGAATCCAAGTCTCGCGACATGCGATTCAGAATACGTCCCGTTGGGTTCTGCTGAAAGAACCACAGAGGAGCACCTAGTAAATTGTTCAAAATCTGTTCATGTACTCGTCTCGCAGCCCGCAAGCTACTGCCCACGAGCGTTATCCCGACCACGGCGGTGGACGAAGCCTTGGAACAGTGTCAGCCCAAGGAAGATGCCCATGTACTGGCTCTGTGCGAGGCTAAACGTGTCGGCGATCCACCACACGAACCAGTATTGCGAGACCACCTTGGCGGCAGTGAGCATACAGGTCATGAACGCGACGGCGACAGCGTGCGCAGTGCCACCGGACTGACGTATGTAGAAGTCCAGGACTGAGAAGCGGACTGCGCCGCGGGCACGCTCTTCTTCTTGCCAGAAGCTATCGAGAGGGGTGTTGCTAGCGTCAGCCGAAAAATCGGGCGGCGGTGTTGGGTTGGTGGGTGATTGATGTCGTGGTGGGAGGGTTCAGATTTGTTCCAGCCTCGCCAACCGCAGCGTGCTCAACCCCACCAGGCAGCTTTGAAAAATCATTATCCAGTCCGCAGCCGCGAACCACGGGTTGATACCTTTGACGATCAAATCCTCTAGTACTGTTGAAGACGATGCTGTCGCCGAGGTCGCCTGAGAGAATCCATGGGTCTTGAGAGCAATATGCCACGGAGCCATTGACGACACATGAGCCGTTGGAAATTATCATCTCACCGAGTATTGATTGTAGTAGCGACGATTTTCCGGACCCATTAGGTCCAATTACGATCGTTGTCTTGCCGCGGGGAATATCGAGGCTTCCGACTTGGAGCGAGGTTGGGGTGGCATCTCCCTGGCAGGGCCATTCAAACGAGGCACAGTCAAAAGTGGTGGCGGCAGACGAGCTGTCAGAGGAATCTTTGGAATTGACTTGTGACTCAGACGCTATAAGCAAATCTCGCACACGACCAAGTGAGGGCTTGACAGAAAATTAGCGTGAAAGAGTGAGCGAAGCGAGAGTGACGGGCTGGTACAGAAGCTGGAAGTACGTGAGACATGGAAAAACGACATCGGCAGTCAGCGTCTTACCGGCCATGGCATATGTCAAAAAGGAGGCGCAAGCTGCAAGGTACGGCGTCGTTTGGTTGATGGCGGTAAACATGGCAAACGAGGTTGTCAGGTAGTAACGCAACACTCCAAGCTCATCATTGCGAGCCGCGGTGATTTTGTCTTGAAACAGATCCTCCATGGTGCTCGCCTTGACACTCTTGACATTGTTGAGCATGTCTCGCAAAAAGCCGATGCGTCTGTCGTTGTGCGTGATGTAGCTACCGATCGACTTGCCAAGACGTCTGCCCAAGCTCGTCTGCGAGATGAAGATGGCAAACACCAGCGCGAAGCCCACGCAGCTCGTCCAGCCGGGTGTAGGATGAGCGGCGCGCCCAGAGAAGCCGTGAAGCTCGCGATCTGGTGTGGCAGGGTTAATTGGCGATGGCTTGAAGCTACGGAGGAGGTTGACCGACCTCGAGGACGGCGCCGAGGAGGAGCATGCCTCCAATCTCGAACTGCAGAAGAAATGGCCGCAAGCCGCCCGCTTCATCTTGGGAGGAGGCCTGAACAGCGCGCGCAGGGCCGCCGCATCGCGTCGAAACTGCGGCAGCCAGTCCTGCTCAATCTCGCCGGCCCGGTTGACGCGCGCAATGAGGAAGCCTACCGAACAACAGGCCGTACCGGATTCCTCTGCACATTCCAAACCTGAAACGCAACCGCAACACCGAAAAGTATTATGAGAGGCGCTCCTGCTCAGTTCTGCTGACGCAAAAAGATTTGAAAAGGGTTTTTGAACCTGTGGTACAAAAGATCCTCATGGTGATTGCCTACCAAGTGGAACGTGCCGAGGAAGAAGGAGTGGTAGATATTGACACCATCGCGCTGGTGGGTGGCTTCGGATCCTCCCCTTACCTTGCGGAGTCTATTCTGCAATGGTGTTCAGAAAATGGCATCCGCTTTACTACGCCGGTTTCTGGAGCCTAAGTAGCGATGAAATGGTCAATTGTATGGGCGAACTGATGCTAACGAGATGTCAAGATGGGCTGCAATCGGGCGCGGGGCGGTCCTGCGAGGCCTCGAGGGCTACATTGTTCGGGAGAGGAAGTACCACCGACACTATGGCTTCGAGATGCAACATGCCTATATTCCCTTCAAGCACCAGAGCTATGACCGCAAAAAGAGAAGGGTCTTTGAGGATCCGTTCGATGGACTTGATCGCTTGAGTGGATTTCTACAGTGGCAGATGAGAAAGGCACGTTTTGACACCCTAAGATCTTTGGGTCCCAGTCCTCTTCCACCTTTGGAGCAAACCCTCGATGTCCATTTTTTGCTCAGACGTAAGAAAAACACCTTCTTCTAAGGGATCGCCACAATAGTCTGGCTCAAAATCTTCCGGCTTCGCGAGTGCAAAGTCCACTGCAGCTCCCGACATGGCCCATATGTTCAGGCAATGCCATTGCGCGTCAAGAACAGCCCGCATTTTGAGTGCCTCATGAAGCTTCAATTCAAACTCGGCTCGGTGACCACTCATGACGCAACGGCCGTCTTTGTCTCGGAAGATTTGGTGACCTTCCAAAGGCTTCGGTAAGAACCTGTTCCTAGCCATTTCGGACAAGCGTATCGTGGTTGAGCTTGAACTTGTCGTTGGCACCAGCCAAGGATGTGGCAGACCTCGACAGGCTTCAAATGCGTGAAGATGCATTTTTTTTCCTTGTCCCTCTCGAGAGACTAATAACGTACGCAGTTGGTTTATAGAGATATCCTGTAGTATGAATCTGGAAACGCTGCTTTTGCAAAGGTAGTCAATTTTGACTGTGCGAGGCACCACCGCTAGAGGCACCACTAGAGGCTCTATTGCGCTCGCAAAGCTGCCGTCGAGGCCAACGCTATGCCAGCGATAATAGTGATGGCGATGATACTAACAATACTCATGATACTAATGGTACTAATGGTACTAATTATACTGCCCATACTGATGAGAGCGATGATAGTGATGATAGTGATGATAGTGATGATAGTGATGATAGTGATGATAGTGATGATAGTGATGATAGTGATGATAGTGATGATAGTGATGATAGTGATGATAGTGATGATAGTGATGATAGTGATGATAGTGATGATAGTGATGATAGTGATGATAGTGATGATAGTGATGATAGTGATGATAGTGATGATAGTGATGATAGTGATGATAGTGATGATAGTGATGATAGTGATGATAGTGATGATAGTGATGATAGTGATGATAGTGATGATAGTGATGATAGTGATGATAGTGATGATAGTGATGATAGTGATGATAGTGATGATAGTGATGATAGTGATGATAGTGATGATAGTGATGATAGTGATGATAGTGATGATAGTGATGATAGTGATGATAGTGATGATAGTGATGATAGTGATGATAGTGATGATAGTGATGATAGTGATGATAGTGATGATAGTGATGATAGTGATGATAGTGATGATAGTGATGATAGTGATGATAGTGATGATAGTGATGATAGTGATGATAGTGATGATAGTGATGACAGTCCTGAGCAATGACTATGCAGTGTTTATCAAAGTTTCTCACCTATTTTCTTTGTGTCTCATTGCGCCGTACTCTATCTTGCTCCTCGAGAGCATTAGTAGGCTGCAGCTCCTGGCCTGAACTCCCGAGCGAACTCTTTACCTTTCCTTTCTCATCAGGGTTTTTTATGAGCCTGTTGGTAGAAGGTCAAGCAGTAACCTTATTTATTCTTTTATTTTTTTTTATTGTTTACTATCCTCTCTATCTTTTTATACTATATTCTTTTATTCTTTTATTCTTTCGATACTCTCCAGAACCGACGTCGCCAGCCGTGAGAAGTAGCCCTCCGACGTCAGCGCAATATCTGCCATGGGGCTTGCCAAGATCTGCTCGTCCAGCAGCAGCGCGCGAGCTTCCGCCCGCATCTCTGGCAAGGGACTCCAGACGCTGGCAATCTTGAGCCCCGGGAGGAGCATGAACGGTCGGAGCTTGCTGCTCGGCGGGGAGTGGCCTTGCGCGTCGGAGCTGGCTGCCTCCAAGATGACGCGGGAGTCCTCGGCCGCGGTGTCGGGTACGTCGGTCACGCCGGTGGCGGACGCCAGCTGAGAGACAATGACCCGGCCGGCGTGGAAGAGGGACAGGAGAGCTGCTTCCGGAAGGCCAGGTCCTGTCTTCGAGCTCAACTTGACGATCAACTCATCCCCTCGAGGATTGCCGACATGAGGAGCAGGTCGCAGCAACGGAATGTACTTTTCGTTCCACGCAGACAGCTGTCCTGCCGCATCCTCCACCAAGGATCCCACGACTGTAGAAATATCAGAAATATTGAAAGATAAATCGAGGGTTTCGACTTGCTGCTGAACTGTGAATAGACACCGCTGCACCGCAAACAGGGCGTCTACCAGCTCGTCAAACAGCGTCCCTCTCTGCTCGCGAAACGGCGCCTCCAGCCACGGCGGCCGCGCAAACGCGTGCAGCGTGCCGTCCTGCATCGACGCGAGGAAGACCTGAAAGCGGAGGTGGCTAAATACCGCCCGCACAAACCCACCACCACTGTCCGTCCCCACGGCCTCCGGGCCGGCCGCGCGGAGCAGGGCGGCCGCGCCGCGGACGTGCTGCACCCAGGCGTCAGGCGCGGTGCCGGCCCACGTCTCAAAGTGGATGAGCATGACCGCCGCGCAGAGGGCCGTCTCGAGCGGTTGCTGTCGGCTGTCATTGATGGAGCGGCCCAGCTGAGCGAGGGCGGTGGCGTACCACCGGTACGAGTCGGCACGGATGACCTCGTCGCATGCCCAGGTGCCGTAGCTCAGCATGGAGGCGGAGCGGATCGACGCCGTGGCCAGGGCGCCGTCGCGGCCGCGGCCGAGGAAGGAGGGCAGCGTCTCGAGCCAGGTGGGGGGTCCTCCGACGACGGCGCCCCCGGGAAGGCCGAAGGACTCGACAAAGTGGGCGAGGAAGAGCCGGTCCCAGGCGGCGGCGCGACAGGACGTGGCAGGGGGCGGGATGCGGGTGAGTGCCGCCGACAGCTGCTGCTGCTGCTGTTGTTGTTGTTGGGAGCAGTGCACAAAAAAGGCACCGACGCGTGGTCCAGGACAGGCGATGCGCAGGTCGAGGCAACGCTGACACTGTGGCAGGCTCAGGTCGCACTGGTTTCGCCCGCGGTTAGTCTGGCGTGATGAGGCGGAGGGGGGGGGAGGACAGGGCGTGAAGGTTGGAGCTGACTGACCTTGACCTTGCGCCGCCGGCAGGGGACGCATCCTTTGCTCCTACCAGCGACGTTTACCATGGCGGCGGCATGAGAGGTGGATTCATTTGGCGCGGATTGATGGACGGGATTGGGTGGTCATGATGGCGATGGCGATGGCGTTGATGAAGGAGGAAAGCGCCTCTCGCCAGGTCCGTTGACTACCAGCTGAGTTGTGGTTGGTTGCCTTCTCCACCGTAACCAGCAGCTGCTGTAATTGTTAGCTATCAGCCAACTTTTTGTTCCTAGATTTCTATTTTAATATTCAATTTCAAAAGACTTGCTTTTTTTTTTTTTTGTTTCTTAACGCTCGTACCGCAGCCGTCCTTGTTCGTGCGCTCACTCCCTGTTGCAGACCGAGTTAGGAGCTATGTATGTAGGCCTGTGTCTCTCGACCAACATTCGGTGTGTGAAACTTCAACCCAGAAACAATGACTAGATATATCTGAGCGCCCCAGAAACACTGTATCATATCGCCAAGAGCTTTTGAGTTGTGACGTATGCCTTTGCAGCCGCCCTGTCCAGCTGAGGTACCACATGTCTTGTGACGTGGTCAGAGCAAGGTATAAGGACCTCCCCGGAGACTCAACTCAATCTTCCTCAACAGACAAAAACCATTTTCCAAACGCATTCACCATGGCATCCGAATTTATACCTCCTAAGCCCTCCTACGAGACTCCTTGGAATGACCGCGATATCCAGGCCCGTACCGGCCGCTTCGCCGCCTCCATCACCCTCGAACGGGTCCAGGTACTGGTCAACCGCTACTGTGATAGCAAGGTCTATTGCGTCTCGTCCAAATTACGAGTTGGAACTATTTGTCTGCATCTACTCTAGATTTCCCTACGATAACCCCTACGATAACGATAAGGACTTGGTGGTTCGCATCCCCGTACCGACGATAGCCGACCGACACTGGGACATGATTCGCAGCGAAGCGGCAACACTCGCGTACGTAACCTCCCAAGCAGTAGGTGCTCTTTCCGCCGTAACAAGCTCCACGCCGTGACTCACACTCATGAAAGGTATATTGAGAAGAAGCACCCAAGTATCCCCGTCCCTCGAGTTATCGCGCACGGCAAAGACGAGCAGCTAACGGACGACTCCACGACGACGCAGTGCTTCTTCATCATCACCACCCGCATCCCCGGAAAGCCGCGCGATGACGAAATACTGGAAGGTTTGGATTTTGAGCAGCGTTTGCGCCTCGCCTCGCAGCTTGTTAGCGTGTTCACGAGCTCCAGGCCTCCAAGTTTCCCCAGACCGGGTCGCAGTACCCAGAGCCTGACGGAGTCTCTGAGTATGTCGGCCGTCACCTCTCCCGCTCGAACAACTACTTCACCGACCGCGATGGCCTGCCTCGCAAGGATCAGGAGTCCTGCAACACCGTGCGAGAGTCTGCTTCTCAGCACGTCACCAACCCCAACGAGGTACACCCCGCCGTCCTGCGCAGCTTCAAGCCCGAGGAGCGAGCGCAACTTTCTGAGGAATTCTTTGCCAAGATGGGCTCTTTGATCGTCGTGTCCCTAAGCGAATCCTTTCAAAGCCCCTTTTGGCAGGATGAGGGCGGGTTTATGCTCAGCAAGGGCTCGCTCGATATGAACACGGTCATGATCAACGGGGACGGCAACCTCAGGGGCCTCACGAACTAGGCGTGGAGCGAGATCCTCCCACGGCAACTATGCGCACCAGCCCCATGGATCCTCCAACTCGTCCAAGACGTCACCAGGCACGTGGGGCAGCCGGCGGCGGGGGCGGGGAGCCCGGAGGCCGCGATTCGGCTCGACGACGAGCTCGCGACGAACGGGCCCAGAGAGATGGAGAGTCCCTGGCCGACAACGAGCTTGTCAAGTACTGGGAGGCCAACAAGGTCGAGCTCGACGCCGCTGCCTGGCTGCGGTATCCGGCACTGTTTCTCGATGGCTACATTTCGAATGGATTTCGCCGATGGATCGGGAACCGTTCGACAATACAGCTTCCGCTGGGCCAGTAAGACCCATCCAGCAGCGGCATCGCGTCGCTGCAAGCAGAAGCGGCGGTCAGATGAGGGTGTCTTGGCCCGGCTGCTGGCAGCGACTCTGACGGCTAGCTTTTCGGTTCATATGAGAGGTTGACGCTAGAACAAAACTCGACTTGATGGTGAGCCGGCGTCCAAAGGCGGCTCGGCGCTTAAGTCCGGGAACGGCCCGCTGGTCGAAGACGCCGACAGTACCGGCGACGGACCCCGGCAGTGGGTCTCCGGTGTGAAGTGATGATTACTAGGGCAGAGGCAATGACCTACTTGATGAAGCTGCGTAGTAGAGAATGATTGCGATATGTACTGATGGATAATATTTACATGCACCAGTTGCCCGTTGACACTTATCCCAGTGTGACTTGTCATCTACCCGACTACTTCCCACGTCGCACAACTTTTCCAAACATGTACATCCCTGGGCGTTTTGACCTTGGACGAAAGACATGACCGCCTTTATTGTACTCGGAAGAAAGTTGGCAGAACCCTGCACAGCCCGCTCCTCTCGACTTCTAATTACCCCCGCCCCCGAATCCTCTGCGCCAGCGCCCTGTGCTCGCCCTCGGCGGCCGTCCTGCGCCGCTGGAGGCTCTCCATGTTGGCGCGGATCCGGTTGAGCGCGATGGAGTGGTTGTTGACGGCGGCCGAGACGACCGGGTCCGGCAGCCGGCCGCGCCGCGTGTAGCCGGCCATGTCGGCCATGGCCGCCTCGAGCATCGCGGCGGTGCGGCGCTCCTGGCCCCGCCAGTAGTCCATCTGCTGGTGCATCTGTGCGATCTGCGCCGTCAGCTCGTTGAGCCGGGCCATCTCGGCCATGGCAAGGCTTGGCTGGGGGTTCTTTGTTGTTGGGTCTGGGGATGATGGCTTAACAGCGGCTTTAGTACGGGGGGGAAGGGGGCGAATGATCCTGGGGATGCTTTCCCTTACCTGCTTCCTCAAATGAGAGAGAGAATAAAGTTTTGGAAATGTTGATGAGTGTATTTTTGTCTTCAACTCCTCTCTTTGTCCCCCCCCTCAAGGACATGTCCAACAGCTTGGCTTCCTTATATATACATCTTCTAACCCAACGCCTGACGCCGTGCAACTTGACCCCGAAGAGATGGAAAGAAAAAAAAAAACTCTTCCTTCTCCATGGCGGTGTCTCTGGTGAGGCGAGCAAATTTTGGAACCAAATCTGTTGTGAGAGGCCCGGAAATTTTTTTCCCTATAAAAAGACCCCCCCCCCAAATTGGGCGTCATGCAAAGAAGGCAAGCAACACAAGGCAAAGCTATGTTGCCTACTTTTGCCGCTCACCGTCTTGCCACCAGGTACTCCAAACACGACATTGGTCAGCGGAGGGGGGACGCCAACTAACCAATAACGGAGCAAAAGTGAGGCTGAAACGAGAAAAACAACTCCATGTCGTGACACATTTGCACCACTGCGTTGGTTGGGCAGGCCTGCAGGGTAATTGTGCGACAGGAAGACCGGGAGAGGTTGCCGGGGGGGGGGAGGGGCAGGTGAGCTTGGCTGTTGAAGGGTTGGGCATGAAGGGAAACGCCAAAGGCGTCGTCAGCTAAGTCAATTTCACATGTCAGGATAAACCCGTATGAGTCAAAAAAGTCAACAAATTCGATGGAACAAAGAAAAAAAAGGCTTGAACAGACTTGCGTAGGGCTGAAATGCGAAATGATTTTCCAGGCCACGACAGCAGTGTCCCTTTTGGGTTAGCTTTGCGATTTAGCGCCGATGAGAACGGCGACTTGTGGATCACCACCTCCGCCCCGTCCGGAGCCGTCCCTTTTCTACTTGGAAGAGAAATATCTTTTCAAAACATGTATAAATTACTGTCGTCTGCTCCCCGTATGTGTATCAACTCTTACCGTCATAATCTCTGCTCCAAACCACCTCCCTATCTTAGTCTATTTTATTTTTTATTTTTTTCACATTTAATTGACATTCACCACCCATGACCCTCCGCGTCCTCATCATCGGCGCCGGCACCGGCGGCCTCGCCCTCGCCCACTGCCTCCTCCAGTCCTCCTCCACCGCCGTCCCCATCTCCGTCACCGTCTTCGAGCGCGACCGCACCCGCCGCGACGGCCTGCAGGGCTACCGCGTCGGCATCTCCCCCGAAGGCGCCCGCAGCCTCTCCGCCTGCATCCCCCCTTCCCTGTTCTCCCTCTTCCGCGCCACCGCCGCCGCCACCCCCGACCACCTCAACATGTTCACCGAGCACCTCTCCGAGCTCCTCAGCATCTCCGGCTTCGCTTCCCCCGCCGCCGACGGGGTCGCCGCCGAGTACTCGGTCAGCCGCATGACCCTCCGCCAGCTCCTCCTCACCGGGCTCGAAGACGTCGTCCAGTTCGACAAGCGCTTCACCCGTTATGAGAACAACGCGGACGGCACGGTGACCGCGCACTTCGAGGACGGGTCCTCCGCGGTCGGCGACGCGCTCGTCGGCGCGGACGGGACCAACTCCCCCGTACGCAGGCAGTACCTCCCGCACGCCGTCGTCCGGGACTCGGGCCTGCGCGGCCTCGGCGTCAAGGTGCCCCTCACCGCGGAAACACGGGCCCTGCTGACCCCGCAGATGCTGCGCGGCGTCACCATGGTGCACGCTGCCCACGGCGACACCGCCATCCTGCACGTCATGGAGTTTCCCTGGGACGCCGACCACGGGCCCCTCCCGGGCGCCGTCGGCTCCTCCGACGCCCACCTGCTCGCCGCATGGCCCGGCGCGCTGTTCGACAACACGCGCGACTACGTGCTCCTCGGCTTCGGCGCCCCGCGCGCGCGCCTCCCCGATGACGTGCTCGCCCTGCCGGGGGAGGCGATCCGGGAGCTGCTCCTGGAGCGCACCGCCGCGTGGCATCCGAACCTGCGCAGGCTGTTTGAGCTGTCCGACCCGACCACCGGCTTCGCGCTGGCGGTGCGCACCAGCGAGCGCGTGTCCCCGGCGTGGGCGAGCTCGCAGGTCACGCTGATCGGCGACGCGGTGCACACGATGACGCCGGGGCTGGGCGTCGGCGCCAACACGGCACTTCTGGACGCGCGCATCCTCGGCGAGCGGCTTACACGCGCCGCGGCGGGCGAGCTTGGTGTCGTGGAGGCGGTGGCGGGGTACGAGGCGGAGATGCACGGGTACGCGTGGGAGCGCGTGGAAAAGTCGCTGGAGCGCTTCGACGAGAGCGACGCGATATACAGGCCCGGGTGGACGGGCTGGCTGGCGATGATGGGCATGCGCGCCGGGTTACGGCTGGTCAACAACGTGCCGCCGCTGAAGCGCAGGATGGCCGCGCAGATTCATCGTCAGCGCGGGGAGATGGAGGAGCGGCCTGAAAAGTGAAAAGTGAAGAATATAAATGAAATTTCATCCTGTATAATATTACGCGTGTACTATGTAATAACAAATTCTCTAATCAATCTTTTCTGTGGTATTTGCAAGTCATAAAAACTCCATGTACAATGTGAGGCCGAAGCCGGATGCCCAACGTTTCGCCAGGTCAATTTAAGCCCGGGTGCTACCAAAGTGAGGGGCGTTGAGCATGAGGCCCATCAGGCAGCCACCGATGAGACCGGCAATGGGAACGGTCATGATCCACGAGAAGACCAGGAGGAAGACACGCTTCCAGTTGACCGCCTTGAGGGTGCCGTTGCACAGACCGACGCCGACGGTGGCACCGGTGATGCACATCGAGGTGGACACGGGAAGGGAGTACTGCGAGAAGATGAGGACCGTGATGGCAGCGCCCATCTCCATCGACGAACCACGGCTGGGAGAGTGGTAGGTGATCTTGTTACCCATGACTATTGAAGCGGTTAGTATAATTTGCGCTAGGACAGGAGATGGTGGACAGCTTACCCTTCATGATGTTGTAACCGTAGGTGATGAAGCCGAAGCAGATAGTCAGAGCCATGACGGCAATCTGCCACAGAGGAACGGGGGCCTTGGCGCCAGCAGCCTTGCCGGTGGACCAAGCAGCGTACATGACAGCCCAGACACCGACGGCGTTGCCGACATCGTTGGCGCCGTGAGCGAAAGAGGCAGTGCAGGCGGTGATGACTTGGACGAAGGAGTACAGGTACTCAACCTCGTTGGGGTACTTGGTGGCGTGGTCGTAGACGCGAGCCATGCGCTGGCCCTCGGGAGTGCCCTCGATACCGACCTGAGCAGTGTGGATGTCGTAGTGGGCACCGTAGAGGAGGGCGCAGACAATCAGGGCCGGGATGCGCTTGAAGAAGGTGATGAGGTTGGCAGTCTCGTGGATGGACCCGGCGCCCATGCGGTTGTTGTGCAGGGTGCGCATGGCCCAGGCGAGAGGGCCGCGGCCCTGGCGGAGACGGGCGTGGTGAGCCTCGAGGGCCTCGCGCATCAGGCGCTGGTAGCCTTCCTGGTTGCACTCGGCGAGGATGAGCTTCTTGCTGCCGGCGGCGTTGTTGACCTCCTTGCTGCCAAAGACGGCGTCATCCCGGCCCTTGAGGTTGTCGCTGGGCGGGCGGACGTCGGTCTCGCTCTCCGTCTCGGGGGTGTCGTGCTGGATGACGTGGTAGTTGGGGACCTTGGCCTCCTCGGCATCAGGGGGGGCCGGGCGCCAGAAGAGCATTGGGCCGTAGACGACGTGCCAGATGCGCAGGGTGTAGTCCTTCTTGACGACCTTGGCGTGGACGTAGGGCACGAAGAAGAGGGCGGACAGGAAGAAGAGGCCAAAGCCGACGCCGAGAGTGACGGCGATGATGTACCAGGCGGGCTTGTTGGCGAGACCCAGGCGGGGAGAGCCCTTGTAGACAATGGACAGGGTGCAGATGGTACCGGCGATGAGGAAGAAGAAGGGAGAGGTCCAGACGGCCCAGGGGACGGGGTTCTTGCGCATGTGGACGGTGACCTTGATGAGCATGAAGATAACGGCGGCAAAGACGGCCGAGATGGCGGGGGCCATGCCGAGACCGGCGAAGATGGCACCGAGACCAGAGCCCTTGTTCCATCCCCACTGGACGCCGCCGGCGCCGACAGTCGCGACACCGACACCGGCAAGGGAAGAGATGAGGGAGTAGGTGGAAGAGACGTGGGCAGAATTGCGCGTGCACCACATGACCCAAGTGGAGGCACCGGCGGAAGCACAGGCAAAGGCGAGGAGCTGGACACCAGCATCGTTCTGGAAGGCCGAGACAGGGATAATGCCGTTCTTGATGGTGGTGGCGCTGCGGGCACCGACGGCGACGGCACCGAGCATCTCAAAGACTAGGCAGAGGACCATGGCAGCGCGGTATGAGATGGATCGGGAGGAAACACTGGTAGCCCAGGCGTTGGCGACATCGTCTAGAAGGGGGTTTTGGTTAGTGATGGAAGGACAATAAGGCGTGGAGGAGGGCAGGCAGGGCATAGCATACTGGCACCGTTGTTGAAAGCCTCAAGGAGAGCAAAGCAGGTGCCAATGGCAAAGACGTAAGTGTACTCGTGCAGAACCATGTTTGACGGTTGTGTTGGTTCCAACTCGGACCAGAAGAGTAAACTTTTTGGTGGCTGAGGAGGAGGAGGTTGATGCTGTCTGCAGAGAGTAGCCTGGTTAACCTTGACACGAACAGACAAGGGAAAAAAAATCCCTGAGTGTTTGGGAATGGATTCGTCTTTATAGTGAGTGAATGACGGGCAGGGCAGAGCCGGGCGCCCGCAACCTGCAGGAGACGACCCATGCCCATCCGTCCATTGAGCTGAGCAAGCAGAGTGACAGAGAGACCAGACCAGACGCCGGAGCCATGTGGCGTTTCAATAGCAAACCCCCCCCATAACGAGAAGTCTGTCGCATGTGCACGACATGACAGGCTCTTAGAACCCCTACCGCTTTCAGAAAACGGACACCGAGAGGAATAGTCACTCAAGTATTTCATGCGATAGGCACCGGTGGCGGTTGGCGAGCCCGGAATACTCCACGCTTGACTGGCCCGGATGTGGAACTAACGAAGCCACCAATACGGTTTCTTTAAGCTTAAATGCTTGGCAAGCACCACTTATTACCCCAGAGACGGCCATTCATCCATCTTGGATCACACACGTGGGATCGTCCCTTGCGCCTCGTAGGTTGAGATCCCCCCCCCTTGTTCTTCTTGAGGCTGTTGAGGCTGCGCGGGCCTTCCAGCCCATCAACCCGTGGCGCAACCCCCAAATCCACACGTCGGTCGGCCCTCTTGCCTGAACAGAGTTCTTTTCTCGTGCTTCTAGCCTGTGCCAAGCAGAGAGGCCCCGTCTCCAGCTTCTGGATTTTCTGGACTCGCCCAAGCAACAATGACCGCTTGCTGACATCCTCGGACACTCTCCATGTGCGCGTGCTCGACGTGATTGGCAGGATTCGCACCCGTCGCCCGACTCGCTCTCGCAGCCTTTTCCCGGTTCTAGGCCTGATAAAACAGGGCGAGCTGAATTTTTGGGTCGTGTTATCTCATTTGCTCCAGAATTGAAGGGATAGACAGAGCAGGTTCTGAGATTTCAAATTCAAATCTCGAGTCGGTCGGTCCAGAAGACGCATGCAGTCGCCAAGCCAGCCTTCGGTACAGGAAAGAGATACCGGCTCGGCAGCCCAACTCGCTCGCACTTGGCAAGCCGCCTGCTTCCCAGCGCTTCGGATTCTAGTGATCTGGCTGCCAAGAGGCACGCGACAGCCGCATGTACGCCGCGGAGGCAGCCAGCCAATGACCACAACGCCATTTTTGAGCGCTTTTCGTTTCGTATGCACTGTCGCGTGTGACATACAAAAAGAATACCGAAGCCGACTTGTTCTTTCGGTCTAGAATGTAGACAGAACACGACCTTTCCACGACACAACCAAACCCCCCCTCACGATAGTAGTGTTGCACTCTTCACGCCTCAAGCGATATAATGCCCAATTAATCCAAGGGCAGCTCGGGGGCATGTTTCTCGTCCTTCTTCGCAGCGACAGCTCCGACAGCGCCCGTCCATTCTTTTCCTCTACGTTGCCGCTTCCTCTGAGTGCTCATAACTCAGCCCTTCTGAACCCTCTTCTTTGACTCTTTTTTTTAGCCCTTCTTCATTCATGAAGACCCCCATGCCGCTCTACCGATTGCGCCGCCAGCGCGTCGTCTTGGCTTGCTGGGCGTTGACAGGGCTTGAACGGCTTCTGCAGTAAGCTCATCGAACACTGCTGGCTGTGGGGTTGCATCCCAGCCGCCGCCGTTACACAGCAGCATCGACTACAAAACCCCTCAAAACATCGAAACCCATGATTCGCTGCTACCACAGACCAGCCAACCACACCCAGCCTAGTCGCTTGTCATCGGCTTGCAACGAACCAGTGGTCGGGGAGCCGCTTTGTTGTCAAAGACCAGATACGGAGCCGGCCATGCGACACCAACAGAGCCGGCTGTTTCCGTGCATCTGTGCTTGTGTGCATCTCGAACACGTTGAGGTTGATGTCAGGCTGGTCCGCCTTGTCTGATCCAGAGAAACTCTGCACAAAGTCCAGTCGAGTCTTGCCAAGACAGCCGCGGAAAATCAGTGGAAATCCCCCCTGCCCAGCCAAGGTCATAAGGTTTCCAATAAGCTTGAGAAAACTGCTTCTTGGGCTTTAGCATTTGCTAGTTTGCTGCTAGGCGCAGCTCACACCCACCCACGTGTACGCTCGATTGATCAACACTTTCAAGTGTTTCGAGAAAATCCGCACGCCACCCAATTAATGCTGACATTCAAAAATTTCAATGCCAGTCCCGTGCGTCCCTACAAAGGTTTCGTGAACACCCCTGAGAGCGTTGCCAGGGTGCAGATATATTTTACGCGTTTTGTCGGTAGTTGTCGCACTCAGCACAAAGGAGTGAGCTCTTCAGCCCTTGCCACAGTATTGAGCTTTTCACTGAAAAGAACTGTGAAGACACCGTCGAATTCGCCTTAAAGAAACGGCCACGGGCCTTCACCGAACCAGAAACGACCGACATTTTCTGCTGGAAGAGTCAGTGCCATCTCTAGCTCCAGTTCGGCCGAGGAGTACAAATGCTGTGGAAGCGGGATCTTGCACAGGTTCAATGTGCCTCACACAGATCACACCAGATATATGCCCAAACCCTTTGTCAAAGCACTGACCACAGCGAAACCGCGAGCATTGTTGGAGGATCGCGCAGCAGTTACTTTCAGGATCAGTGCTTCCCGCTATGAGAGGGTTCCCGGGCTCAAGATTGGACATCCCGGCTGAAAACTGCGGTGTGGTTGCAAGTTGACCTGTTTTTCGAATATGTTTGTCAAGCAACTGGGGTGCACTGTTGGAACAGCTCGTTGTCTCACTCCAAGCGTGCTGAGGAGCTCTGGATAAAACCGTGACTACGTACATGGTCAAAGACGGCGCCACTGATAGTGATTTGTTGATGCAGGAAGAAAAGTTGAGGTGTTTGCAGAGGCTCCATATTCCGCTTACTCCACCGCGGCTTCAAGGGAGCCCCTGAGGCAGTCGCTTCTCATACCCGATTCAAGCGGCCCTGACGACCTTACCGGAAACCCGAAGACTTTTGACCGCCATCGCCTTCGAAATACTCTGGTTGCCTCGACCGCACCCAAAAATAAACAAACTGGACTGGCGGTCGGAAAATGAATAGGTCGCAATGATGGCGAACTCGGACCAACTGTTGCGGGTGGAAAGCGTTTCCAACACAGGGAGAGAAAGCGAGGCAGTCGAAGTGCCTCCTCGAGCGCTGCGGATGGCTCAACAGTGCAGCCCGTCGCAGCCGCACTGCCGGGCATTAGATCTGCACTCTCCGGCTTCACTGACGAATGCGATTAAAGACTTCATCCTGAGCTGTTGGACGGTGCATGTCGGGAAATCGGCAAGATATTGGACGAGTGTGACGAGCATCGCCGTCGAAAGCATAGTTGCAAACGCATCTTGTCCCTGTCGGCATGCGACTGCCCGGCTGCTGGAGACGATGTGAATTGATCTGAAAGCTGTTGTAAACTGCCTGTTAGACCATCATTTTGCACTGGCGGCTACTAGTCGGCTTCTGCGGCTATGAAGTAGCTGCTCAGGTTGACAGCATAGGATGGTAAGAATGCGATCGATGGGCGCCAAGGTAAGGAGGCGTTGAGATGGTTTCTGCCCCTGACAAGACTAGCTTCCGGCCCTCTTCTTCACGGTCAATAGCAGTCTTGCACTCAGACCAGTCTTGGCTTCTCGATTGGCGACCTTGCTTTGACGCTGCACGCGATGGCCCGACGAATCCAATTTGCAACTTTGTACTGACAAACGCAACTCTGAAGTGTGGCAAAAAAGACCAAGTCCATCATGCGCCCACAATGTTCCTTGTGCTCAGCCACCAAACCCAGCCACGCGGGACGCAGCCACCAGGTCCTCTGAGCGAAGCTTTTAGGGCCTTTCTTCCAGCGGCTTCAGCGCCGGGTGCAGCGAGGGACCCACTTGTCTCCATCGTCGTCATCTTCTAGAAATAGTAACAGTGAGACATGGCCAACTTGTTTGGGCTGCTTGAAAGACATGGCCGATCAGTAACTCACCAATATGACATTTCTGTCAACTCTGAGGATTGTACAAGATATTTGTGAGTGTAGTATTTTCAGTTACAGATGAATGGATGGGAATAGAGAACGCGGAAAACAACAGCCGCTCGGGTTTCGGATTCAGAGGGACAAAGGTCTACGTCAACACGGCCATGCAGGGATCACCGTCTCCACATCCCAACCGCTCGACGGGCAGTGCAAGAACTTGCTAAACGCCTTACAACCTGCTTACTGTTTGGAGTAAGCCAGCCCGGCTTCTATACATATTCAAAACTCTATGATCCCCGTTTGCTTTTCATCCTTGCTTAGACTTTGCGCGACATTTCACCTCTTATTCCCTTTTAAATCGCGATCCAAATCAAGATCCCAACTACAATCTGCTCCTCTATTCATCCTCTCCCCCCCAAGGCATCAGGCATCTTTACAACCCATCTCTCCATCAATCGAGTCCCGCTTACCACCACTACCGACCACCACCCGCCACCATGTCTCGAGGCGGCACCGCGCTCGGCCTCAAGACGCTCCAGTGGCTGATCCGCTCCGTCCAGCTGCTCTGCTCCGTCATCATCCTCGGCATCTACTCGTACCTGCTCGCCGCCCTCTCCAACCACAACCTGCCGACGCCCACCAAGGTCCGCGCCGTCGAGGGCATCGTCGGCGTCGCCGCCGCCTACGCCCTGCTCGGCCTGCTGCTGCTCTGCTGCCTCGCCGGCCGCACCCTCACCTCCTTCGCCGCCATGTGCCTCGACTTTGCCTTCCTCTGCGCCTACATCTTCGTCGCCGTTGCTAACAAGGACGGCGCCGGCAGCTGCACCGGCGAGGTCACCACCGTCTTCGGCAAGGGCAAGGCCGGCGACACGCTCGACGCCGGCGGCGGCTTCACCAAGATCCCGAGCTACCGGAGCGCGTGCAAGCTCGAGACGGCCTGCCTGGCCATTGCCATCATTGCCATGTACGTTCAACAAATCGCCCCCTTCCTTTTGCTGGCGCCCGTGCTAACCCCGATACTCCCAGCTTCTTCTACATCTTCTCCATCTTTATCGAGCTCGCCCTCGGCCGTAACCACCAGCGCGAGAAGCGCCTCGCCAACTCGCCACCCCCGCCGATGCAGATGCCGTACGCCCAGGGGCCCTACGACAACTACCAGCCCGGCCCTGACCAGCCCGAGTCTCCTCGTCGCCGCGGCTTCCTCGGCCGCATCTTCGGCCGCGACCGCGGACAGCAGCCCCTTCCCCAGCACGACCCCAACAACCTGCCCCAGCACGCCCAGCCCATCGACGTCGCCGCCGCCGCCAACCGCGACTCGCAGGCCACCGCCATCGGTCACGAGCACGACCACAACAAGTACGAGACCGGCTACGACGGCGCGGAGGGCGCCGCTGCACAAAACAGCCCCATGGCCACCGGCCACACCGCGCCGACGACGTACACGTACACCAGTGCCGGCGACCCGTACGCGCATGCCGGCGATCCATACGCGCATGCCGGCGAGTCATACGCGCATGCCGGTGATCGCTTCGGCCACGCGGGTGACGACTACCTCCAGTACCGCCCCGCTGCTGGCAGCGCCGAAGCACACAGTCCTACACCGGCACCGGCGGCGGCGACGGCACTGCCGTATCCCGCGGACGACCCGTACGAGCCGCGCCGCGCGGAGCGGCCGAGTCACCAGATGTCGGCCCCACGGTATCCGGCCCCGAGCTACCGTTACGACGACGGCATCTATGACCGCCCGTAAAGAAGCGGGGAGAAAAGCGTATAATGTAGACACGCACACACAAATGTACAGCATTGGGTACACAGAATTTTTGTTGTTTTCTTTGGTTCCTGGTTTTAATGGAAATGGCATGGACACGGGTCACTGGATGATACCCCCCTTCACGACGCGCTCTTTTTTTTTTCACTTTATTCATCAATAGCTGATAATACTACCCGCTATCATTCATTCCAATCAACACACGAAATCCTACGCTAATGAGTCTCTCCTTCTCTCAACACTGTCGTGATTATTCAGACTACCAGTTCTCCATCTCGCCCATCGACTCGTCGCCGCTCACCTCCGCCCAGTCCAAGTCCAGCCTCTCCAGCTCACGCGTGAAAAAGTCCTGCTGAGCAATGCTCCCGCGCCTATCCTTCCGCGCCGCCTCCTTGCCCTCGCCCACCGCATCACCGCCCGGCGCCAGCAGCGTCTTGTCCGGGTACCTCCTCACGTTGAACCAGTGCGTCAGCCCTCGCAGCGCCTGCTCCAGAGGCAGCGCAGAGTCCACCTCGGCGTCCACGTCGCTGCCCGCCAGCCACTCGTCGCGCAGCTCCGGCCGGCAGTGGAGGTAGACGGCCGTGATGACGCGCATGTTGCTCTGCCGCCACTTGCGCCCGCAGTATGGTACCTGGTTCTTGAACAGCTTGAGAGTGTACAGCCGCAGCGCGGGCTGCGGTACGCGGAGCGCCCGCCGCAGAATCGTCGACGACTTGTATTGGACCAGGAGCAGGTTCCGGTGCGCTTTTCCTTTGCACACTTTTTGCATCAACCGCAGGTAGTTGATGAGCGAGAAGAAGTTGCGCCAGGAAAAGTCGGTGATGGGCTCCGTGGGGAGGTCGTGCACCGGATACCCGAGCTCGTCGACCTCGGGCCGCATACTGCCCCCCTGGTTGCCGCCATCCTCCACGGCGGCCGAACGGCCCGGCGGCTCTGCTGGCTGTTCGCTCGTCGACACCTCGGCTGGCGGCGAGCGGTACTTCTTAATCGGCGGCGGTGCGGCACTGTCGTCGCTTTCTTCTGCCTCGCTTTCATGCTCGGGCGCGCTGTTTGCCTGGTCCTCAGCTTCATCGTCTTCATCTTCGTTGTCAAGGTCACTATCTGTCCTATCCTTGAACCGAGATCGAAGGTTGCAGAATTGGAAAAAGCTGTCACGAGTTATTAGAGAGGATGGCTTTATCTGGAAGTAGAGGCAGTATACCTATTCTCTAGGCGGTCTAATTTGCTGTCGACAACCTGCTGTACGTCTTGATGGGCAAACAGCTTGAGCACAAGCGGGATATAGTTGGAATCCAACAAAAGTTGAGTCATGTACTCGAACCGTAAAATATCTATCTCATGTTAGATCTTGAGTTGCTCTTCACGTTCATTTTGCCTTATTCAGGATACTTACGTGAGAGTCTAAGCCACTTGAGTAACAGGACCAGAATGCCAGACATGGCCTTGGTCGTGATCTCTCTTGTTCGGGCAGCATCCACTTCCTCCGGCGACAGCTCGGGGGCGTCCGCCGGCGGTCTCCCGTTGTCAGGATTAGGCCCGCCGTTCATTCCAGGTCCGTTGCGGCCCGGCATGCCCTGGTTCATATGAGGGCCTTGCGGGCCTTGTTGCGCCACGATGGCCGCAACATTAGCAAAGACTGGTCGCAGCAAAACAATGACCAAGGATTGCAAATGAGGCAATGCTTGGTGCTGTCTCATGATTAGCACCCCTTCATCAACACGTCAGTTGTTGACTCACGTAGAAGCTCTCTACTGCCTCAAGGCGCTTCTTGTCTCTGTCGCTCATCTCCTGTTTCCGAGGACCGAAATCAACAGCTTCCGCCGGTGCGGCCGGCCTACGCGGCTCCTTATCCGCGCCCTTCACCTCCTTGATCAGCTCTCTCTCCTCCTCCGTGAGCTCGCTGAGGTCCAGCTCCTCCACATCATCGTTGTCCTCGTCCGCCTCCCAGCCACGCTCAAATTTGAGAAACGCCTCCCTCTCGTCCCAGAGCTGCCGAGTGGCCCTCGTCATCCGCACACGCGTCGAGAAGAGCTCGCCCGCCTCCAGGATGGATGCGGGGATATGGCTGCCCTCCCACCGGCGGTTGATCCTATCGTCGAGCGCCGCGAGCCCCTTTCCACCGGCGCTATTACTGGTCGCGTCGAGAGGCGGGTACATGAACGGGAAGTTTTGGTTTGTCTGGTAGTTTTGCTTCTTTCCGCCCTTGCCGCCGACGCCTGGAGACGGTGGCGGTGAAGGGGCCGGCGTGGCAATGTGCACTGGCTGGTGCAGGATACTTGCGCCGCCACCGTTTTGTGCACTTGCCGGTGCGGGAAGGATACCGTTAGCGCCGTTGTTCCGGGCCGGGTGTTGGGGAAGCGGCGGAAGCAGGGAGGTGTTATCTTCCTCGAGGGGAATCGCCGGCCTAGGCGGGACGTATGATGGGTACTTGGAGGTGATTTCTTGGCGGAAAACGTGGTAGTCTAGCGGCGAGGCCGTAATCGTCTCCTTGCCTTGGTTCTCGCTGAGCTCGCTGATGGCCTTCTTGACACGCTGCAAGTCCTTAGTACCGCCAAACACGAGAAGAATCGACTTCCAAAAGAGCAGCAGTATCTGCGTTTGCGGGAGCGCATTCTGCTCGTCCCATCGCAACTTCGTCGTTGCCGTCATCATGAATTCAGTAAGCGGAGGCTGCAGCTCGAGGAGCTTTCCGTACGACGCGGACATGTCCTCAGGGTCGCTGAGAACCTCCTGCAGTGCAATGTACATGATGGTCATGAGGTTCATCAGCTCATCGTGCGGCTCCTGCTGGCTACTGTTGCCCTGCGCGGCGCCCGCCTGCCCACTTGGCGCGTCCCCAGACCATTGCAGCTCAAAGGCGTGCCGCAGGGCCTCCCACACAACTGGCAGGCCCTCCAGCGACGCGAGGCACTCGACGCCGGCCTTGATCGCTTGCAGCTGCATTAGACTCGCGATAGACCTTCCGGTCCCCTTTCCCTTCGTCGCACCATCCCCGTCCCGCCCTTCCCCCTCCTCCTCGGCCGCGGCGTGCGGCACAGCCGTGTCCCCCCAGCGGCCAAGCACCAAATACACCAGCTTCCCGATCGAGGCCGAGCGCAGCGCCGCATCGTTGGATTGCACGCCCGCAATCGCGGCGCGCACGAACCGCGTGCGGGTTTCGTGGTCGGCGTCCTCCCAGGCGACCTCGTAGCCGCCCTCTGCGGCGGCCGTCTCTTGACTCCAGTGCCACTCAAACGCTTTTTGCGCAGAGCTGAGGCGAACCCACTGCCAGAACTGATACATGAACCACTCATCAATCTCCTCCGCGTGTGGGCCCATGTCTGCGTAGGTAAAGTCGTAGGCCGGTTGCTCGGGCCGGTTCACCTCGCTGACAATCTTGCGCAGCTGCGCGAGCGAGAGCGAGTCGGTCGGCAGGGGTGGCGCGGGCGCCTGCGGCATCGGCGTCGGTGTCGCGGAGCCTCCTGGAATTTCCAGTGCTGCGCGCTGCAGAGCATTGCGCTGCAAGATCGGCCGCGTGGCAGCGGGTGGTGGCGCGAGGGGTAGCTTCTCTGTCGTCTCCGTGCCCAGTTTCCCGCCAGCCACCTGGCCCATATCCTTGACGTCCATCTCGATATCAGCCTTTGTAGCTTCGTCGTCGGCCGGTACTTCGGTCACAGAGGTCGTGGGACCTTGACCGGTCGCGACTGGGATCTGGACAGTCCCGTCATCCTTGGCGGCGTCGAGAGCGCTCATGGTTGGGGATGGAGCTTCGCTTTCGGGGCCGGTTACAGACGCAGGCGCGCCCGAGAGATTCCCAATATGTCTATCGGATGATTGCAGCGGTTTCTCTCGTCACCAGATCCCTTTGTCTCTCGTCGGCCGGTAGGTCCGATTGCTCAGCGAGAACGGACCTGCGGATTGTCCACAACACCTTAATGCTCCATCAAGCGTAGCTGCACGGGAGCAGTTCTCGTCCGATGATGTTGAAGGGTTCCCTTAATCTGTAGATACTGTGTTCTGTTCGATAATGCCGCTAGTTCGTGTCGGGGTTTTGGTCGTTGCTTCAATGTTGTCGCGTGTTTGATAGAAATTAAGTTTGCGGACCCGAAGCTATCCAGATTAGGGCGACATGGCGCAGTGCCACGGCAGGAGCTCATTGGCTGGTAGTGTTGAGCTACATTGAAAGGTCAACACGCCAGGTGCAGGTTATCGCAACATTTTCACTTCTTTTTTCAGATAATCCTCTTTAGAATCGTGAAATCATAATGTATTTACATGTTTGTCCCTCGAGCTCCCAAGCGGGTATATCTAGTCGTCGCCTTCAGATTCACTGGTAGTATCCGCCCCAGCCGTCTCACCACCAGCCGCCAGCTTCTTCTCCTTATCCTTGGCGCGCTTCCTCAGCTTCTTTATCCTATTTAGCCTCTTCTTCTTATCTTTCAGATGCTCCTCCTTCTCGACCTGCTTCTTGGTGGCCTCTTCCATGACCTGCGCCCTTGAACGCTTGCGTTGCCGCTGCAAGACCCGCTGCTTCTTGCCGGGCCTCTTCCTCTTGTCAACTTGGTCCGCATTCTCCATCAATACCTCGGTGGAGTCGTCGCCGACCTTTTTCGTGCGCGTCGCTTTAATCGAAATGACCTTCCAGGGCATCGCCATGCCCCACGACGGTTGCGTGGACCAGCGTACAATCTCGGCGCCCGTGACGGCCGCGTAGCTGTACTGCTCCTTTTCTTTTGCCGACACCGTCTTGGTTGTGAAGAACGACAGAGGCCGTGGCCGTACAAATGCGCCGTCGCCTAGAGGTGCAGCTGGGTCCTCCAGTATCACCTTGGCCGTCTTGGTTGAGCCGCCAGGGCCGGCTGTGCTGAAGAGGTTGAATTCGTAGCCTTGTTCCTTATCAGGATCAGCATCTCCATCGACTTGGGCAGCATTTGTCCTTTGCGTAGAGTTGTCGGTGTTGTGTTCAATCGGCTCCGCGGAAACCGGTGGCTCGTCGTCATCGTCGAGGCCCAGTGCCGCAGCGATTTGCGCATTCACTCGGCTTTGCATCGCCGCATCATTCCCAGCCGCATTATCTTCGTCCACGTCCGACTGGTCAGAGTCGCCTAAATCCTCGCGTCGAACTCTGTTGCCAGGCCAGAAGTTAGCAGTGCATTGGGTTTCTTGGGGGAAAGCTCCGAGTATTCGCGACACCGTGGGCTTTCGAACATGTCCTACTAACCTTTTTGCCTCTGGAAGTTCAAACATGGTGCCTAGATGACGGATGAGTGTAAGGCGAGGGCAGCGCGTCTCAAGTCTCGAGGGCCGTGGGCTCTCTCGGCGGAGCGATTGTGGCTCTCCCTTCTCGTGATGAGCCCAGGCACGTCGAGAGCTGTATATTTCAGACTCTCTGGGATAGCCGCAGTCGTATGATTATCTATGAGTCGAGGCGGGAGCGGCGTGGATCGATATGTTGATGTCGATGCAGCAGTGGTGAAGTCAAGTGCAGTTGTGTCGCAACTTTTTTTTCTGTAGTCTTGCCCCACCAATCCGCCAGCACATTGTCCTGGTAACTGTAACAAGATAAGAGAAACCACACGGTGCTGTAAAATAGTCCAAAAGTCCAAAAGTTCTCTGCACTTGAACTTGTAGTCTACAGATTCATTGTGCTTCATTTTTTCGTACAAAATTAATAATCAATTTCCCGTCTTCTCAGGCCACTTCAATGTAGTTTCCTTGTTGCTTGTTAGGAGCTTACTTGCCAACCCACACATAGCCTAGCTAAGCATACAGGGTAGCAAGTATTTCTAAGTTCTCTTCCAATTCGAGTACAATTTTCCGTTCTTTCTCGTTTAATATCCTTTTCAAACCACTGGGCTATGGTTATGGGACTATCTGTTTCTCTTTTCTACTGTCTACATTTTGATAAAGTTCACTGACAACCCAGCAGCTTGTAGTGCTAACCCAACAACAGTGTAATATCAAAGGGAAGCCAAAGAAACCCCATACTGATACAGCGACTTCATCCTACTAAGTAATCAATACTTGAGGAAATGCTAGCTGCGAGCTATTATTAGGCTGCTGCTATCGGCCGTCGAAGCTCGCTAATAATGGGCCCAGTTATGGACTATCCAAACAAGGAAGTTTTGGAAGGTTCAAAAGGCTACGCGGCCCGTCTTGGCAGCAATACATCAGGGTAACTATATCAGTCTGAGCAAAGGTGCTGAAATTCCGGCTGCTATGCAGAAGAGACCATCGCGCCGCGTGGCCAACTTGTCTCTCTGTTTTGTAGAGTCCTGCCCAGGTTGACTTGCCCCCGAGCGAGCCCATAGCCACAGCACTGCCATCCCAAGAAAAGAACGACAGAGAATTAAAGAACCATGGGAACAGCGATTGGCAGACCCAGTTTGGGGGCCAAGAAAGCAACGCTGCACCGTGTCGCATTGCATCGTAAAAAAAGCGCCCGGCGCCACCCCCCGCTGCCGCCATGTGGATATTTGCATGATTTTCTCCTTCTCCATCTTCGATTAATATGGCTTTCGCCGGGGTTTTCATATGAGAGATATTACGAAGTACGTAAAAGCGCTTAGCAAGTGACATATACGAATATAGGACATGGACATAAAGGACTCAAGTGACGGCTCAAGCCGGGGCGGATAGAGTCGGCGCATGCGAGAGTACCTGGCCTCCTTCTTTCCGGCTGTCTTGGCACCATAGCAACACGTGGGGAGTGTGTAAACAACGGTATACCCACGCGGGATGTATCTAGAGGATTGTTGAGTATTCGTCATCGCCAAGACCCGCGGCGCATTCTGCATCGATGGCCTTCCTTGTGCCAGGAGACACAACGTCATCAAAAGTGAAAAACAGCACGCCCATAGCGCCGACGAAATATGATAATCAGTGTCTCAAAAAGGAAGTGGCAGGTGAATGAAGATATATATATATACTGTATGAAACATAATAGCAGAAAGTTGATATCAGTGCCAGCCAACTCCGGATATAGCAAATGAAAACAGCCTCCCCAGGTACCCAGTGTAATCCTGCCTCATGCGCCGTCCTGGTTCTCGTATGTCTGATCGCCAGAATGCGCAACGTGACAATATCATAGCCGAATTCGCAGTCAATCCTCCCAACTGTACAGGTCCGAAATGGCCAGATAAGAAAAGAATGAAACAAAGGGAAAGAATGAAACAAAGGGAAAGAATGAAACAAAGGGAAAGAATGCGTGCAATCCTCCCAACAAGCACATGCCGCGCCATGGATATCCCAGGGAAAAAAACAGAGCTCCCAGCCGCCCGATTTCAATGTAAAAGAAAAGACTGAACCAGATCGTTCAGGGCCTTCCGCCCAAGACCACGACAAAAAATGTCCGCAGCTACCGCAAGGAAAAGGCCTGGAGCTATATAGGGCAAAGCTCAGGCCGGAAGGAACACCAATGTGGTTCTAGGCAGACGCCTAATTCGTGCTCCACGAGTAGTTGTTCATGGACTCAAAGGCGCCTTTGGCGCCAGGAGTGTAGAGAGCATTAGGGAGCGTCGCCTCCTGCTTCGCAGATCTGTCAAAGGCATACGGCCGTGGATGAGAACTGCCATGGGAAGCGCCGGCGTAGTTCAGGTTGGCATTAGATTCCGCTGTGCTAGAGTTCCAGGCACCACTTGATGACGGGTAATAGTCTCGTTGACTGGGGGCGGTCGTGCTCTCGGAGCCATAGCCCAGCGTGCTCGCATCGCTCGTGATGGAGCCACGGTACGATCCGTAGCGGTAGTCAGAGGCGCTGTCTGGGGCGGAGATGGACCCATGTACGGAAGACTGTCCTTGGTGCCTGGGACTTTTTGTTGACCTGCCATTGTCGACATATCGTGGAACATGCTCTGTGGGAAGTGGCCCGGCAGTCGGCGCGTACTGTGACAGGGAGACGGGGGGTGCTAAGGTCGAAGCCATGGGAAGTTCCGAGTTGTCGTTCGCAAAAGTCGAGACACTTGGCATGCCCATCGTAGTTGTCGTCGGGAGTTGGCTCAAAGAATCAGTTTGCTGGTTCCATGTCGGGTAAGAACTGCAACATTTGTTAATTATCTATCGATTCACAGCATGTAGCAATCCACGTACTTTGATCTGAGTGCGGTCGGCTGGCTAGCGGCGGACTTTGGTGGACTGAATGTGAATGCAGATCTAGGAACCTGCATATCCAGACTTCCCCCGCGCTTTATTTCCGACTTGACAGAAAGGGCACTTGCGATAACACCCACGCCAGTCTCAACGAGAGCCTGGCCACGAGAGCCAGCGCTTGATCCGAGGAGGGGAATTTCTTTGCGCGCCTGAAAGTTACGCGGGCTGCGACCGCGAACCACGATGGGCGATGTTACAGATTCAGTCAAAATCACTTTGCTATTGTCGGCAAGAGTTCCATGGACCCTAAGGTGGAGGACAAAGTGCTGCTGCAGCTCTTTGCGACGGCCGTTGTTGGCGGTGGCACTGTTTTTGAGTTAGCATCCTCTATTTGTTGGTTGCAAGGGAGAATAGCTCACATGCGAAACTGCAGACGGCGCCAGCCAACTGGGTAGACGGCGTATTCGCCTTCAGCGCTGGGGTTGCTGTCTTGGAAAGGAATCAAGGGCAGAGCTGGAGGCTCCTGATCGGGTGTCTGTGCCTGTTCAGGCGAGTTGGGGGGCGGCGTCTTCCAAGGAATCACAATCAGGCGAACTGGGTTGCCGTCGACAGACTCGATTGCCGAGATGGTGACTTCCATGCTGGTGACGGGCACAGTCTCGTTGGCTTCGTTAACAACGGAGATGGGACCCCGTGGCGTGACAAAGGAACCACTGATCTGGAAGAGGTTGCGCCGGTAGCAAGTCAGCTCCGGTTGAAGAGCCCCGCCCTCGCCGCCATTCGAAGGCATCTCAGAGAGAAAGAACATTCCGTGCAGCTGAGCGGAGAGCTCAAGTTGTTGCACGCGGCCATGCTGATCAACCACTGTACTCTTCTCCTGGGAGCGGCGGAAAGAGAGAAGTTTGTGGTCTTGGCTGACAGTCAGCCGGGAAGTGTCGTCGCGAAGGTCCTGGACAATTTCTTGATAGGGCTGGGATTCGGCTTGGGAAAACGATCTCTTTAGAGGAGGGTAACTCTGGTGCGAAGACAGTGTTGTAGGCTGAGGCCGGTCGAAAGAAGATCCGTCATCTTGAGAATAGCGTCCGTATGAGTAGTGGTCCTGGCCAGCACGAGTTCGAACGCCGGGCGAAGGGAAGGCAGCGTCGATGGAGCTACCAAGTCGTCCAGGGATGTGGGATGCCCCGTAATTGGGCCAAATACTTGCGTGAGAGGGATCTCCTCTCAAGTCAGTCATAGTTGGAGGATAAGCTGTTGCGGTCATCATTGGCGCATATCTCGAATACGGTACTGCGAAGTGTGCGAGGCCGCCCTGGTAGACTAAACTGGTGAAGAGAAGAGGAGAGATGAAAAAAAGTCAGGCAAAGGCTAGAGTCTCGGTGGGTGAGAGGAAGGAGCTTGTACAGAGAGCCTTTAAATAATCGACAAGCAGATCTTGGATAAAATGATAAAAAGAAGCAATGAAGACAAGGAAGAGAGAAGTTGGGGGCGAAGAGGATGGTCTTGTATACTTGTAGAATCTCGCTGCATGGATGGAGCCCGATGGACCCCAGTATCCTTCCAAGAGCAGCGACATACGGCAGATGGTGAAGGGGCGTGTCCAACAAAAAGGCCGGCAGTGTGTCCGGGTGGCGGAGATCGAGGTTGGAGGGGACGGACGGTATTGACGCCCAGGAACGGGAGCTAATGAACTCTCTACTCGTGCCAGTTGCTCTAATCATAGCAGAACAACTTGGTGGGAGCCCCTTGTCCAGTTAGTCGGTGGGGGAGGCCACGGTCGTGTACTTTTGTTTGAACGGAGTACAATGGTGCAGAGTACCCCTACAAGGACACCACCCATACAAATCAGATGGGGGGTGGGAAGGGGGTGTGGTGGAGGTAGATCTCGTGCTTGTACCGGCCACGATGGTAATTAGGCCATGAAAAATAATCGGGCCTTGTACCTAGGAGGCAAAGCGAGGAGCGAAGTGCGTGCTTCGTACCCCGTCCCCAGTGCGAGCAAAAGTCCAGCACGCGGCCAAGCTGCTCATTTGAAGGAACCCCCATCCTGGGCGCACTACTCGGTCGAAGGAGAGGACGGCGCGTGAATCCATGGCACAAACAGAGACCAGCGTGCATGTCGGTGAAACGAGACAGCGCGTTAGCATCATACAGTTTTGCTCAGCAGCAGGAGCCTCAGCCAAATTGAACCGTGAGCAAAGAGAGCATGAACGTAAGTGGCCAGCGGTGGGCTACCTTGATTTGGGCCGACGAATAGACAGTCTGGAGAAGGGGCGCGTCGTAGGGACCCCCCCTGCCTGTGCAAGCGATATCTGTGATGGCTGTCGGGACTTGCTTGACATCTCTTGGTCACACTCTCCGGGTGATTGATGCTGGAGCAGCGCCTATCTTGAGGGTGGCTTCGCAAGGACAAGGATGAACAGGGCCACAATTAGCGCTGTCGGGCTATGAGGAACGAACTAATCGCTCTCACCAGGACAGATGGCGTCGAGACCGGGGCCTTGTGGGTAACAATTACTGGGGCAATGCTAAGAAGACGTGAGCGCACTGTGCAGATGAGAAAGGTGAAAGAATAGGTGCACCCTGGGCTATCTCTTGCACCTGGGTTATCGACAATGCTTATGACTGTGAAGAGTGCTAAATCGAGGCGAGTTGCACAGCCAAGGTCTGGAAAGAGAGAATCTTTGTTTGCTGCACGGTTGAACGAGGTGCATGAACGGTCATTGTCGATGGCAATGCTCGGTTGGTTTTCTCGAAGACGGCAGCAACGTTGGCTGCTTCGTACAGATTAGTGTGGGAGGAACTGGACAGTGGCGGACATGGCAGGCGGAAGAGCTGCAGCTAGGCACACAATAAAGCTAGTTGCTGCACACGAGGTGCACGAAGAGGAGGGCATCTGCGGGATAATCTGCGGCCACGGAGTGGCGATGCGTGAGTGTTTTGACGGCGAGATGGCCAGTCGACCGCGAGACCGAATGATTACAAGTGACATGGATCGACGTGCCTTGTCGGCTACTGAGCCGACCGCAACGCTTGTGTTAGGAAATCGCGAGTGATTTTGGTGACCATCAGTCAGGCGGCGGTCGAAGCATGTCAGCTGGCTCGTGAGAAAAAGCGTTCTGGCGAAGGAGCTGGCGCTATTGCTAATGGAGGTGGACTGGACGGTGGAGATGAGCGGAGGCGAAGACGGCCGCTGCAGAGTGGGGGCGGCGATTGAACGCCACGGGGCTTCTGAATGGCGGGCGAATGGCTGGTCTCTGTCGCTCCCTGTCGCTCTCTCTCCTCTCCCCTGTGGTGTGCACCACAATAACGAGTCCGGAATGCCGAGCCACGGCTTTCATGTACTCTATTTTTGGAGTCGACGTATCATCGTGGCCAGCGAGTCGGCCCTGATTAACGAAAGCGGTTTGTCATGCCATGGTAGTTATGCCACATGGCCCTGTGCTTCATCTTCAACTTCATCTGAAGCGGTAATAGCCAAGTTGACTGGTCGTTTTTGGTTCATGTGTCTGGGATGGATCGTGGCGGTTGACTCGGGAAAAGGAAAAGGGGCAGTGCCTGCAATAGACATATCAGCCGTCTTGGACTTGACTCTCATTAATACGGCAGCGACCTTGCCATGTGTGCCAAGCACTAAGCAACCGGTTGCCGGCCAGCAGTCATTATTCGTGACTTCGTAAAAGCCCTCTTTTTCAGAGCACGGCCGACTTTTGCGTTCGCAACTAGAAGCCAGTCAGTGTCTTAGACCTTCGAGCCGCTATGTATTCGAAGTCTGTGGTTTTTATTGTGGGCGGGAGGGGTTCGCTGGCAATCTGCCCAGGAGCTTCCCAGTATGCTGACTCTTACCTGACTAGCATCGATTCCCTTGTCGACGAGCATAACGAAACGTAATCTGAATAGGAGGCACGCAATGCACCTATATGGTTTCGTTTTCGTTAGCAAATAGGCTAGTAGAAGATATCGGAGCGTTGTTCCTCAGAATTGAGAAACCTGGAGGGGGAGCAGGCTCGGTGTTGTCTCACAAACATCAGCCCAAAGAGTTGTAAGCCTCCAGACCAGGGGAAGGCTAGTACAACCCGAATCGTCTGGTGTAAGCGTCTGTTGTATCTAATTAACTCGATGATGCAGATGGCGTATCATGGCAACACCAAATCATCTGGGTTGGTGAACTTGTTGGCTTTAGATGCAGTGTTTGTGACAGCGGATTGCTTCCGTTTGCGCACGCAAGGTGTAGACGCAACGAGTAGCTGACAGCTGCTGGTCTCAGCCACACCAGCTGGCGCATAGGGCTCTTAACGTGCAGCCTACACGGAATACGGAGTAGAGACCACGAATAAATGACCATTTGATTTAAAACACCAGATAGGAGCATATTCATGTTAAAGTTCTACAGATTGAGGAGTTGGGGTATTTTGGATAGAGCCAGCGGAAGATTAGGTATCAATGACAATGCAGACTGACGATGTAAGGTTAGGGAGCAAGAGGGAGCTCTCAAGGCTGCCGCGGATTGTAATAGTCCCAACCTATCCGGTACAGTACCATGTGGTGGGAGACCATTCAAGGGGGCAAGAGCATTAACTATGGCTTCAAGATTCCAACACCTAACGCCAGTAGGCTTTCCTCGGCTCCGATAAATCGGGTGGCGTGGGCAAGTGTTGGCGGGAAACCGAAGTCTGAGCCCACCGTCAGTGGGATTCCGCCCCGGCCCACCCAGATTGTTTTTGGTCTGGCGAGGAGCCACTTCACTTGCTGATGAGAATGTCTGGGGAGAGCATTACCGACAGGGCCAGCATCGCGGTACCACCACCTACATACATAAGTACGTACTTGTTCCCTCATACTCCGTACTCATGGACAATACCTGTTGACAGAGGCTGCAGGACTTTTGGTAGCGTCCCTTACTAGCGTGCACATGCCAGGCCTTGCTAGGTAGGTAGGTAAGTAACAGGGCAGGTCGGCTGGTTGATCAAGACTGCACAGTTCGACCCATGGCTGGACACTGTGTACCTACTCCAGTGGGACGGTAGAGAAGGCAGGTTGGCAGGGAAGTGTTAGCTTGAAGGCGAGAGCCGCTCCGCCATCACTATTGGGATCGGCCTGGGGCCACCGCGGGCACTAAATTTGCTCTGCGATTCCGTCAGTGGTGCTGTTCGGGGTGTTCCGGTCGCGTTACTGTACCCAGTAGTTATGCTCTCTGGGAGAGAATTCCGTGACTGTGTAGCTCTGCCAAGTCACGAGTCAACAACTACTACCACTGTATCCAATGAAACTGCGGTCAAGCCCCAATCAGGGCATCTTCCTGCTCACGAGAGATGCAGAGTACCTGAAACAACAGGAGAGACGAGGACTGGTGAGAGTCGACTGCCACCCGCATGCTGGCACCGATGGTCATTACCCAAGGCTGCCAATGACGCTCGCGCGCAGTAGTCGCCCCCGTTCAACTCCACCGTGAGATGGTCATGGGAAAACCTCTCATGGAAAATGCCAGTCATTGTTCGTTTCGTTGCGGCTTCCGCAAGCACGCACGATTTGGCGGATACTAGCGAGGTCTTGGTAACGAATTAGCTTGGTCTGCGCCACCGGGTCATCGTCACTAATCAGCAAGTCAAGGACGGTGGAGAGGAGGTCATGCCAAAGTTGGGTACGAATATAAACAACAAACCAAGGAAAATGCTAGGACGGGGCAAGCGAGGGGCGCAAGGCACACGCAGCTTATTGCGAACGTAGGTTTGGCTGGTTCAACGGCTATAACGAAGCGGCATACGAATGACTGGCGGCGGGGTGGGAGGGAAAGGAGACAGATGGTGGCTTGCACTTCGCTTGGGGTTAAGTCGAACCACAACTCGTCTGGCCGACGCTGACTGGACGAGCGGTTGAAGGTTAAAAAGTTCATGGAGATGAGAGAAGGGACTTGCGAACCAAGTACCTACCTCGGGAGGGGGGTGTGGCTGACCTGTTGCGGAGCCACACCACAGCCCAGCCTCTCACGCCTTGCAGCGACTCAACTGGCTCAACCCCGTTGCCCGTGCGTCCACGCTTTCATCCTTGTGCGCATGCCAGCAAGAATCACGTTGAAAGTTCCAGTACTGCATCCATATTAAGGCAAGGCCTCGCAAACTCGCAGCTCGCACTGCCAACTGCCTTGTAGGGCAGGTACAAAATCCGCGTAGCGCTGGTCCCCTGTCCTCGCCCCTGCGGCCTGCATCTGCTGTGGCGCCACACGCTTGGCCAGATATC